GCTGGTCGACGTTCAATCCCCGACCGTCCAAGTGGAAGGTCGGGGATTGAACCTTCCATTCCTTCCCCCCGTCCCAACCCAAAGCCTGATCCCTTCCAAGTGCTATATAGTCATAATAGCCTGGCGCATTCCCCTAATAATTCTCTCCCTTCCTTTTTACCTCCGACTGTGCGCACGAGAGAAGCTAACCATTCCAGGCTAGCCACAAAACAAGATCCATGCAGACACTGCCACACAGTCTGGCCAGAAAAAATTGTCATGCTTGGCAAACATATAGGTCAGTGTTGCTGACGTGCATACCATGGAAAGTGATGGAGCACATTGTAAGAGATTGCTAGATCTGGAGAAAAGGGTCTTTTTTATAACAGCGCGAGCATGGCGCGTCTGAAACGGCAAATTTTGCCATGCAAAGTTAAAATATGACACTGACAAAAATAAGACAGGTGGGTGGGCAGACTGTGTTTTGCTATATGTTAGAAAACCTTTCTAGACAGTACCCAGTGAGGCGAGGGCTAGATGCCTGTAACTAGGCGTTTATAAATGGCAAAATTCCATTAGTACGGGTATAGGGTAACATGGAGACAGCCTGGACGTAGGTGACGCCCCTCAAACACTGAAATTGGGAGTGATTACCCACATCACGGAGGCGGCGGCAGCAAAGCAAACTGCTCGTAATAACCACGCACCGTTGACACTCTTCAGGTGCTAAAAGAACGAATAACCAATTTTATAGAAAAGAACGAGCCATAAAGTTCAGGTTAGCAGCTGCAGAGCATGAAGAGCTGGTCCTCCGCTACCACTTTGTTATTACAAAATTACCCCAGGCGTTAGAAACAAATCCAATTACAAACGTTGTACAGTATACAGATTTTGTACAGACGTATGATGGATGTGGCCGTGGAATGATAGTCCATACAATGAAGAATACACTAACAATTCACGTCTCTAACATACTGAAAAAGTTCAATCAAATTAAACAATGCAGCTGAAGGTGAAAACCCGTGCCCACAAGACACGCTCCTCACACCCTTAAACTTCATCATCGAGGTATACTCTAGAGTGTCATGTGTGGGAATTAATAATGGGCTCGTGTAGATGGAAGTTGCAGCAGAGACTTACCTTGCCAGGTGAACAACATGGCGAGGAATGCAGCGTGTCGGCCAGAGGCCAGGGTGCCTCCCCCATCCATCAACTCTCCTCGCCGACCTTCCTGTATCTTGGCCTGGGCCAGGGAGGTCGTCGTCGTCAGGGACCTTTTTATTTGTATATTTTTCTACTACAAACGGGACCATTCATTTATAATAACCATAATGCATACATTTTCTTCTGTCCTCCATGGATAGGGTCATGTAGTGTAGTGAGTTATTGAGCACTCGACCACAGGGCGTGACATTAATGCTTTTATAATGTTAACAAGCATTAATGCTTTTATAATGTAAACATAGATTATCACCCCTGTCTTACATGGACAGGATTGTCTATGTGAGACAAGGTGAGAATCTCCCTTCAATATGTGGGTGGCAGGGGAGGGACTGTGGGTGGCGGGGTAGAGACTGTGGGGTGGCGGGGGAGGGACTGTGGGTGGCGGGGTAGAGACTGTGGGGTGGCAGGGGAGGGACTGTGGGTGGCGGGGTAGAGACTGTGGGGTGGCGGGGTAGAGACTGTGGGTGGCGGGGTAGAGACTGTGGGTGGCGGGGTAGAGACTGTGGGGTGGCGGGGGAGGGACTGTGGGTGGCGGGGTAGAGACTGTGGGGTGGCGGGGGAGGGACTGTGGGTGGCGGGGTAGAGACTGTGGGTGGCGGGGTAGAGACTGTGGGGTGGCGGGGGAGGGACTGTGGGTGGCGGGGGTAGAGACTGTGGGGTGGCGGGGGAGGGACACTGGATGGCGGGGAGACATGGTCAAGTGAATACTTTTAACAATAACAATAGAATGATGATTTGTTACATTTGTGTTAATAAAAGGTGTGTATGAGAATGGTCGACAAATGAGGTGTACAGCCCACACTTCACAGGGAAGCTCGTGTTTTCGGCTACACTCGTAGCATACACAAATGAATCTCAAGTACACACGAATTGACTGTTTCTCAGAGTACGAGCTCTGGCGAGGTCATCCTTCCAGCCTCTATAGTCTCACTACAAGTCCTGTGTGTAGTCTTATCTTAACCAAGTTGAACATTTGTCAAGAATGATTGCAATATTGATTAACATTATTGAAATAATTTCATGGTCATGTGATACAAACGGTACATATGGTCCTGATGAACGGCCAACTCCTCTTCTGCAGGGAGAGCATCCTGCTGCTGTTTCCAAGAGGAGGTTATCAGGGTAATAATATAGCCGTTGTAAGCACGGAGAAAGACTAAGGGTGTATCTCGAGCAGTTCCTCCATTCTCGCCTCATTGTACTCGCGTTGCTCATCTTTACAGTCCATAGCTCGCAGCCATATAAACCAACACATCGACTGTTGAATATATGGATTTTGGACCATGTGGCTTTACATTGTTAAGTCTCTAATTGTCTCGGAAAGATTATTTCTCCTCAGACGGAAACTTGCGGCTTAAATTCGTTACCGAGTAGTACACAGGTGTGGTCCTGCAAGCTGCGGGACATACACACTTGCTTCTGTTAATGTATATTAAATTTAGTTCGATATTGTTGAGATGTATAGGACACGGGTGATATCTGAGGCGGGCGGAAGAGCAAGCACATCTCAGACACACCCGAACAGTGTGGTGTATGTTTGGCGGCATGACGGCCCAGCCCCGCCCGCCACAACCCTCTCTTTATACTCATCCACTCCTATACCAACCCATTCTCCTCACATTATAGTACAGTAACTATATGCTGGGAGGTACACGTATGTAGTGATGGACCGCCACTAAACCACTTTTTGTACTATTAATCTTATAATTTTATAGTCCAAAAAACAAAGCTAAAAATCAAACTGAAATATTCCTAGGCCAATTATACCGCATATATGTACTATATTAGGCCTAAGTAATTCTCAAAACGTACCAAGCCAGTGAAAATATTAGCCCTAAGGTAACGTGTATTAGGCCTTGGAGTGCTAGGGTAGGTTAGGTTAGGTCTTATATTTATGTTCTCTTAAAAAAGTTTCCCGTTTGTTCAAATTTATACAAAAGTCAACTTTCTGGTGGTCTATCACTACTTATTGGTACTTTCGACCAAATAGTTGCTATAAGTACTTTCCTTTTCGGAGGATGGGTCGCTTGTACACGTATGTACCTTGTACCTAGTTGTGCTTGCGGGGGTTGAGCTTCGGCTCTTTAGTTCCGCTTCTCAACCGTCAATCAACTGGTGTACAGGTTCTTGGGCCTATTGGGTTCTATCCTATCTACACTTGAAACGATGTATGGAGTCTGCTTCCACCACATCACTGCTTGGTGCAGTCCATGTGTTAACTAAGTATCTACCTTGTGGAGGTTCCTGGGATCAACGGCCCCGCGGCCCTGTCTCCGACCAGGCCTCCCGGTTGGTCGTTTGGTCACCCAGGTTGTTGGACGCGGCTGCTGGCAGCCTGACGTATGAATCAGAGCCTGGTTGATCAGGTATCCTTTGGGGGTGTTTGTCGAGTTCCCTCTTGAACACTGTGAGAGTCCGGCCAGTTACGCCCCTTATGTGTAGCACGAGTGTTGAAAAGTCTTGGGCCCCTGATGTTGATAGTTCTCCCTCAACGTACCTATGCAACCCATCCTCCTGTTTAGATACATATTGTGACGGTCGTCATACGTTCTTAGCTTTTAGATACATTAATAGTATACTGACTAGTAATGATTTTTAAAAAATAAATGAAGCTAAAACATAAACTTAAATATTCCTAGGCCTAGTATACCAAACATGTACTATACTTGTATTAGGCCTCAGATATCGTGTATTAGGCCTAGGAAGGTTAGGATAGGTTAGTTTAGCTTGTCAAAGCAACACAAGTAAAAAATACTTTTCCGGTTTGTCCGACTTAATAGTTCAGATTTCTACGTTCTAATTTCATTGTATTTCGGTATATATATACTCTGGTCCAGAGGCCCGTGACTGTTCAATACGCTTCCACTATACATAAGGGGCATAACTGGCCGACCCCTCGCAGTGTTAGAGAGAACTTGATAAACACCTCCAAAGGATACCTGATCAACCAGGCTGTGACTCATACGTCAGGCTGCGAGCAGCTGCGTCCAACATCCTGGTTAACCAGTCCAGCAACCAGGAAGCCTGGTCGACGACCGGGCCGCGGGGTCGCTAAGCCCCGAAAACACCTCAAGGTAACCTAATCGTTACAATAATTACTACTCGAAACAGGAAGATGGGCTGACCTATTGCACCTCTGTTCTTCAATGGGGCTATTTTGCACATCATGCCATGCCTACTGGTTTCACCGTGTTCAAACTTGGCACTAGTCCCTCTGTAAATAATCTAGTAAACAATTTTAGCGTTATGAAAAGTTTTAGAAGAATTCAGATATACAAAATTATGACATTTCCATTTTTTTGTGCAGCTTGATATGCCGAACTATTGGTGCCAGCAGCTTGCAGTCCAAACTTTACAAAAGACAATTAACCAAACACGCTTCGTACAAATATTCAATTATCTTAAGAAAAAAGATCCGGAGTTACATTTAAAACAAAACGCACTAATTTATTTCTTTTGCTAGTTACCAATAACTCTTAAATTTGGTAAAAATTTGATTTCTTTAAAATGTTCTTTGAAATGTAGATAATGTTCTAGATGTAGTGTGTTAAGTAGGTGGGTAGATTAGTTATACACGAGGCTGCGCTTATCCCTGCAGCGCCAGGTTAATAATTCTCACAGTCGGTGGAAATTGATCAGTGGCCTCGTACACCTCAACTTGCTTCCACGCGTCGGCTCTTGTGACTCGCATGTACAGTAATTAATATTTATGGTTCAACAAGTAAATATTGGGCTTAATGAGCTCTGCATAGTGTGAGCATTGTGGCTAAAGTGGTCGTCCTGATGTGGTGGTGTAGGTGGGAGCGACGACCACCCGGAAGGCCTCTCATCGGTCGACCACAATCAAGTTGAAGCAGCAAAAGACTTCGCGGATGTCGGGGAAGGTGTCTTAACTGACGAGGGTGTATTAGCTGACGAGGGTGTATTGTCTGAAGACGGTCTACAGCCGCGCCAGTCAGGCAGGACCCGCACCAAGACCTACCGTACCTCCTCCTCCAGCACCAGGGTCATACGACCAGGTACTGATCCCTCGCCGCTCGCATCACCACCGTCCGCCAAGGACACAGCTTCAGTACCAGTATTTATTACATCACTATAGTGCATTATACCATTATCATCCACCCGGGTGCTGCCCTCCCTCAGTCCCTTGTCCCCAGCATCAGGATCATCCACCCGGGTGTTGCTCTCCCTCAGTCCCTTGTCCCCAGCATCAGGATCATCCACCCGGGTGCTGCCCTCCCTCAGTCCCTTGTCCCCAGCATCAGGATCATCCACCCGGATGCTGCTGCTTCATCATTCCGGCGCCAGAGTCATCCAAGCCGTCTCATACCTGACTATGTCCACCACTGCCATTGTTGTCCTGCAGCCATGCATCGCTTCACTCTAGCACTGCACTCATACCGATCCGGGGAGTGACCACACAACAGTTTCACTAACTTTACATGACCAATACATAATGTGCAAGTATTAGAGCTGGTTATAAGATCAGTAGCATGGTTAGAGTAATCCAAGGGTAGTTTTGTGGGTCATTCTATGCTGTGGTCATTCCTCTGTGGTCAGTGTGTGTTGGTAGAGATTGTGTATTTGTCTTAAATGTCCCCAAGGAGGGTCCAGTCCGCGTGGCTTTGTATGTATAGTCTTAATTAAGTTTTACCTCTCGGGAGTTATGCATCTTGTACACATCGTAGCTTGACTGTTGCACTCTGCTTCGAGACTAATTGTGTGTGATTTGTTTGCCTTAAATCGTCCTTGTGCATCATATTTACTTATGATAATTTAGTATGTGGAATGTCTCACCCTTCCTGCATCAATATATTCGCATGTGTGGTAAGGGTGAGGTTTGAGGGTTGTGGTACAATTGGTGTTATCGGTGAGGTGGGCCGAGGACGTCACCCTAGGCCCACAGGCGGCGTGAACTGTCACTAGCCATCACTTCTCCTACTTCGCTCCCCCACACCTGCGGAGGCCAAGGTGTGGGAGGCCATTGGTAATAATTGTGATTAAATATTCATACTAAAACTGCACTCGGTGGTAAGTGCAACTGGAGCCACCGTGCCTCACAATACCGGTTGCCCAGGTGCTGCGACATCATAATATACTCGATTCTATCATCGGTCACCATGTTTGAGAAGTGACTCAGGGGGCCGGGGTCCTGATTACGATAAGCTGGGATTTCAGGACGGAGCCGTGCGCGATGGAGAGGCCTGTGTCCACACCCACCCTGGTGTAATGGCGCGGTCTCGCGGTGGTAGTTGTGTGCACTCTCAACCATTAATCAAAACTAGCAGCAATTTTACATTAATACGTGTGACTAAATTTTATTATGTTGTTGAAATGTAGTAATAAGTTAGTATGTAAGGAATTTGTGTATTGAGTGGTTACGTTGCCTTAGTGCTAACATTCTGCAAGGAGTGGAGAGCTCCCAGCTGTTGATGATGACTTTGGTATGTGTGTGTGTGTGTGTGTGTGTAGGTGTGGTGAGGGTATTATATAGTGTATGTAAAGGAGTGTGGGGTGCCTGTATCACGCACTCCCTACGCCCTCACTCCTCACGCCCATGCCCTCCTTACACCCATGCCCCTCACTCCCACACCCCTAAAACATGCCCTTCACACCCACACCCTCTCACACATACTTCTGGCTCTCATATCTTACACCCACCCTCCTTATACCCCACTCCCCACGCTCCTTATACCTCACTTCCCTCACTCCTCACTCTGTAGCGTCTTCTATGTTGTTGTTTAAGATACAGCTACTGGGAACAAAAAGTTTAAAGTAGCACGGGCTATGGTGAGCCCGTAGTGGACTTACCTGGCACAGGAGCGGGGTAAGTTTCTAGTTTCTTTATTATTAAGTTTCGTCTTGCAGTGCAGACTATTAAAGTTGTACTGTGCTTATCTTCCATTACTCGTATGTTAACCACGGCATTCTCAACGTTTTAAATCTGCCAGTTTCACTGTGTAGGGCCTTCCGGTTTAATTGTGTAAGGCCTGTTTCTGTTTCTCTTTATAGAGGCTAACTTTCACTATATAGATCCTGTCTGTTTCACTATATAGATCCTGCCTGTTTCACTATATAGATCCTGTCAATTTCACTATATAGAACCTGTCAATTTCACTATATAGAACCTGTCAATTTCACTATATAAAACCTGTCTGTTTCACTATATAGATCCTGCCGGTTACTTCATATAGAATCTGCCATTTCGACGATATAGTTTACCATGTAGAACCGACTTAATTTATTGTTTAACCTTCCATGTACATCCGTAAATGCTAAATATTGTCGGCGAATTTGTAATTATTATATTCGGTGATACTTATTCCCGTATTATGACAAATTGTAGCGGAGAATTTGTGGTATATTCAATTATTATACATTATATAACTGTTGATGTAGTAGTAGTAGTAAGAGATTGTATGGTACTGAGCTAAGGCTGACTCCTCCTACCTGCTTATGTACTCCATTGTTCGCCTATCTTATTTTTTTCTGTTTTCATCTCCTGTAGAAGGAAATTATTACCTACTGCATCGGTTAGTTATGTGTGGTTGCTTCTCCAGGGAAAGGGGAGGAGGGGGTGAGACCCCGCCTTGTGGTGAGGGTAGAGGACCACTCGACTGTGTTCCTTATCCAGTTCCTCCGGCTGGTGGTGGTGTAGTAGTCCTGGCACTATACTCCTACCTGGTACCAGGTAACCAGGCTGGTGGTGAAGTAGTCCTGGCACTATACCCCTACCTGGTACCCGGTAACCAGGCTGGTGGTGAAGTAGTCCTGGCACTATACCCCTACCTGGTACCCGGTAACCAGGCTGGTGGTGTAGTAGTCCTGGCATTATACCCCCTACCTGGTACCCGGTAACCAGGCTGGTGGTGTTGTAGTCCTGACACTATACCCCCTACCTGGTACCCGGTAACCAGGCTGGTGGTGTTGTAGTCCTGGCACTACACCCCTACCTGGTACCCGGTAACCAGGCTGGTGGCGAGTGGTTGTGCGGCATTCTTTTAATGCTTAGTGTCTTCCAAACACGATGTAAACATTCAATATTTGGGAACATGCTCTACTGGCTGACAGCTTAATGAAACCCGAAGCGGGCATTTTAACATATACAGTGAGACAATTTACCAATGTGGTGACTGTTCTTATGGAATTATTTAATGTTGAAGCTGATATATAAGCTACATATAGACAACCATTATAATTGGACTGTTCTTCTTTCCCTATCAGGCAGCGTCTATATATCTAAAGTTGTTTGGTCACAAGAAAGGTTTAAAAATATAATGTTTCTTGGGATGGTGTTTGTGTGTTTCCACTGCCATTAATTTTAATATAAAAATTGAAGGTTTAATGGAGTTGAATAATGTCTAGAAAAAGTGCTTATAGATGAGTGTTCATCTGTGATAATACACCGAGTAGTGTATAGTGCCAATAGTATACTTGAGTGTTCATCTTGGTTTCTCGCCAGTTAATGAGATGAATACTTTCCAGCAAGGCCCTTTCTTTTGATATGCTGTTCTTCCATAGAATAACTCCTAATATATTTTATCCGTGTAGATTGCACGTTCACCAGCATAAATGTTGCATAATTCCAATATCCTTTTTTTTATCACTCTAGACAATTTTCTTCTGGATTGATGCGTAAAAAAACTTCTCATCTTAGACACATGGCAATGGGGAAAGTTTCATGTGATCACAATTTATTTTATGTTCTTCAGTATGATTCCAAGTGTGTTACGTACTGTCCTGTCTGGTTACCCAACAGCTGATAAAAGTTGGCAAACTTTAGTAAAATATTAATGTTGTAATCATATTTCTCATGTTCTTATAAGCCATTGGGTTGAACACCAAGGGTTCCAATATCATATTAGGCGAGTATTTCCAGGGGGTCCCGCGTTCGATTTCCAATGAGATATGCATGGTTTCGAACAAAGATAGCTTTAAGTGTAAAAGTCTTCCCGAGTGATAGATTGGAAAAATCCAATACGTTTCCAATCATCTAGCCAAATGAGGGAGATATATATACCTTGCGGTTGCTGCATTGTTGGTCTGCTTTGCCAGTCCTTGGGACCTAATCCACAAAATAAATTTATTATATACTTAAAGCCGCTACTATGTGTTGCTTTATATAATCAGCCAATAGAACAATTTCGTCCAAAGATATTAAATATTTGCATCCTTTACCTTGGCACGCGCTAAACTTAAAGCATAAAGGAATAGTCCGTGGAAATGGGATGGAGTGCACAGTAGGCCAATCAGACCTCGGAATAGGTTAATGTAAATTTCACTCGAGAGTGGGCAGGTAGCACTTTAATTATTCTTATGGCCGCCAGGGGATGCGGAGGCCGAGTACGACCCTCAGCGGCAGGGCGGCGTCGTCTACGGTCGTTCCTACGTTCCGTCTACCATCAGACGGGGCAAGGGCCGAGGCCGCTCCCGTCCAACTTCTTCCTCCTCCTCCTCTTCTTCCTCCACCTCGGTGACGGGCTCGGGCGGGGTGACCCGGGAGACAGTGAGCCACACCCATGGCAGCCCTGGCGTCCACACCACCACCTACACTAGCCTGTACCCAGAGTCCGCCGTTACCGGCCACACCCACGACGCTGGCTCCTGGTCTACCTCTGACTCTTCTCCCTCTCATCGCTCCTCCTCTAGGCGTGTGTCCTCAACCTCGAGGTCGCATTCACGAAGCGAGGGTAGGAGGGTAGAAGGGGCAGAAGAGGAGGAGGAGGAGACGCCGTCCATTGTGGACGAGTCGTACTTCAACCAGCGTCATGGGCAGACCGAAGACGGCCAAGACTTCTTTCGCTGGAACGGGCAGGAATATACGGGCGTCGGCCGCTCCGGGTCGTCTGTCTCGCATCGCGTTAATACCACCAGGACCACCACTACCCACACACATCCAGGTCAATCCACCACCTACACATACACTTACCCCGGGGGCTCGAGCGTCACCACGTACAGGAACACCACCACATACACCTCCCATATCCCAGGATATTCCACGTCGGAGAGCCAGAGGGGCTCCATCAGCACTGGGTCCTCTAGAACATCCAGCACACGCTACGGGACCTCGTACAACCGTCACTACGACTCCCTTGGCGGCGCCTCCTCTAGTTCTACGTCGTCGTCCGTCAGTGGCGGCGACGTCAGCAGGGGAAGCGAGGTGGGTTTTGGCGAGAGTTACCACAGGAACACGGAGGAGGACCAGCTGACTCTGGAGTACGAAGAGGAGGACTACGACGAGCGGTTCGCCCGTGGTCCCGTCATCTCTGAAGCGGACCGGACGCACCCCTTCGTGGTACTAGGGCTGGGCTCCACCTCAGGTAGGACGCCGCTCACCTGGACGGGACGCTGTGGTTCATTAACCAGACTTGACATAATTCCTGTCTGGCTTAACCTAGAGCCTTCTTACGGTGTGGACTAATCTCTGCCAACCCCGGCACCAATCCTCCTCCAACACAACCACACATTCTGACGTCATAACTGAAGTCCTATTGAGAAATTCCCCCAGAGACTCCTGTGTTGTCATAATTTGCCTTCTCGCTGCCAACCCTCAAGGCCTATATAGAGCACTTAGTCAAAGAACATTAACATTGCCAAAAACATTAATACATCATGATAAATGCAACCTCAAAGGTGATGATGCCACATTTTGACATTGTAGACCCCTGCTAGTTGACTTAGATTTACGTAACACTTAAGTTACACCAATCAAGCTTCATGAACCCATCCCCCCCTCCCTCTAGCTTCCAAAGTGTTAAATACTAACATGTTAATTACAAGTGCAGTATTAAACGTTACACGTGTGCCGGCCCAGACGGTGGTGAAGGTGAAGACTGGTTAACCGTGGGTGTGCAGCTTGAGAATGTGGTGGTGATGGTGTTATTTCTAAACTGGTTATGGTGTTCAACCCTCTTATATTGGTAATGGTTTTAACTTACATTAGAAAGTGTCATTAACTCAAATTAAACATAGTAATCATAGGTATTGTTTTATTTTTAATAAATATTAATAGGTAATGCAACTGTGGTGGCAATGTAGGAACCATTAACCTGTAGCGTAATGAAGTGTGTGAGCGTGGCGTAGCGGTGATAAGGTGTTTGTGGTGTAGTGTTATTAACCTGGGGGGGGTGGTTGTGGGGGGGGTGATCCCCGCCCTCCCCCTGCCTCCCACACACTAACAATCATTCGCACTATCTCAATTGTTGTTTATCCAGAGTACTGTAATGTCATATATTATTAGTTGTATAATGTATTCCTTTGTAGAAGTTTTTAATTTTGTCATTTTCTGGCGCATATTTTATTAATTCTTTATACAAGTTTTTCTGTTTGATGAAAGATTAGCAGGATAGAAAGTTAATGAATCACTAATAGTATGCAATAATATTTTCATGTCAGTTTACATTGTAAACTTTAAGTGTTTGTAAAAACTCTAAATTAAGGGGGATTTAATTATTTTTGTTGACCTCGATTGGGCATCCAGCCTCGTTTGATACCAGTGGTTGTAATTTTATGAAGCAAGCTCACAGCAGGTAACAGGCAAGTCAGTCATGGATTGCAGAGGGGCAGTAATTGGCTGTGCTTGTTTCAGGAATGGGTTGTAAATTAGTAATGGGATACAACTGAATTGGTAATACGATGAGATAACTCTGTGTGTGTGTGTGTGTGTATTCACCTAGTTGTGCTTGCGGGGGTTGAGCTCTGCTCTTTTGGCCCGCCTCTTAACTGTCAATCAACTGTTTCTATTACTACTACTGTTTTTTTCACATCTCGTGCGCGCGCGCGCACACACACACACACACACACACACACACACACACACACACACACACACACACACACACACACACACACACACACACACACACCAGGAAGCAGCCTGTAACAGCTGACTAACTCCCAGGTACCTATTTACTGCTTGGTATCAGGGGCATTCAGGGTGAAAGAAACTTTACCCATTTGTTTCTGGCTGGTGCGGGAATCAAACCCGCGCCACAGAATTAAGTCCTACGCGCTATCCACCAGGCTACCAGGCCCCCAGTGTGTGTGTGTGTGTGTGTGTGTGTGTGTGTGTGTGTGTGTATACACTGGGTGGGTGTGGTTATATAAGTGTGTTTTCATTTGCGTGCAGATTTTGAAATGAGCCGATACTTGCATAAAGAACTGTATAAATTCTAGTATTGTTTGTGTATGCTGGTCAGCGTGTTAAACCATGTGGGAGTCGTCCACACCACGCACACCGCACCATGACTGTCTACCAGCCAGGGCCAATCCAAATTATTCTTGTGTCGTGGGTGTCGTGTGGGAAGGAGAGTAGCAGGTATAGAAGAACGCTACAAATGATGGCTGTGATTACGGGCTATTCATGCCCGTGCCACCTCTTGGGTGGCTTAATCTTTATCTTTATCGATGGCTGTGAGTGTGAAAGGATGGGAGGGGGAGACAGGTGGCTTGGGAAGGAAGAATTACTGCGAATAGGTCGCTTACAATTTTCGCCTTCAGCCCCATGAGCTTGTATGCATATTAACATGTCGTAGTTTTAAGTGGGTAATTTTATATAAACTAGTTTTATAAGTGTGTGTGTGTGTGGGCGCGCACTTTGACACACTTACTACACTCGTTGTTGTTTTAGATTCAGCTACTCTGAACAAAAGGTTCCAAGCAGCACGGGCTATGGTGAGCTGGTCGTACTTCTTGGCACAGGAGGTGTACGATGTGTTATTACACTCCCAGGACTATCAAGCCGGAGAGGTGCCCGTCATGTATTTCCAAGGTTCCAAAATGTTCCACTGCAATATAACCAATTACAACAAACGCATAAATACAGCCTCATCATTAACGCACTATTTTTCAATGGTTTACAGTAAACCTCGTGGTCTACAGAAAATCCTCTTCCCACAAATGTTCTATAGCTGCCAAAATATTTTCAAGACCGGCAGTGAATGTTCAATAACTTCAGGTAATGTGCTAGCAATTAAAACGCGCGAGGTGTGTTGTATTTTCTCTCGCTGACAACTTGGGAGCATTATAATTTCAGATCTCCTTCGAAACGTCATTATCTTGAAAACTTGTATTGCACTAGGAACTTATATTGCACAAAAATCTTAGGACGGCACAAAGGAGAATGGCGGCAGTACGTACAGGATAGTAAAGACCAGCGTCCACATCAAAGTATGAATGTCTCGCTGTGTTGACAGGCATGTAGCAGCTGACCTCTATCGTGTACCACACGTACAAGCAACAGAGGCTGTTGCGTGGAGTGACCCGCAGGCCCACATATCTACTACAGACCGGTTGGTCGGGCACTTCTTCCTAAAAACTATCCAGATTTCCTTAAAGGCTTCCAGTTTTGTTTAGGCAATATTTCTTGTACTTGCTGGGAGGATATTGAACAAGCGTGTACCTTTATGTTCAAACCGTTCTCTGATTGTGCGTACGACACATCTACTCTTCACTGACTCTACTCTACATTTTCTAATGCTTCTTTTCGTCTAGCTGTAAATAAGTACCCAGGAGTTAAGCAGCTTTTGTAGAGTTGCATCCTGGCGAGGATCAGTAGTTCGACATTGGAGGGGGGACCTTGATACAAGCCTAAAATATATATATCGGTATACACAGGCTTTTCTGTCCCCGACATAACGAATTGTGAATAGCCTACGTACTCGCACAAATAAACTATGTCGGTACAGTATCTATGTTGCATCTATATAAATTAGAATGTTCGCCCGTCTGTTAGGGGATGGAGAACAGATGCTTGGGGCTAGCCACTCCCAGTTTTTCACAGTAAGTGTTGAGAGAGAGAGAGAGGGGGGGGGAGAAGGGGAGAGGGGGGGGGATGCAGGTAGGCAGGCGCGCGCGCGCACACACACACACACACACGCGCACACACACACACACACACACACACACACACACACACACACACACACACACACACACACACACACACACACACACACAGACCCGGGCACTGCTGGGTACCCCTTCTAGTGTTTAATATGTCTAATAGTCAAATTTAATTAAGTAAACAGTTATAAAGCTTGTCTCTCAATATTTACCTGAAATTCATGATTTTGAAATTGTGAACTTGCCGATGCACAAGATTCATCAGATCTAAGGAGGAGAGCGTGGCAAGAACAGCTCCGAGACGCCAAGAAAACAAAGGACACACACAGACAAGTGTGGGCGGACAAGTGTGGTCACCATACTTGTTGATGCGTCTTCCCACGCTCTACATTACACTCAGTTAAGTCCATCAGATACTTTGGCTCTTGATGCTCTTTGCTGGCTTGCCGGCTATTATTTTGTCCGAGCAAGTTTCCCGTCCCTGGGAGAAGAATTTATATCTTACATTGAATGGTGTGTGTGTAAAATAATGTGACGTTAGAGGTTCTAGTACTTAGATGGATAATGAATGCTGGGGAGATTAGAGGGGATGGGGTTGGGCGTGCAGCTGGTGGCGGGCGGGGGCGTGGGCAGCCAGTCGCCGCCCCCTCCTGGTCTGCCACCCGGGTCGCTCAACACACCGGAAGTTCAACACCACCATGCCACCAAGACTGGCACTAATGTTGCCATAATTACTTCTAGATCCAATATACAGACAAATTTATGTCCAAAATTAGTTACATTTCTAAATTATTATTTTGAAAGACAAATCTGTGTAAATTCCTGACGTCAGGACGGCTACCATTAATCTATTACTAAATATGCATCTTGCTGTTTGTTTCTAGACTTGCTCTACATCTCAATTAGCGAGTTAAAGCATCATTAAAACTACAGGTTGTGAGTATAGTATTAAGTGGAGTATGTTGATTAAGCCTTTCCACGTGACAAAAAGTTATATTGGGGATATAGTTTCAGACGATGCTTAGGCTGTACAAATTTCCAAATCGTCACGGCATGATTAGATTTATATTAGTTCTTCAAATTCCTTTTTATGATCCTAATATTGTGATATAAATTCTGCCAATATCTGTCTCGCGACTTTTTCAATATATATCACCTCTCAAATTCTAAGGTAAAAGTTACTCACTTTATGCCAAAAATGTAAGTTTGATTTAGATTGCTATACACCTGTTTAGTCCTGCCATTATTGTGATGCTTTGCCGGTCGGCCGAGCGGACAGCACACTGGACTTATGATCCTGTGGTCCCGGGTTCGATCCCAGGCGCCGGCGAGAAACAATGGGCAGAGTTTCTTTCACCCTGTGCCCCTGTTACCTAGCAGTAAAATAGGTACCTGGGTGTTAGTCAGCTGTCACGGGCTGCTTCCTGGGGGGTGGAGACCTGGTCGAGGACCGGGCTGCGGGGACACTAAAGCCCCCAAATCATCTCAAGATAACCTCAAGATTTGCAATTTACGAGACTGATGATGTTCTTGTTGCCAGGCGATCGGTGCTGAATTACTGCATCTTAGTAGTTCATTTACACTCAAGAATGATTTGGAGGATTTTAAATGTTATCATTTTGAATTAAGGTTAAAGGAGAATTTCCACTGTCAAGGAAAAAATCTTAATGCTATAACCTTTCACTACTACTACATATTTGTGTGATGCGTGTAGTACAGTACAGCATTGTCATAAACTACGTGAGAACAAACAAGCACATCATTCTCATAAAATGAAAACAAAAATTTTATATATATATATATATATATATATATATATATATATATATATATATATATATATATATATATATATATATATATATATATATATATATATATAATATATATGTCGTACCTAATAGCCAGAACGCACTTTTCATCCTACTATTCAAGGCCCGATTTGCCTAATAAGCCAAGTTTTCCTGAATTAATATATTTTCTCTAATTTTTTTCTTATGAAATGATAAAGCTACCCATTTCATTATGTATGAGGTCAATTTTTTTTTATTGGAGTTAAAATTAACGTAGATATATGACCGAACCTAACCATCCCTACCTAACCTAACCTAACCTATCTTTATAGGTTAGGTTAGATTAGGTAGCCGAAAAAGTTAGGTTAGGTTAGGTTAGGTAGGTTAGGTAGCCGAAAAAACATTAATTCATGAAAACTTGGCTTATTAGGCAAATCTGGCCTTGCATAGTAGGCTGAGAAGTGCGTTCTGGCTACTAGGTACGACATATATATATATATTTATTATATAGTGTGTGTGTGTAATATATATGAGTGTCAGACCACGAAGGAAGGATTGAAATAGAAATTTCCTTAAGTACTTTCGTATTTAAGTATTTATCACGTCAGTAGTATATAAAGGAACAAAATTCACAGATTCTGATTTATTACACATAGGCATAGTGGGTCGCAATACAAAATGCAGCTCTTGCTTTAGGCCGCAGTAAAAAAAAATAGTTCGAAAAACGCTGTCCTAAACAGTCTACTGTTTAGTTAGTGTGTGAGAGTGAGGGAGGGAACAAATAATGTGTTTGCGAGACGTTTTAATTTATATTTACCTTGGTTGGCTTGAAGGAGTTTCAATGACATGACCCCACGACCTCAATGACCCCACGGTTCGGTCTCTGATCAGGCATCTTGGTTGATGGTGTGGTCAACCTGGCAATTAGACCCCGCAGCTCGCAGTCAGAGGTAGAAATTGATCCAGTTGATCACGTATCTTTTGAAGGTGTTCAAATTCTCTTAAACGCCGAACGAGGTCGGCTAGTTAGGCTCCTTCAAACAGTTATATTCTAGCAATATTTTGTGTGTAGGCATGGGGTGGGGGCTATTTGTTTATTTCACAGGTTAGACAAGATGCCAACAGAAAGTCAGCACAGGTGTACAATTACAGGTAAGTGCTTGAACCGGAACAATTTTTGAGCATATAAGAGTCGATATGCCATCACCACAAATGGTGCTCTACGGGAGACTAGTCAACATGCCCTAAACGCGTATTTGTCGTCTACACAGGTGTTTAGTTCGGAACGGTTATTTCTTCTTTTGCTTGGTGGCCACTCGTGTCATCGCTGAAGAAGGTCGGGTAACACAGTCAACCTCTGGTGAATACGAGTCTGGAAGCAATAGCAATATACTTACCCCCTGTAATTTGCTGAAGAATGACCTGGTAGATATGCGCCATGAGCATTGGTCTTGCCAGTAAATTAGGGAGTGTGGTGTAGGCGGCCGATGGCGTCATTTCTGGGCGGTAACTGGGTGTGAACTAAGAGATGGGTGCTTACGTTACACAGCGGTAGTGTCCCGCTGGGCTGGCGTCACAACGTGGCTTGTCAAGACAGCATCTGCAACGGACACCACTCCCTCAGAGGACCGTGATCGGGCTGCTTGCCAGCGTGGTGTGCCACCTGCATGGGATCACTTGCGTGGAGTGTCATTTATGTGGATTGCCACCTGCATGTTGTGCCACTTGCATGTTGTGCCACCTGCTTGTCAGTGACACGTGCAACATTGTGAATGATGTGTCAGTTGCATGATGGGTTACACAATGTGCCTTAATGCTGAAGAGCTTCAATAATTTGTTTTGTGTTTTATTTCCATTATAATTGCAAACTGTTTGTACGCATAAAATACTTATTCTGTATTTCAGAATACTGCACTCATAGGCTAATTTGATTATTATACCACCTGCATGTTGTGCCACCTGCATGTTGTGCCACCTGCTTGTCATTGACACGTGCAACATTGTGAATGATGTGTCAGATGCATGCTGGGTTACACAATGTGCCTTAATGCTGAAGAGCTTCAATAATTTGCTTTGTGTTTTATTTCCATTATATTTGCAAACTGTTTGTATGCATAAAATACTTATTCTGTATTTCAGAATATTGCACTCATAGGCTAATTTGATTATATTTTAGTTTTGTTTATTTTTATTTCAGGTAAATTTAAATATAAGCAAGGTTCAGTTTGTATTTTGTGTTAAGCTGTTCAAATTCCATGACATTAACTTGCATCCACAGGTAAATTATTGCATGGAGGCTTCACAGAATGTTTCATACTTCTCTCACACTGATTGTCTCTCATTCATAAATCTTCAGATTATCAGTACTGTCTGCTCACGTACGGTAAAACCACACGTTTCTGCAAGGATATATTTTAATTGTTCCCTAAAACATATTAATAATTTATATTGTCCTTGTCTTGTCCCTCCCTTCCCCCCCCCCCCATCTGTCATATACACCAGCCCTCTCTGCTCTTATAATTTGTATTTCTGTAAATTAATGATTAATTAGTACTGTACATAATATTGTGGCACTTTGCTTCCCCCTTACCTTCCTGTTTGTGGTACTTTACCTCTCCTCACCTTCCTGTTTGTGGTACTTTACCTCCCCTCATCTTCCTGTTTGTGGTACTTTACCTCTCCTCACCTTCCTGTTTGTGGTACTTTACCTCTCCTCACCTTCCTGTTTGTGGTACTTTACCTCCCCTCACCTTCCTGTTTGTGGTACTTTACCTCTCCTCACCTTCCTGTTTGTGGTACTTTACCTCCCCTCATCTTCCTGTTTGTGGTACTTTACCTCTCCTCACCTTCCTGTTTGTGGTACTTTACCTCTCCTCACCTTCCTGTTTGTGGTACTTTACCTCCCCTCACCTTCCTGTTTGTGGTACTTTACCTCTCCTCACCTTCCTGTTTGTGGTACTTTACCTCCCCTCACCTTCCTGTTTGTGGTACTTTACCTCCCCTCACCTTCCTGTTTGTGGTACTTTACCTCCCCTCGCCTTCCTGTTTGTGGTACTTTACCTCTCCTCACCTTCCTGTTTGTGGTACTTTACCTCCCCTCACCTTCCTGTTTGTGGTACTTTACCTCCCCTCACCTTCCTGTTTGTGGTACTTTACCTCCCCTCACCTTCCTGTTTGTGGTACTTTACCTCCCCTCACCTTCCTGTTTGTGGTACTTTACCTCTCCTCACCTTCCTGTTTGTGGTACTTTACCTCCCCTCATCTTCCTGTTTGTGGTACTATACCTCCCCTCACTTTCCTGTTTGTGGTACTTTACCTCTCCTCACCTTCCTGTTTGTGGTACTTTACCTCTCCTCACCTTCCTGTTTGTGGTACTTTACCTCACCTCATCTTCCTGTTTGTGGTACTTTACCTCCCCTCATCTTCTTGTTTGTGGTACTTTACCTCCCCTCACCTTCCTGTTTGTGGTACTTTACCTCACCTCATCTTCCTGTTTGTGGTACTTTACCTCCCCTCATCTTCTTGTTTGTGGTACTATACCTCCCCTCACTTTCCTGTTTGTGGTACTATACCTCCCCTCATCTTCCTATCAGTGCTTTTTTTTTAATTTAAATCTTCCTGACATTGTTTTTGTGTGTGACACTTTGCTGTACTTTTGCCTTTGGCACTGTTTTTTGTCACTTTTCCTCAGCTAAGTGTTAAGCACCCTTCTCACAATCCTCACCAACTGCTTGTACTGAATAGGCACCAGGCTAGAGTTCAGTGTTGACTACTTTAGGAGCGACAACTTGTGTAGAAAGGTTTGAAGTGCCTCACAAAATGCAGTGCTTTGGATCAAAGTACTTAACATTAACAATTATAATATGGTAATAACAGATGAAAGTTGTATAAGAAATAATAGGTGGTTTGAAAAGAAACACAACCCATGGATAATTCATGTTTATTAATAAATAACATTAATTTGTATTACTAATGAAGCTTTCAACATGGAATAATCTTGGTGTTAACCACATTTTTTTAAATTTGAGGGCTACTGAATCTAAATGTAAAACACTGAGTTACAGTAATACTGTGTGTGTACATTATCAGTGGGTTGCATCTCCTTTCGAACACACTGTAAATATTGTTTTAGCAGGAGCTTCAATAAAAAACTTTTGTTATAGGATATATAAAATATATTTGCAAATTGATATCAGGTCAGGAAGAGAAGACATAGTCCCAAAAGTATTTGCATTTCCTCTATTGCTAGTTTTTTCTCCACCATAAATGTGACTATGGGGTATTAACTCTATTTCTTTGTCTTTGTGTGTGTGTGTGTGTGTGTGTGTCACAGGTTATGGTCAGCGATCATCCCACCCTTGTGACCAGAGCTCCTGCTACCCAGCCACTGGCAACCTATTAATAGGTCGGGAGAAGAGCCTCTCTGCCACCTCCACCTGTGGCCTCTACAGGAGGGTCAGTATTCCACACGTTTGGGACAAGAGTCGGGAATGGGGGGTAGGGGTTAAGGCGATGAACTGGGGGGGGAGTAGTGCAAGGAACTGGGGGAGGGGGGGGGGTTGGGATTTGGGGGTGAGGGGGTTGAGGGTAGGAAACTTAGGGGATATGTTGTAACTAATATTCTCAGTATTACATTGTCAATTTTCCACTGATAATTATATATTGTCATTAGTATGCACCAGTCTCTTTCACAGAGGCCACCAGAATGGCAGGAACACAAAGATTAACTAAACACAGCTTGGCATACCACAAATCTATGGATTGAAACTAAGTACACAATATTTCTCTATACTGTACAGTATATACACACACCAGCCCACAACTTCACCTAGTCACAAACCGAGACTCACACCAGCAACAGCTGGTCACATACTAATTCCTAATTACCCTATCTCCAATCTCCAGAGACTTCCCTTAACTCTCAAATTACCAGCCAATGTTAGTCACTCGTATAGAGTACTCACACATGCTACTCACTAACCAACTCCCAACTTCACCAAGGATGTCTGCGGGGCACAGGGTTGGTGTGTGTGAGTGCAGCAACTAGCTTGGACATGTCACACCACATCTCGGCTACATTGGCTGAGTCCGCCATAGGCCCTGGCCCTCTGCATCGATGTCCTGTCCAGCACTGAGACCTGCTGGCATCAGTATTTTTTAACTTCTTAAACCACGTGGACAGGAACGGGTTTTGGAGGGCAGGACATGTGTTGACTGTGTCATGTGTCAACACATGACCTGCCCTCCCAAACCCGTTTCTGTCCAAGACCGTCCCAAAATGTCACTTCTAATCACCTCTCTGAAATGCCACCCAAGAAGCGGCCACACGGGCCATCCATGCCCGGTGACCCCCTTCATAATCTTTGACATCCGGTGTACAGGAGATCCCAACCACCTGTACGCCTTGGATTCATTTGGCACACTCATAAAACTACTCCACACGCTCAATAAGCTGCTTCCTCTGCATGTTGAGAGAGACTACTAACTAAATTTGACACAATCTGGGTACAACAAATCAAATCAAATCAAATATTTATTCAGGTAAAGTACATGCCTACAAGGTGAGATACAAAACATTGATGGATTTATAGATAAAGCTAGTACATAAAATGCCTAAAGCCACTATTACGCAAAGTGTTTCAGGTAGGAAAAACACTAAGATTAAAACTTAATACTAATTGAGATTAAAGTATAAATTGTGTTGAGAAAAACAAAAAAAAGGGAGGGGAACATGGCAGAAAAAATAGCAAGTATACAATTTGGTCAACAAATACATTGTTTAAAATAGTAGACATGGGTTGACATTTTAGGGGTGAGGTAGATTACATGAAGTTAATCAGGTAGAACTTAGTTTTTATCTTAAACTTTTTGGGAGAGGTACAGTCTTTGTACTGGTTGGGAGAGGTACAGTCTCAGATCAGGGGTGGGGAACTGGGGGATGAGGTGTGGGCGAAGCTGTTGGGTGAGAGTGGAGGATTGAGGGTTAGGTTGTAGGACTGAGGGTGAAGTGGTAGGGGGGGGGGTGGAAGACTGAAATTGAGCTGAAAGGTGCAGGAAAGAGTAAGACAGTGGTGCCTATTTTCCTCAGGAGCGGTACTGCATAGTGTCTCATCTGAAGGACCGCAAGAAGTGCTTCTGGTGTGACTCACGGCCGCAGTGGGATGGCAGCCCCCAGTATTCTCACAAGATCGATAATATCGTTTATAGATTTGACCCTCGGTGAGTACTCATCATTTCATTTTACACATTAAAAACCATGTTTGCAAAAAGAGAGCGTGCATGTGTGTGTGCTTAATCTACACATCACAGTAGTGTGTGTTATATTTTTTAAATTGGATGCACACACTACTGTACTTGAGTGCTCATTTACCACTGCATCTTTAACTTGCATGAAGTCACTTATAATATGTCTAAGATAAGTTAATTACTATACTTTACTGAAAAGTGTCTTGTAAGTGAATGAATTGTATAGAATATTTATTGCCAAATTATTCCCCACCCCTAATAAATGAGTTATGTGAATCTATATTTCAATATGTTACAGAAATAGTACATAATGTTATCATAATTTTATTGATTTAAACGTGGGGAAGGGCAATAGGGCCAACCCTGATCTGCCTATAACACTTCCCTAATACCCAACAGTCATCCTACAAAGTTTAGTGAGGCTAGCACCAAGCATCTAGACTCCAACCTTGTACAAATAAACAAACAAACAAATACCTGTACACAGACATTCTAATTTATAAATATATATTAACCAATTTTTTTTCTTATGTGTTGCCTTCTTTTTATTTTCTAGGACTAGAAGGCGTTCGTGGTGGCAGAGTGAAAATGGTTTGGAAGACAGTAGCATCCAACTGAACCTGGAGGCTGAGTTTCATTTTACTCATCTTATCATCACATTCAGAACCTTTAGACCTGCTGCTATGCTCTTTGAGAGATCTTTTGACTTTGGAAAGACATGGAAGGTATTTTCTCAATTTGTCATATTTATTCTAATCTTAGTTTTACTTTCATTATTTAATACCTATTAACCTATAGCTGTGTTCTTCAAGAATATAGTATTTTTCTCATTACCCAGTACAGTATTTAAAAATACTTTTAACACAGACCCAAGGAAAGGAAATAAAAACTAGTTATCATAAAAGAATAAAGGGAACAGGTGTACTGTACAGTACTAACCTTTGTAGCCTCTGTTTACCCAACAGTAATATCGGTACCTGGTTGTTAGATGATTTGGCGGGGTTGTATTCCGGGGAATATTAGGAATAAAGACTTGCCTGAAATGCTGTGTGTGCTAGTGGTTGTACAAGAATGTAAAAACTCTTGTATATACTGTATATAAATAAATAAAATAAATAAAAAAAAGTATGAACATCAGAGGTCCATGGCTCTTCAACCCTCTTCCATCAATTATAAGTTTTCACAAGACAACCAGGTTGAGCTTGGGGAGTGAACTGTTTCGGGTAAACTACTGTACATGTAAACTGAAACAAACACAGTAGAGAAGCACTAAAAATAGAGGCAGAGGCAGAAAGCCTGCCTTGCCACCTCATACTTCTGCTTTTACAAAAGCCACTGATGGGACAACAGAAAGTCTGTCCCCTTTAGCCCCATACAGGTGGTGATAGACCAGATCTAATTATTCCAGTTGCAAAGATTAGCAGATCCTCAAGCTATTAAGATGAGTTGTTCAGTGGATTACTGGTTGAGAGGAAACCTCGGATATGGCTTCATCCGTATCAGATGAAGCCTCTGATTTTTGAGAAGTCAAATACCAAGCACAAAAAGTTGGAAACCATAGATAAACTGGTCACCATGGAGCCAGCTTGGCCAACACAGAAAGCAGCAGCTGGACTCGAGGGAAGTGCACTGACTCCAGTCCAGGTGAGATACTTAACCTCGTATGCCTTGTGTTCTGGAAATGGTACCCAAATTAAATATTGTAGATATTACTTGAATGGATTTGTTATAAAGATAATCCAGATTTTTGAGGTCTTACAGTTTGTGGAAAGAAGGAAGACTGCCTCAGGAAATATATTAAAGAAAATCTGAAAGAAGGAAGAAAGGGCAACAGATTCTGTTTAAATAAGTATAAACAGTTTTTAACTGTTTATTTTTTAAATAAGTGTTTTTTCTCTCTATAAATACCAATTTATGGAGCGAAAAAGAAGTCTAATTTCCAGTAAGAGTTGGATTAAGAGTGCAGGTCAGTTTTTAGCACTGTTAGTGTAGCCCAAGATATGAACCACGATTGGGGAAGGAAGATCCATCATTATTCAAGCATAGCAATTCCATACAAATCCTAAGGCAACTTGTTTACTGCCTTTAATATACTGTATTTATACCTTCTGCTATAAGTAATTAACAATACAATTTTTGTTCACAGGTGTACAGATACTTTGCCTACGACTGTGCTGAAGCTTTTCCAGGAATCCATCAGGGTCCTCCAACCTCTATTAATGATGTAGTTTGTGAATCTCGCTATTCAGCTGTTGAACCATCCACAGAGGGTGAAGTAAGTTAAAAAATTACAGTATCTTAATATATACACTGTACTGTACATACTGTATATAGATTTGTGAGGAGCCTTAGAGAAGAGAATAAATGACATTTGAGTTTGTCATTTTGAACCCCTCGTATAGGCATGCATATTGTCTTTATGACCTCCTGCTCACAGTCTGATATGAATCACAGCCCAGTTGACCAGGTATACTTTTGCTGTTCCTTCTTGAATTAAGATATTCTGGCAACCCCAACCAGCTTTTGTCTGTCCTGTACCCAAACAACTCCCTCCTCCATCCTTGAACAGACAGACACAGACAGATGCAGACAGATATTCTCTTATAGACAGGAGCCCATTGAAAAGTTTTGGGTCTATAACATTGGTAGAATTTGTCTTTTAATGTACCTATTGCACCTCCACTTTTTAATTTATTCACCTAGCACTTCCCTCCAGGCCTTCTGGTTTTGTAAGGAATAATTTCTTCATGCAGATTTTGAACCAGTCTCTGGATATTTTTTAAATGTAAATTATTTTAAAATTTAGCATTTCTACATTTGACTACATTTCCTTTAATGAAACATTCCTTTTGTACATAAATTAGCACTAAAGTTACTTTATTCTGGATCTGTGTGTGTGTGTGTGTAATTACCTAAGTATAGTTGTAGGATGAGAACTCTGCTCATGGTGTCCTGTCTTCCCAATACTCATTATTACGGCTGAAACTACTGATGGTTTTAGTATCCACTGCTTTCTCATTTAACTTGTTCCAAGTGTATTGTAATTCAATGTCAATGCCTGCCTGTTCATATAGGATTCTTTTTGTGCAATTCTACTAATTAAATTTAGGCAGGCCTGTGTTATTCCCATATAAGAAGTAATTACAACTATTAAAATGTTTTCACATGCAGTCATTTACATTATTTGTGTATTTTTAAGCAAGTAGATTTTGTAAGCTTGACTGACCATAATATGCACATCTTTTATTATTTTTAGGAGTAATATTGAATTTTGCATAATAATACAGTAATTTGGTGAAATAGTTCATTTAAAATTTTGGAAAATAGTATTGATGTTAAATCAATTCATTCTTCACATTTTGAGTGTTTTTATAGTTTAATATTGATTGTTTTGTTGTACTACTTGAGTAAGCTCCACAAGATGGCAGTCTTTTTTTTCAGTAAGGGTGATGTTTAATTAGTTACAGGTATGATGCCAATATACTAATTTCCATAGTTACAAATCTACATATTATATTTTAGGTAATATTCAGAGTTCTACCGCCAAACATTGAAATAGACAACCCATACAGTGATGAGGTTCAAAACCTGCTAAAAATTACAAATCTTCGTGTCAACTTCACCAAACTTCACACTCTTGGTGATCAGCTTTTAGACAATAGGCGTGAAATTAAGGTAATTTTTGTACACTTTTTATGTATTATACTGTGCTTAATGATGGTAAAATATTTATATATTAAACAGCCACATAATGTACTTAAAGCATTTTCATATGCAAACTTTCATACATTACAAAATTTATTTTCTGTAGGTGAGCCCCTACGGCTTCCTGAAGCATATCTGGCTAATGTATGTTATATTAGACCGGGGCATTAGCTATGGAGTTCAGACCTACCAGGGACCAGTGCCAGAACCTGGCCCCTTCAGAGAGGTTGCAGGGAGCAATTGCCCTGGAAAATTCCCCCTGTGGTTTGGCGTTTTCCTTATCAGCCATCGACTGGGGTTAGGCACCCAGAGAGGTAGGCATAACAAAGCAAACCCCACATGGTAAGAAACTAACAACAAAAACTGAACAGAGAGGTAGAACTCCCCACAATCCAAAAGAAACAAGCAAACATGCAAATGTAACACACTACAGTACTGCTGCGCTGCTCGTCCGCGCAGCCCTCCCCATCCCGAGAGGGGGAGGGGGGGTCCCCTGGACCTCACCGCGCCGGCTGCATAGCACTCCAGTTCGTAAGCTAATGTCAACCGGGACAGACTTTTCTCTGGCCTCGGTTTCCTAAGTGGTGTTTTCCTTTGTGGCGCTCTTTGTTGTGTTTTTGTGTTGTGCGGTGGCCAGGTGTTCCTCATCAGTACCGGGGCTGCATGTGCTTAGGGGCTTCCTTCCCTAAGTGCCCTGTGAGTACATGTACTACCCTGAGATAATGAGATAACCCTGCATGACAGGGTTATCTTCCCTGGGGGCGTTCGGGAACCATTCCCATAGAGGTTCTTGCTGCTCAGCATTTGCCTCGCCCTTGGGGCCAGCTGTGGCTTGGGGCCCTTGTTTGGCCTTGGGTAGGGACTGGTATTGTGCTGGTTCTGGCATCACAGTATTGCGCGACCTGCTGCCTACGCGGTGACCGGTTCCTGTTGCCTACGTGGTGACCGGTTCCTGTTGCCTCTGGGGACAGTGTACTTTTGCTGTTTTTTTCTTTTGTTTTTATTTTCATTTGCCTGGTGGGGGGGGTCTGCCTAGTGTGGCTATAGTTCCACTGGTAATGTTTGGTGGCCCTCTGCTAGGCCCCTGTGATTGTACACGTCGCATGGGTGTTCAGTGTTGCATCTAAACCTTGTTAGCTTTGGGTGTTTAACCGGTTAGTAACTCCTTGCCCGGGCTTCCCGTAGCAGTCAGCCTACGGGCCCTGGAAAACCCTGTCGGGGCTCGGTGGACCATTGAATGTGTCTTCCGGGTTCCATCCTGTCTTGTGCGGGCCTTGTCTCAGGGTGACAGTCGCCACTTTTACCTCCGTCATGCTACCTGTTGGGTCACTGACACCTTGACCCAGAGTCTTGCAAGTTGTGTTCTCTGCTTGTTCTCCAGTACTCTCCTGATGTCCTTACTGTTCAAAGTAAGTTCCAGCTTACGTTCGGTGTGGACATCACGTCCGTCCCGTTCCGTACACTTGTGCTTTTTCACCTCCGGCCTGTTCATGCACCACCAGAGCTGTCCTGGTCCTTGGTGAGGGTTCTCTCTTATCTTTCCTCTCCTCGGTTTGTGGTTTCCCCTTCGGTTCATGATTGTTTTTCAATGGTCCTATATTTGTTGGTGTTGGCTTCTGGGGGTCGGGTCAGAGAGCTTTCGGCTCTCCTCCGGCATAAGGGTTTTACTCTTTTCGTTCTGGTGGTAGGTTTGTACATTTTCAGCCTTCTTCGTCTTTTCTGGCAAAGGCTGAGACGGCTGCTTTCCGGAGGGGTCCTTGGGTTATTGATGCATGGTAGGTTCGGCTGGGGGTGCGTCATGTGTTGTGTCCGGTTGCGGCTCTTCGTCGTTACCTGTGGGCCATGGCTGGGGATGTGCTTTGGGTTGATCCAGTTTCCCCTCGTTCCCTGTTCCAGGGCTTGGAGTCTCCCAGGTCTATCGCAGGATTAAGTCTAGCCAGTCTGCGGTCTATCCTCGTGCCCGTGCCGTTCGGACGTTTGCAGCTTTCGCTGCCGTGTTTGGTAATGTGTCTTGGGCTCATTTCAGGCGCAGGGATTTGTAGGTCGTACAGGTTCCTGGCCATCGGTTATTTTGTGATCATGTCTGCTTCTGGGCGTTTTGGTGTTGCTTTGGGTCGCAGGTTGCAGCCTGTTGTCTCGACTTCACGTTGTGGAGTGTGTGGCGGCCGCCTCCCGGGTCAGCTCTTTCTTTTCCTTCTTTTTGGGTATGAAGCTCCAGGAAGCCGTAGGGGCTCTCCATAGAAAACCAGCATTGAATTTAATGAAACGTCATTTTCTGGATGAGCCCCGGAGGCTCTCTGGCAACCCTCCCTCCCCCACCGTTTTTTTTTTTTTTAAGCTTAGCTTCCGAACTGGAGCACTATGCAGCCGGTGCGGTGAGGTCCAGAGCCCCCCTGCTCCCCCTCTCGGGGAGGGGAGGGCTGCATGGACGAGCAACGCGTCAGTAGTGTGTTAAATTTGCTTGTTTGCTTGTTTCCTTGGGATTGTAGGGAGTTATATCTCTGTTCGGTTTTTGTTGTTAGTTTCTTACCATGTGGTGTTTGATTTGTTATGCCTACCTTTCTGGGTGCCTATCCCAGGTCGATGGCAAATAAGGAAAACTTCCCCCCCCCCCCAACCATGGGGGTTTTCCAGGGCCATTGATCCCTGCAACCTCTCTGAAGGGGCCAGGTTTTGGCGCTGGTCCCTGGTAGATCTGAACTCCATAGCTAATATCCTGGTCTAATATAACATACATTAGCCCGATAAGCTCCAGGGAGTTTCCGGGGCTCACCCAGAAAATGGCGTTTCATTACATTCAACGCTGGTTTTTTTATATATTTATATTTTCAGGAAAAATATTATTATGCTATCTATGATATGGTGGTGAGAGGATCATGTTCATGCTATGGGCATGCATCACGCTGTTTACCACTGCCAGGTGTAGAAGATCGAGCAGATATGGTACATGGGCGCTGTGAATGCACGCATAATACTAAAGGTCTTAACTGTGAAAATTGTGAAGACTTTTTTAATGATTTACCTTGGAGACCTGCTGTTGGAAAGGAATCCAATGCTTGTAAAAGTATGTAAAAATTATTGTCTATTTCTGAAATAGTGTAATAGCTTCTTATCTAGGTCATACTGCCACAAAATCTCAAGTTGTTTTAATTCAATCTTTCAGGGATTCTGTAATGCTTGGTTGAGTAGAGCACTGGGTGCTGCCTGATGTAGAGAAATACCAAATTGACTATAGACTTTATTAGATATTGTATTTTGAATGTAAAAACCCTGATCAAATCTAAGATTCACAAGATTAAGTCTTGTGCAGAACAACGGGTGGTTTCAGAGTAGTGAAAATAGGGTGAGGTCGAGGAGATGGTGGGGGTGAGGAAGTGAAGGTACGGTGGGGATTTTAGTTGCTACTCTATTCATTTCTGAAGTATTAATTTAGCAGTGGGGATTACAGTGGTAATTACTCCTTGATTCTGCTTTAAAATTGGCAAATAGATGTAAAACTGCACATACTGTATATACATAAATAAATTACCATTATCCCATTTCCTTCATCTGACGGGAAGACATCAGCCCGTAGAAAAAAGTAATATAATGAAAGTAGGTTATAGCTTTTAAATAACAAAAACATTAAAATGTCACTTGACCTTTCATTATGGCATTCATAAATTCAGTGTATTGCATCACAGAAACGAGCATCAATACACTCCAGTAGTCATCCATAGCAACTCACTGCCTCATAAGACCAGGTGTAGACTTTAAAATATTAAAATGTCAGTTTTCCATGAAATTATTGAATCTAGTGACTGGTTAAAAAACTTTTTATAAGTATAAATACATTGACTAATCCTAGGTAATATATAATTTGTAAATATTTTTTTGTTTTTCTCTTCACAGAATGTAACTGCAACAATCATGCATCATTGTGTCATTTTGATCCACAAGTTTATGAGGATACAGGTCGAATCTCTGGGGGTGTGTGTGATGATTGTTCGCACAACACTCAAGGTCGTAACTGTGAAGAGTGCATACCATTCTATTATCAGGACCCTAACAGAGACATACGGGAACCTGAGATATGCCAGCGTAGGTTCTTTTCGCCCTATATCAATGATAATAGTTAACATTAAAAGATATTAAATATAACTTAAATATAACTAGTGTTATGTTTATTATGATAGCATAATTTAAATTTTTCAATATTTAATGAAAGTGAAAAATAACTTTGCATAACTTGTGCTCAATAATAATAGATATATCTTTACCCTCCAGCCTGCAACTGTGATACCCGTGGTTCAATTGACAATGCCATATGTGATTCTCGCACTGATATTTCTGGTGGCCTACTTGCTGGCAGGTGCCACTGTAAAGTATATGTTGATGGCCTGAAGTGTGACCGCTGTAAGGCTGGCTACTGGAACTTCTCGGCTGAAAACCCAGAGGGATGTCAGGGTAAGCTAAATTCTAAGTTGCTTTATAATGTTAATAACAGTATAATCAAACATAAAGAACAAAAATAATGTAATTAAAGCCACATTTGTTTCACCTAGTCATGTCTAAAAGTAAACAGAATAAATTATGCCATTACTCACAGGTGGCATTTCAACTGATTGTATCCTTTGCAAAGGTACAAATGCAAAGAAAGTATAGTCCAAGGGAGTAGGTATCAAGGAACTGTGTAGTGAACTCAAGAGGTGAATATCCATTTCTTTAAAATACATTAACTAAATCTGAGAAGAAAACCGATAACCCTGGCAGTTAAATAAGAAAAAAACATTGGCATATACTCACACAAAAAGCATCCCCTAATTGCATAAGCCCACTGCAAAATGAAACACAAGTTTCAAGAAACACTGGCCCTGTCAGGTTATATCAATATAACCTGACAGGGCCAGTGTGAATGGATCCCTACTGTGCCAGTGCAGTTTGTCAACCTTTTGTTTTGACTTTGGGATCAACTGAGTGGCAGGCAGTGTTCAGAATAAGAACTTCTGTTCTTATGCAGTGTTCAAAATTATATGTGTAATTGCTGTATTGTTTTAGTACTAGCTTCCTGTTTGTTTGTGCCTCATCTTGGTGTGTGTGTTTGTGTTTGTATGTATTTATGTATGGATGGGTGTATGGATGGATGGAATGTATGTATGTATGTATGTATGTATGTATGTATGTATGTATGTATGTATGTATGTATGTATGTATGTATGTATGTATGTATGTATGTATGTATATGCTAAGTAGAAATTTTAATATTCCAGCAGTCACAGAAGATTATTATTCTCAACCAAAATCAGAATGGCCTCAGAAATGTAAGGATGTCAGTTTATAGAGATGAGCTTTTAGTATTATCAAGCACAACTTAACAGTTAACATTTAATTATTATGGTTAATTTTCTTTTTTGAGTGCCATAATATTTACCCCTTTGGCTGTGTTTGGCATGTACAGTAGTTCTTGAGATGTAGTTTTCTATCAAAAATTATTATTTAACCCTTGTTTATTATGAACCCTATACCCTCTTGTGGAAAATGGAGAAATAAGTCACATAAGTTCAGGAACTGGGCCTCATTGTTGTATAAGCCAAGTTCAGTAATTATATTTGTGTTGAACTAGTTAGATTTAACTTACCTTAAATTTGTGATAGTTACAAGGGTAGTGATCAAATTTCATTATTGTAGCTTAAATTACCATACATGGTCAAGAGAAACAAGAGAGTTGCCGGCAGTATAAACTTTGTGTGTGGGTGTATTTTGTTATTTACAATGGGCAGACTTTGGATATTTAGCTAGGATTTTGGTAATGTTATCCCAGATCAAATTCATGGATTTGGACATTAGTGTTAGGGCTCTCTCTTTTTCTTAGGTTTTTCACATTACATAGTGACATCGGGTACTTGAATAATTTTGCTGACTAAGTTTGTTTGGTCAGTTCTACATCAACAGGTGGATATTAGCTCCCAGGTGTCTTTATAGCAGAGTCTATGCCTATCGGTATATATTCCAGTTTGAGACTGAAGAGTGTCATAAACATTTTCTTTAGTACTTATCCATTCATACTTGTGTATTTAAACAAGATTCTGTAATTTGCTAGCATAGCATAGGCTCCTCACATATCTTTGATGTAATCTTCTGGTGACAGTTTAGTATCCTGAACCACCACTAGGTCTTTCTTGCCAGAGCCCTTTAGTATCTTTTCACGTAATTTATAGGTTGGACGAGTCCTGTTTTCCCTCTTTTTCTGTATTCCATTATGTAGCATTTATTTACATTGAATTCAATCTGCCATGATTTGCTCCATTTATTTTGTCAAGGTCATTTTGAAGAGCTTGTTTATGCATATTTGGCTATATTTTCCAATAAGAAACAAAAATTATGCTTTTTTAACAGAGTGTATAACATGTACTGAAACCTAGCTTGTGTTATATAATAGTATAGTGTAAGTACTTAATGAAGTTTGCTGTTATACTCTTTTCCCCAGTGACTGTGGGTAAGGATATGAGTTTGTTTGAATACTTTCCTTCAGTGAAGATTGTTAATACAGTATTAAATATTAGTTGTGTTTGTGGTTTTAATGGACGAAATAATGCTCATGATGAATTGCATTACTGTGTGGATTGTATAGTAAAATAAAATTATTTGTTTAAAACTAATAAGCAATGTAATGCCCTATTCATGTACTGTACATAGAATACTTTTCAAGTTCTTATTGGATTGTCTTTGTAAGATTTTTCATAATTTGTCCAGAAATGGTCACTTGCCAAATGGTCAATTTGGGCACCAAATTAATAGTTAATTTCTTGTTTAGGATGTTATCAAATATTTTAGATTTATCTAATTGTTAATTTAAATTATAAGTTTAATGTACAAAGCTGTACAAACAACAATTTTAATTTTGTAAATGCAGACATAGTTTGTTGACAAGTTTAAGTAAAATGTTCGCAATTCTTTGCTTCAGCCTGCTCATGTGATATCCTGGGAACTATTAATAATTTGGGCTGCAATGTCCTGACGGGCGAATGTTCCTGTAAGCGTTTTGTTACTGGTCGAGACTGTAACCAATGCTTGCCTCAACATTATGGCCTCTCAGAGCACCCAGATGGCTGCCAGCCATGTAGTTGTGATAGAGGTGGTGCACTCGACAATAACTGTGATGTTATCAGTGGTCAATGCAAGTAAGTAATGTCTGTTGTGTTAAATATGCGTTCCATTTTGTCCTTGAGGTTGTCTGTATATTTATACTTTCCCCTATTGGGATCCGTTGTGATTTTCGGTGCCGAAAAGTGAAGATTAACTAAAATATTGTATGTTTTCATCATCATTTACCTGGGATCACATGGTGAGCAATGTCCCTATCGATACCTGTTGATTCTTAGGAGCAACATCCCTGCAGCCCAGTCTCTGACCAAGCATCCTGTTTGGTGGTCTGGTCAACCAGGCTATTTGATGAGGTTGCTCACAGCCTAACATATGAGTCAAAGCCTTGTTAAGTATCCTTTGAAGGTGTTTATAAAGATCTCATTTGAACACTGCAAGAGGTTGGCCAGTTATGGCCCAGTATGTGTATGGGAAGATTTTTGAAAAGTCTTGGGTCTTTGATGTTGGTAGAGTTCTCTCTCAGCATGTCTATTGCACCACTTTTTTTTTTTTTTTTTTTTTTTTTTTTTGCCACATCCTACCCTAGGTACAAGTGTTGTAAACTTGCCTGATCAGACCATGATTCTTCTGATTCAGATCTTGTTGTTGAGGAATAGTCAAGATTATAATACTGCTCTCTAGGTGCAGATCTGACAGGCCTCTCACCAAAGAGGGAGTGAAGTGAAAATAAATGCCATGACTGAATTGATACTAGGGGTGTATGTGCCCTGCACATACAGAAAACTCTTGGCAATAAAGTCGATGATTAGAAAGTAAGTCTAAAAATGTGTATGTTGCACATCAGCAAGTACATAACTATGGGTTGAGTGAATGTCCAAAATGAGAATGCAGATTGATGATACCTTACTTACTGAGGTTTCTTCTGCAGAAGAAAATGCTAGTCAGCACAATAACCCAAAATCCAGGCACTGCCATTTCATTTAACCCATATATCACTTTAAATTATTGTTTAGGTGTGATGTTCTCCTATTAACTGATGTGGCATTCTTGGGTAATAATTTGAGAAGGGCTTGTAAACCAGCAGATTGTGAAGGTTGAGAGACTTGTGAAGGACACTTGAGTGAAACCAACCCTGATATTTATATTTTTCATATAAGCTCTTATAATAACATTCATATTCTTCATATAATAACCTTTGCCTCAGCATAATGAAACAGCATATTATTGGTTCCTGCTAATGCCGTATGTTCTAATCTACATACGTGCTATCATTGTGAAGTATATGAACATATCGTCTGACAGGCGCCTGACAGCTGGGTGGACGGCGCTTCAAATTCGTAGTCCTGAGGTTCTGGGTTCGATCCCAGGTGGAGGCGGAGACAAATGGGCAAAATGTTTCATTTACCCTGATGCCCCTGTTACCTAGCAGTAAATAAGTACCTGGGAGTTAGACAGCTACTACGGGCTGCTTCATGGGGGGGTGTGTAACAAAAAGGAGGCCTGGTCGAGGACCGGACCACGGGGACGTTAATCCCCGAAATCATCTCGAGATAACCTCAAGAAGACGAGATCGCTCATTATTTAAAACAAAAAAAAAAGTAATCAGTAAAAATGTGTACTGTAGCCAACCATTCCATGAACATTCAGACTTTTCTGACCCTTTGTGCTGCTTTCATTGCCGTAGTAAACATACTACATCTTCTGAAGACCATGAAGGATAGAAGTATGAAGGAGATCTTAACTGTAAAGGCAATTAGAAGGATAAGCTTTGTGGAGGCTTAGTCAAACACTTGCTTATTACTCTACAGTCTTTCATGCTCAGACCTCTTCTCCAACTGTTATGTCAGACCACTACAAGTCGGTTATCCTACTCCATAGGAACAGCCAGTTTATCTGCTACATTCCTCAGGACATCCTTGGGGCATACATTTCATGTTGAGGGGTTCCTCAAGTGACATCAATCTCAGTGTAGTCTGCAGTCTCTGGAGTGAGCAGCTAACATTTAGTCTACCATTGGTTCTGTGAAGGCTCCTCCAAATGTCTGCACTCTCATCCCATCCCACTGGCACCAGTCTTTGTTGAGGTTGATGCCTGTTTGTTCTCGAGCTGACCTGAGCTCTGGTAAGGTTTTTCTAGGGGTCGGATTCTATTGGCACTTGCATCCCAATGGTTTTGATTGGCTATACCAGGCTACCTCTTCAGCAAGAGCATATTGTATATAGGTCACAGGTACTGGGGAGTCACTTGACAGAGTGGTTCAATTGGAGAAAAGCTGTTCGTATAAAGGTCTTCAAAGCTTGGGGCAGTTAAGATGGGAAGTTTTACACAAAACTCCAGGCCTTACTTTACAGTGTTTCTCAAACATATTTGATAGCAACCCTAATTACAAATTTGTGAGAAGGACCTGTGAATGTCTTCCAAAAGATCTGGACTCGAATCTGGCCTCCCTCAAAGAGGTGAAAGAGCGTCTGGAGATCAAAACTTTAACCTAGTCACCCATTTTATTGTAGTCAATGTCTTCCTCCTACACTGTAACTTTTCAGAATTTCTTATAAGTTTTAAAATCAATTCTGTAATAGGCCTTATCTAGGTCCTTGAGAGCCACTTAAAATTACTTCTCCTTTTTATAGTCATTCCTACTGCCCTTGTTTGAAAGATTAGATTATTCTCTATCAGTCTATTCATAGTATAAGAAAATAATCTTTCTCACATTAATGGTCAGAAACTAATATGAATAAACCTCCTAATATATTCTTTACTCTTCAAAATATTTATCCAAATATTTTAAGATCATGAAATTCGTGATTATTCATTTGTTGATGATATCTGAACTGTCTGTAGGTGTCGCCCACATGTCTCTGGTCGTCGATGTGACGTCCCTGAAGAAGGTTACTATGTGGCAACATTGAACTACCTTACTTATGAAGCTGAACTTGCACGGGGTTCTGAGGTTAGTTGATTGTTATATTTTAAATGGAAGTTACATATGCTGTATAATAGAGTTGTTAAATTGTTTTGCTTGGTATATATCTGGTGATAAAAATTTAAAAGCGCCCTGTATATGTTCTATAATACAGTACTCAGCATCACTTGAAAATATGGCACTGAATGAAATGAATCGCTTATTTTTGGACTGGTTCCATAGTTCTTTTGAGCCAGCAACATATATGGTTCACACACAATCCACCTGCCAGACTTGATCATTTGTTCACCCATAATGACCCGTTTCTTTAAATATAATCTGGCCATGTAGTTAGGGAAGAGTGACAGTGGTTAACTTTAACTATTAAGCTAACTTTAACTATTAAGCAAAAGAACAAATGTTAAACTTGACAGACTCCCCTCCAAGAGAGAATTCAAATATATTCACATCAGTTCTTGCTCTGCTAAGTACCAGTTGAGCAATTGGCTCCTATTCTGACTACTGAAGTCAAGTTTTGAATAAAATGAAATGCCTCTTTCTGTTGAGCTCTCAGAAGCTTCCTTGAGGTACTGAGGGCTGGTGCTGCCAAGCATTCAGTAGCTTGGTGCTGCCAAGCCTTAAGAATTTCACCAGTCCTCAAAGATCTACCATTGACTACCAGGAGCTAGGACCATAATTGGGCTCTCTATAAGGTAAGGTGAGGGAAGCTTAGAAATTGGATATTTACCTAAAACCTAGAAATAATCAACCAGAGGGAAATATGGAACTAATGAGGGCTCATCAGAAAAGAGATTTCTGGGAGGGTGCCATTAGTAGCTTCAAAAACTTTCTTGCAATGGTACCTTGGCAGAGGCGTCTATCATTTCCATCCAGAAAAAGATGGACATGGCTAACCCATGGGATGAGATGGCAGAAAAGGGTAGGTCCTAGGGCAGAGGTGTACCAGCCACATGCCAAATGGTGAAGAGCACCCCATGTGCAATGAGGCCCAGAGGGACAAAAAATAAACAAAATTAAAATGTGGGAAGCTAAATCCTTGGACCACCAAAAGGCCAGTCAGAAACTGTGGACAAAATAGGAAAGAAAGCCAATAAATAAGCAAAAACTATGCACAGCATCAGAGCAAGGACAGACTGCTCGCTAGCTGAAACAGACCACAGACTGCAAGAAAACGAATTGCCTTAGACCAGGGAATGGGGCAGCCAGAAAGGAAAAGCACCACCCCAAAATGGGCAGAGTCCCAACACTGATGGCAAGCATAACATCCTATCATTTGATAAATGTCTGAAGAAAAGGTAATACCAAGACCCCATGCCAGGAAACCACTGAGCAAAGGGACCAGGTGGGTGGACTGGGAACCTAGCCAGGGAAAACGTACATAGACCGAGGAAAAAATCTCTTGGCACACAGCACAAGAAAACCCCAGGGTGTAAATGGTTACAGTGATCAAGGTTATGTGTAGTGGAGATGGTTTCAATGATGAAAGTGGTGTGCAGGAAAGTGGTGATGATAGTGGGTAATGAAGATGTATCCATCATCTGATGGACACATCCTGGGGGGCCTGACAGCTGAGTGGACAGCACTTGGGGTTCATAGTCCTAAGGGTCTGGGTTCGATTCCTGGCAGAAGGCAGAAACAAATGGTCAGTTTCTTTCACCCTGATGCACCTGTTACTTAGCAGTAAATAGGTATCAGCCCGAAGCAGCTGGTATCTGCTTCGGGCTGGTATTGGAGATGTGTGCGTGTGAAAATTAGGATTAAGGACTTGTCTGAATTGCTATGCATGCTAGTGGCTGTACAAGAATGTAAGAACTCTTGTATATATGAATAAAAAAATAAATAAATAAAAGATAAAAAACAAAATCACTTGAGCATTGCCTGGTGGCCCCTCTAATACTATAATTTGATATCAATATTGCTTCGATAAAATACAATGGAACCTTGGTTTTCAAACTTAATTGATTCCAGAAAGTGATACAAATGCCCTAAAGTTTGAATACTGAACAATTTTTTCCCATAAGTAATAATGTAAATAGGATTAATCCATTCCAGACCACAAAATTAAATATATTAGTGCAATAATTAAGTGAAACATATGCTGACACACTACACACTTTACCTGCACTTAGGAGAGTTGATGGCATGTGGAAGGTGGTGTAGCAGAGGAAGAGATGTTTATTCTTTGGCAGGGGAATCCCCTACCATTATAACTTCTGGTAGTTGTGCTTCTGGGGTTCTTTCCCTTTTCTGTCTTTCTTTCTTTCCCTCGTTAGACTTGCTGGATGCTTTTCTTACAAGAAACTTGTCGAAGAATGATTGCTTTTGCCTGAACTTTAAAATGTTTCTAAAATGAGACATAGCATAAGTCATTCAACAGCTTTATAACACAGTTTGTCACAACTTTGTCAGGATGATATTTTCCAAGAAAACTTTACATTTCTCCCCATTTTGCACATGTTTCTATTATTAAAGAACTAGATACATAACAAACTTGTTAATGAGCAGACACACGGGCACAACTTTCATATTTAGCTATGAGGTATTTCTTCATCTGTCGTGGTTCTAACTATTTTTCTTCTTGCTCGGCTCTAATCACTAACTTTCTTAGGTAACATGGTGACTTGTTTACACTAAGAATATAAAAAATATCCAAAATCTTAGAGTAAAGTGAAGTGGGTTGGCTACTGAACGACAGCTATGGTGAAATTGATGCGTCAGGGATGCATGTTTACGTGTGAATGCCGAGCAAACGGACGAATACCGAACATGAACACGGCATTCGAATGCTGAAAATTTTGAATTGGGAGTAATTCGAATACCGAGGTTCCACAGTACTAGTTTTATGCATTGTGAGCACTTCAGAACTTGTGATGTCATAATAGTATTTGTTTGTACTTAGTTTTATGAGTACTGATTCATTACTGAATGGTAAGTTAACTACAGTATATCTTATTGTGTTAGTGTAGGATGATTAGAGCAAATAGGTAAGGATATGAATTATAATTTTATCTGTGAATATTTATTGCAGCTTTATTGTGAGGAGGCGAGTCTGTATGACTTCAGAAAATCCAGTGGAAATGTATGTATTTAGCTATTTATAAAAGGATTGTTGTGGTGTTGGTGCTTATTTATATAAACCATCTAACCTACGCAGAGAGAGAGATGTTGATCATTTACAATAGTTCGAATGCTGGGGATAATGCTTTAATGTTAGGCAGAGTTCCAGAATAAGGTAACTGGTGTTGGAATAGTCTTCAATAGCATCAGTGATATGACTGTTTCACTCCAAACTGTGCAGTCATATTTGAGAAACATGGCTAAATACAAAAATGTTGTTCAATACAATAAAGTATATTTTCTGTGGGGAGCTCCTTCAGCTCCCTGGAGCTATCGGACTGATATACGCTATATTAGTCTGGGGCTTCAGTCAATTGAGTTCTACCTATCGGGGACCATGAGCCAGAACTTGGGCCCCCCTTCCCCTCACAGACTGCCCTTTCTTTACTCAGGGAGTGTTTCACTTGTTTTGTTGGACCCACACGCTTGAATGGCGTGAGCCTGCCACCGTTCTGCAGGTTTATTTTGGGGGGCAATTTTGAGCCCCTCAGTGCGTACCTTTTTGCCCCTGTGCTTCCTCAGGATGTTGGCCTTCAGCAGCTGCACGGGCAGGTTTTCACCCTTTTGGTGACTTTGGTAGCTAAGGATTTTTGTTCCCGCGGGCATTTGGCCTAAGACTTGCGCTTCTTTGCCTTTTTGAGTTGTCCTCTGACTGGCTTGGGGAGGATGTGGAGGCGTCGAGTGCTGTGCCTTCGTCTGGGGCACTGGCCTCAGCGGCCAGGGCATTGACTGCGCTGTTGAAGCTCTTTATGCCGTAACTCCGGGAGGCAGCGTCTCTGTTCTTTGCCTCTCACCTCACGTGTCGCCAGGCCGTCCTTGCTTTCTTCTTGGAATCTACTTGGGTCCTGACTTGGATTTTCTTCACCCTTTTGTCTCTTGTTGTTTGCGGACATTGGTATGACTCGGTTTCTGCAGTCTAGTTGCCGTCCTCTTTCGGAGTTTTTGGTTCTTTGGGGTGGCCATTCTCAGGCCTCCCGGACGGGTCATGCCAGGGCCTGGGGTTCTTTTGGTTGAGGTGGGGCCTTGGTGTCAGTTTCAGAGCCGGTGCCTCCTTCAGAACCGGTGTTGTCTGGTCTGCACAATGCTCGCTCTGCTCGTCGGTCGGCTTTTCGTTAAGGGGCATCAACCCTTTTACGGTTTGCCGAAGGGGCTCCCCTCACAGATTACCAGCGGTGAATGTAATGAAACACCATTTTTTTGGGTGAGCCCCGGAGGCTCCCTGGCACCCTCCCTTCCTCCAGCTGCGCCGGCGGTGGATGACGTTTGCGAAAAACTAACAGAGAGGTAGAAACTCCCTACAATCCCAAGGAAACAAGCAAACATCACACTTTACTGCCGTGCCGCTCGTCCGCGCAGCCCTCCCCTCCCCAAGAGGGTCATGGTGGGGCCCCCGGGTCTCACCGTGCCGGCTGCCTAGCATCAGTTCGTAAGCTAATGTCAACCAGGACAGATGCTTCTCTGGCCTCGGTTTCCTAGGTGGTGTTTGCCTTCGTGGTGCTCACTGCTGTGTTTTTGTGTTGTATGGTGGCCAGGTGTTCCTCATCAGTACCAGGGCTACATGCACTTGGAGGCTTCCTTCCCTAAGCGACCTGTGAGTACTGCCTTTGCGTGACAGGGTTATCTTCCCTGGGGTGTTCGGGAACCATTCCCTGTAGAGGCTCTTGCTTCTCGGCATTTGCCTCGCTCTTGGGGCCAGCTGGGGCTTGGGGCCCTTGTTTTGCCTTGGGTAAGGACTGGTATTGTGCTGGGTAGGGCATCAAGGTGTTGCGCGACCTGCTACCTACACGGCGACCGGTTCCTGTTGCCTCTGGGGACGGTGTACTTTTGCGGGGTTTTTCTTTTGTTTTAATTTTCATTTGCCTGGTGGGGTCTGCCTCAGAGATTATACCATGAGTAGGATATGCTCACGGTATGGGGTTTTCTGGTGGTCCTTCTTTTTCTTTGTCTTCTTGTAGGTGTACTGCGTTCTTTGTTGTTGTGGTCTTGTTTCTCTTTCGTGGTGGTTCAGGGCCGTCTTCTGGCTGCATACCGTCGCCATGTCTCATGCGGCACTGGCAGAGCTGCTTCGGATTGCTCCAGTTTTGTTGTTCCTTCTGCACCATTCGCGGGCTGTCTCAGGCATTGTTCACCTCCGACCTGCTCGTGCTCCACCTGAGCCGTCCTGCTTTAGGGCAGGGTGCTCTTTTCTCTCTTCCCTTCGGTTTGTTGTGGTCCCTTCGGTTCCAGAGGGGTCCCTGGGGTTATTGCTGCTTGGTTGGTTTGCTGGGGTGTTTTCTTCTTGTGTCCAGTTGTGGCTCTCCGACGTTTTTTGTGCGCCACGGCCTCTGTGGTCGGGGCTGCACTTTCGGTTGGTCCAGTTTCCCTTCTTCCCTGTTCCCGGGTGTGGGTCTCTCGGGTCGTCTGCTGGGTCCTTCTGTCTATCTGGCCTGCGGTCTCTCCCCGTGCCCTTGACGTTCGTAGGTTTGCTGCGCTTACTGCCGTCTTGGGTGGCATGTCTGGGCTGACATTCGGGCACAGGGTAGTTTTGGTGGTCGTGCTGGGTCCTGGCTGCACGCTCCCTCGTGTATGTTTCTGGGCCTAGTCGGGCCTGTGTTGCCTTGGATCGGCTGTTGCAGCTTGTTGTCTCAACTTCATGTTGTGGTGTGAGCACCAACTGCCTCCCAGATGCGTCCCTCTGTTTTCGTCTTTGGTGAAGTAGCTCCGGGGAGCCATAGGTGCTTCCCCCAGAAAACCAGCATTGAATGTAATGAAACGCCATTTTCTGGGCGAGTCCTGGAGGCTCCCCGGCAACCCTCCCTCCCTCCCTCCCTCAGGTCGGCGTGTTTTTCGCATTTTTGATATTCGGCCTCGGAACTGAAGTGTGGATTGCCAACACGAGGGTCTGGGACCCCCCTTTCCCCTCCCGGGGAGGGGGGGGGGGGAGCTATGCAGACATGCGGTGCGACTCGTGTGACATAATGCTTGTTTGCTTGTTTTTCTTTTGGGGAGTTCTGTCCACTCGTTTGGGGATTTTCGTTGTTTTAACCAGAATAGGGGTTTGTTTTGTAGTGCTTACCTTTCTGGGTGCCTGTCCCGGTCAATGGCAGATATAGAATGCTCCAAATCACATGTGCATTTCTATGGGCCATTGCTCCTTGTGCCTCTGTGAGGGGGGCCAGGTTCTGGCTCGTGGTCCCTGGTAGGCCTAAAACTCCACCCACATCGACTGATGCAAACTAGTTAGGGTATCCATATCAGCTGGATAGCTCCGGGGAGCCTCCGGGACTCGCCCAGAAAATGGCGTTTACATTACATTCAACGCTGTTTTTTTTTTTATACATTTTTGGTGATTTGCTTTTGTTTTTGTGTGGTGTGTTTTTTGGTTTTGGTTTACTAACTAAATCATTTTAACCACTGTGATGTGCTGAGTTCATTGTGACATTCCCCTTGTGTGCATGAAATCAAGTGTTCCCCAAAATTTTTGTTTGTTTGTAAAATGATAAATTCCCTTCCCTAAACATGTCTATGTAAAAATAAATACCAAATTCCACTTACTTTGGCTGTGTGGACGTGGACAAGGAGTGCTGTGACGTCATCACAGGCTGGTCGGCCGTGTGTGAAGCTCCCAGAGGCGGTCACGTGGGCCATTCAAGCTCCGCGAGTTGCCACAAATATATTTTCAATTATTTGTTCTATGTATTTCCAATTTTTTTTTTTTATCGTATATGTTGCGTATTTGTGTCCTTTACAATATGCATACAATAGAACGTTCATACTCGTTAAAAATTCACTAAAATTACACTATATGTACAGTTTCACACACTATTTACACAGTTTGAAATGCTTGCCTAGTCATAATGAAGATGCTATATTATAGTTGGATAATATTTCCAATATAGCAACTTTGATCAGATTTTCTGCTTTATTAATTAATTATGATGGTATTGCAGTAATACCTAGAAGGCCTTAATATTTTTTCATGCTCCTCATGACACTTTATTGTTGGTAACATTTTATTAAGAAATTAGCTATTTAACTTCATTTAGCATGTTTTTTTGGCATATGACATTCTATTCAAACTTGGCAGGCCTTAAAAGCTCAAGAAAATATCTTGCAATGACTATTTTAGATATACAGGTGTAGCTGTTTCATCTTTCAGTGGCAGGCATTCTCTATGTATATATGAGGGGCTTATAAATCTCTGTGAAGCTTCAGAAAACATTGCAAGGGATGTATTGTATATGTATAATTGTTAATCAGTAGTTTTGTGCCTAGAAGCATTGCCACACGGAAAAAGGTAATTTTAAATAATAAATGCAAGGTTCTGATCACACCAGGCTCTGGTACTTTCTCTTGAGAAAGTGAATTACTGCACTAGAAAAGGCTGATGAGGCTAATCTTGCGTCCCTATGGTGCTTTTATAATGGGTTTACTACATTTAGAGTATGTCTTCTTTATTATAGTGTCTTTGGGATTTCATCTGATATTCAAATGGTGATAGCTATCATGGAAATGGTTTTTCTCTTGAGCAGCTATAGACTTCTTATCTAAATAAAATAAATTGTTTTCTATTTACATGTCTTTCATCTTTGAAATAGGAAATTATAGAAGTTTCCAATTTTGTGTGTGCTCTCTTGTTACTATTATTAATTTTTTTTTAGGAATTTACTATTATAATATGATAACCCATTCTTTAAAATGAGTCTTTGTAAATTCTATAATGCCTAGTATATTAACATATAGTGTATTTTTAAGCTGATTTATTCAATTTTTACACATAGAATTGTCAAGTTGTGATGAGGGAACCATATCGTGATGGACGAGTGACCAGCTGGACGGGCCTGGGCTTCATGAGAGTGTTTGACAATTCCTACCTTGAGTTTGAGATTGAAAACATTGAAACAAACATGGAATATGACCTTGTCATTCGCTACGAACCTCAGGTAAAAAGTTTAAATTTGTTTGTGTGCTGAATGTTGGTGCACTATGATAGGGGTTCTTTACTGGAAATATCCATACCCAAGGGGTATGAGATCCAAATAATGGGGATATAGGATTTAATCTTTGAACTATTTTTTTAAGTTGCTAGATTAGAATTAATTCATTTTTTTTTTAAATTCTAATTATTTTTGTTCAGCTGTTCTATTCCTAGTTATCTAGGTGCAAAAATAAAAATTAAGGCTATTGACATTTTTTAACCCCTGGACTATGCACCTGTTAATAGCTGTCAATTCTCCCTCCAACATGCAAGAAAATAATAATAATTTTTCTCCCAGTATTTAATAATAATAATTTTTTTCTGGGATACTACTACTACACCCTCGAGGATTCCTGAGGCTTCCATTGAAGCTGAACCGGGGTTTTACACAATTTTCCCCATGCACTCTGGCTCTGTTGTCCAATAACTCTACCTCTCATGCCCCTCTTTTAGTACACAGAGAAAATATGTATTCTTATGCATCTGGGAACACACCCAGTTCATAGGTTTGAATTCTCATCATGGCTTCTGTGGATTTTTTTATTATTACCATATTTAATTTTGTTTATTTTTTAATTGTTTATAAATCTCTGATATCAAGTGTTTAATTTTCAACAGTTTCGTGGGGAATGGGAAAATGTTGTGGTGACCATCGAACGTCCAGAGCCTATTGATCCAAATGGACCCTGTGGAAATAGCCGACCAATAGATGACCAGATGAGACTTAGTCTACCAGACAGTATGCACTTACATTTTTTGTGTGTCTAAGTAATCTTAACCCCAGCACTGCATAGCTGTTTTGTGTGATAATTTCATGCTGCAGTTGTTAAGAAATTAACATTAACTGAAAATTAAAAAAAAAAAGAGTTGAATGTAATGAAATGCAATTTTCTGGGTGAGTCCCGGAGGCTCCCCGGAGCTATCCAGGCTGAATGGATATATATAACTTTCTGGCATCAATCAAAGTGCTTGGAGTTCTTGCCTACCAGGGACCACGAGCCAGAACCTGGCCCCCCCTCAGAGAGGCATGAGGAGCAATGGCCTATAGTAACTCCCCTTGTGGTTGAGAGCATTCTATTTCTGCCATCGACCGGGATAGGCACCCAGAAAGGTAGGCGCCCTAAAACAAACCCCTATTCTGGTAAACATATTGCTATCAAAAGCCGAACGAGTGGACAGAACTCCCCCCAAACAAAATTATCAAACTAACATGACGTCATCACATCACCACGCCGCCGTCTGCGCAACCCCCCTCCTCGGGAGGAAGAAGGGGGAAGGGGGAGCCCCAGACCCTCTGTGCCGGCGATCCAACCGACAGTTCTTAGGCTGGATGTCAAAACACGCGAAAAACACTGCCGACCAGAGGGAGGGAGGTATGCCGGGAAGCCTCCGGGACTCGCCCAGAAAATAACGTTTCATTACATTCAACGCTGGTTTTCTGGGGGAAGCCCTGTCGGCTCCCTGGAGCTACCTCACCACAGATAAGGAAAAGAGGGAAGGATCCGGGAGGCGGAGGCAACACGCCCTAACACAAAAACAAGACCACAGACGAAACCAAAGGACCCCACAGATGACCCGGGAGACCCGAACCCCAAAACAGGAAGAAGAGAAGGAAGGGAACCCGGGCAAATCAAAACACGTCCACGGCCCCAGAGGCCAAGACGTATAGAGAACAGCGAAGAGCCTTAACTGAACACAACAAATGAAGCACCCCTGGCCTGACCAACCAAGCAGCAACCCAAGGACCCCTCCGGAAAATAGCAGACCCAACAATCACCCGGAAAGGAGGAGACAGCAGCAAACGAACAACCTACCACTAGGACTAAACGAGGCAGAAAAAACACAGGTGCCGGAGGAGAGCCAGAAACTCCCCGACCCGACCCCCAGAGGTCAACGGGCGCCAGAAGGGCAGGAGCAGGCCAGAGGTGAAACAACGCACAAGACGGCAAGCGAAATGAAGCAGAAGGAACAGCAACACTGAATGCAAGCTGGAGCGGCCCCACCAGCGCATCCCGATATGAGGCAATAGTACACGGCACCAGACGACGGTCCTGGAACAACCCGGCGAGAAAGACAAGACAACCCATCAGAGACTGAAGAACCCTTCGCAGTGATAGGAAAACCGGAAGGACTGCCAGGAAACTACACACTACCGCCAAGACAAAGCTCGCAGGTGGAAGACCAACAGCAAAGCCACCAGAGCCCACACAAGCGACGAAAAACTTGAGACAAAAACCCGAGACGCGAAGACTCAAGGGGAAGAACAAACCAGCCTCATACAGGGCTGGACCAATCCACAAAAAGAGGCGAAGCCATGGGAAAACCCCTCAGGATCGGAAACCGAGCAAAGCAGTGCCCCCCAGCCAAGGCTGGCAAAGAACCAGAAGGAATGGCCACTAGGGAACCAGGAACCCAATCCTGACGAACCAGAAAAGAACCAACCCGGGCAAGCAGACACGCCTTGTTCGGGAGGAATCCCCCCCCCCCCCCAGGACCCCTGAAGAACCAACAAGGCTGAAAACTGAAGAGCCAGGGGCCCAAGCAGAGGCCAACAAGGAAAACGAGCACCACAAACTAAAGAGAGATGCGAAGCGAAAAACGACGATCCTGGAACCCGAAGGAGCAGAGCTACCAGCTCCACCAGGGAAGAATGACACACGCATCTCCTATGTATACATGAGAACTACTCAGGATGTGTACTGCAGGAGAACAAAATGTACACTGTCATTTAAGCGACAAAACAAAAATGTACACTTTTGTACACAAAACGATTTGTTCACAAAAATGTACGTTATAGAAAATGGCAGGAGTGGTGGACCAGAAGTCTACAAACACCTGCAGACATTGCAACACAGAAGCTTGCAGTGAGATACAAGGAAAACGGGAAAGAACTAAGTTCCATAACCGAACACCGGGGCAGTCCAAAATCAGGGAACTGAACATGGACAGAGGCCCACCCCAGTACCTAACATGAGTATAGCCAATAAGCACCGACCAAGATACATAACCATGTGTAGCAGAAAGGAAGGAATAACGGAAATAGGCAAGGAAAAAACCCGAATTACGGACAAAGCAGCGGCCGGGAACGCACTCTACACGACCAACTACATCGTGTGTTGCGGTTGGTCGCACATACAGAGGTACACCATGGATAGAAGGGTGCAGCCAGGCACTGAAGATAGGCAAGAAAGGAGTGTCCAGAGATCGGAGACAGAGGCAGTGAATGAGGGCACAGGAAACACGGAATGAGGGAACAAAGGAGTGTCCAAATATCGAGAAAAGACCCAGGTGCCAAAATACTAAACAAAAGGCACCGAATTCGGGGCTGTGCCCCACAGTATAATGAAGAACAAGACACAGACAAAGTAAGGTCACAGTAAGACGCACGCTAAGTGTCCAAGCAAAACACTCAACACCGAACACCCCACTGAAAAGTGAGAACCAGCGCCTGCCCGACAGAGTCGCCAGATAGGACAATCTCATCTGCAGAACAGAGACACTACCGTGTCAAGACACAGCTGTGCCGTGCAATGTACCAGGAGCATCCCTAGTAGAGAATGTCCAGAGGTGCGTGCCCAGTAGAAGGTGAGGTGCATGCAGTACAGAGGCGGAGGAGGCGCCACTCTGAGCCGCCCCACACCCAGAAGCAGAGAAAAGAACTGGATATACCACCACACATAAAATCCAGAACATCCCAAGAACCCAGGGAGTTATGGCTGGAAATAAGAGGAGCGAGAATGGCGTAGAATCCGCGAGAAAGAACAAAGAACACCAACACATGTGTACACCGCCCAAAACATTCCCCCCCCCCCCCCCCCGGCACCTGCGCCTGAGGACAGAACCGCATACCCGCCTTCCGAGGAGGGATCCAGCAAGGCGTACGGAATGAATAATAGGAATGGCAAGACTGGAAAGAGAGTCAGTGAAAATAAAATAATGTTGAAAACAAAATCAAAAGAAGACGAGAAGCACTTAAGAGGACCAACAAGCCCGAGAAAAGACTAGAGGGAAGCCTCACCGAAAGTCAACAGACTTTCCAATAATATTGGAAGCATTGACGAGTTCCACGAACCAATGAGAACTGTGAAAAGCAAGCGCAAATGCACAGAGGCACATATGGCCTAAGAGACCTCTGACCAAGGTACATGCAGGGATCCTGATACGAAGGGAACATGTATGCAACACAAGCGCGAAAGGGAATGGAAAGGGGAGAAAAGCCCCCCAGGAATGACAGTACCGATGGACCCGAAGGGACACGGAACCGAACCCAGGGAGGGGTAGACCTGAAACCTACACGAACGCAGAGGGGAAAGGAAAAACCGCACTGAGGAACTGCAAGCCCCGCTCAGAGGGTACAAAAACCCAAGCGGGACAAAATGGGGCCTAGGCCCCCCTGGCCACCCCCTCCCAAACTCTGGGAACCTCTACGGCAGGACCCAGGGCCGAGCCATCCCCCCATAGCCCCAGTCCCACAAGGAAAAGTCGGGGCAGCTGTACAAAACACTAAGGAAGGGAGCCCACTGGTCAGACCCAAATGGCACAGCTGGAGGAACAGGCTTGAATGTCTCCGCTGCCACCCCGGAAGATGAAAACCCCCGAGACCACTCGAGTCTCAACCCAACCAGACCCCTGCCCCAACCCTGAAACCCGCCGGCGGGTCGGAGCCAGAAGCAAGGGGAAGGAAGTATGCACAACAGAAGGGAAAGGACTAGGAGAGGATGGAATCAGAGCCGAAGCGACTGCCACCCCCAAGTCCAGACCTTGAGAACCTAAACGGGGCAGTCTCGGGGCATCCGGGGCCGCAACCAACCAACCGTGATGCAGCAACCTAACCTAGCATGCAACGCCGAAGCTGCCTGCACCCGCATATCATGAGCAGTGACTCGGGTGAACGAGAGCACGTACAGACAAAACACGTCACACGATTCTGGGTCAAAGAATCACCGACCCAACAGGCAGCATGGCGGAGGCACTACTGGTGAGTGTCACCCTGAGACAATGGGACAGAGCAACCGTTAAACTCGCAAGATGTGAAGGGGGGCTCAGGGGTCACATCCATCAGACCATGTAGCCCCATTGGGGTTTCCCAGGGGCCCTTAACCTTGGTTACACACTAAGCCCAGGCAGGGTACTGCAAACCAGCGCCCAAGTCTACCAAACAAACTTCTAAACGCTGAACCCCGAGAAGTGTCCACTCACAGAGGCCAAGCTGGGCGTACCACCAAAACAGAAAATATATATATAAATACTCCTAGAACAGCAAAGGGGGGCCAAAAAGGCAGACCCCCCATCAGGCAAAAGAAAACAAAAACAAAAGAAAACCCCCGCAAGAGGACAACGTACCCAGGCGAAACAGAGCCGGCCGCTGTTATTGATTAAAACTAGCTGTGCAGTACCCCGTGCCCCTACCAGTGACGAAAACTACCTCCTACCCAGAGACAAACAAGGGCAACAAAATCCCAGCTGACTCATAGGGTAACCAAGTACTGAGCAGTAAAGGACACAGCAGATGTAGATCCCAAGGTGACTTGTGGAAGATGGCCCCAAGCCCCAAGGGCAGTATTTACAGGGCACCTAGGGAAGAAAGCCCTAGGTGCATGCAGCCCAAATACTGTGGAATATTTCACTTGGCTCACACACCACCTGTAGAGACAGCTCACACCACAAGGCACAGAACTGAAACAAAACCGGAGCCAGAGGCACCCATAGAGGCAGAGGCATAGACGCGATAAAGCACCTAAATTATTGGGATCGTCTCAAAGCCCTCCAAATGTACTCACTAGAAAGAAGACGAGAGAGAGATATCAAATAATATACACCTGGAAGATACTGGAGGGCCACGTACCAAATCTACACAGTAAAATAACAACGTACTGGAGTGAACGATATGGAAGAAAATGCAGAATAGAACCAATGAAGAGCAGGGGTGCCATAGGCACAATCAGAGAACACTGTAAAAACATCAGAGATCCACGGTTGTTCAGCACCCTCCCAGCAAGCATAAGAAATATTGCCGGAACAACTGTGGACATCTTCAAGAGGAAACTAGATTTATTCCTCCAAGGAGTGCCGGACCAACCGGGCTGTGGTGGGTATGTGGGCTTGCGGGCCGCTCCAAGCAACAGCCTAGTGGACCAAACTCTCACAAGTCAGCTTGGGGAGTAGAAGAACTCCCAGAACCCCATCAACCAGGTATCACCCGACTGGCCAGGAATCACCCGACTGGCCAGGAATCACCCGACTGGCCAGGAATCACATCAGCCAAGAAGTCAGTTGGATCGCCGGCGTGGAGAGTCTGGTGGAAAGACGGCAACACAGCGACGTGATGACATCTTGCTAGTTTGATAATTTTGTTTGAGGGGGTTCTGTCCACTCGTTCGGCTTTCAGTAGCCATATGTTCACCAGAATAGGGGTTTGTTTTGGGGTGCCTACCTTTCTGGGTGCCTATCCCAGTCTATCCCAGAAATAGAATGCTCCCAACCACAGGGGGGGTTTCTATAGGCCCTTGCTTCTCGTGCCTCTCTGAGGGGGCTAGGTTCTGGCTCGTGGTTCCCGGTAGGCAAGAACTTGAAGCTCTTTGACTGATGCCAGAAAGTTATACATATCCATTCAGGTTGGTTAGCTCCAGGAAGCCAACGGGGCTCCTCCCCAGAAAAGTCAATACTGTATTGCCAAATTCAACAATTTTAATTTCAAATCATAGAGAAAAAATAAAACATTATTTTAATGCTAAAATAAAATAATTTTTGCTCCGCCCATTGAGCGCCTTAAGGCATTATGTGCAGTGCAATGGTTAATGTATCATACATATAAATACTGTACTAGATTTTAATAAATGAATGGCAGTACTCTACACAATTAAGGTACTTGTATATGAATTCAAATTTAAGGAACATCACAAGTAATAGACTGTATCAGGTGACTTGGTTAACTTTATTCCACCTTTTCCCTCCATCTCTTCCTCACACCTTTGCTTGCTTCTCTCAATAACTTCCCTGTCATCCCTCTCTCCTCACCTCCCACTCTTCCCTTTCATTCCTTTCCTGTATCAGTTCTTTCCTCTACCCTTATAATGTGTAAATATATCATTTATTCATTACTAATGTGATATTAGGAAGCTTTGGGTAGCTTCTTAGGAAGCTTTGAGTGAATTTGAGTAGCTTTGGGTAATTAGACGGACCCGTTGAGCCTGCTCTTAGTAACTGCAAATTTGTTGGGTGTTTGATACCTTTGCTATGTGGTGACGATCATTCTTCCCCCACCATGCTGCCTGTTGGGTTGGTGATACTTATGACCCTGAATCCTGTGGGGTTTGTTTCCCACAAGTTTTGATCCTCTCTGATGGTGCTTCTGAGATGGAAACTTATCAGGCAGCTATTGGCTCATGGGCTATGTTTTCCCAGGTTCAGCATTTGTGGCTTTGTGCTCAGTTGGATGCCCCAGAATTGCTCCGTGTAGTGTTTAGGGGCCCCTTTAATTGAAGGTGTTGTGATAACCACATTGGCTCTGTTCATGCCTCCTCATCCATTCTTGGCAGGTATGGTATGCCTTGCTTCTGTTCCTCTCCACATCCCCTCCCCTGCTTCTGGCTTCAAAGTGTCTGAGGGTTTTGGGGTCAGGGCAGGGTTTAGCTCCGGGTGTAGCTCGGCAAGTTCTGGCGGTTGTCCCTTCTCAATTGCACAGGCAGTCGAGTGGCCCCGGGTTACTTGGTGGTTGGTAGACTGACATTGAATTCAAGCATTGAATGCAATGGGACACCCCGTTTCATAGGTCCTTGGTAGCTTTCTGGATCTTCAGTGCTCATATATTGAAGCCTTAAGAATTGCACTAGGTCTCGGAGATGCATGCTGGCCAGAATGTGACGCACTCAATGAAGCTAGAATATTTTGTGGATCAAAGATCTACCCAAATCAAAGAAAAACCAGCCAGAAAATATTTCAGCTATTGAAATAAAGAAAGCTTTTGGTTTAAATATATAAGTTAATGAAGATGCATATAAGATGATTGATGCTGTCTGTGAACAAACCTGCTTTCTCCTTTCTCATGGTGTTGGATAGTTTATTTTTTGGACAGATTGTGAGAGTGGTGACTGGCTGGCCAAGCTTGGGCTGCCACATCAAGGCAGGATTGCTCAGTGGTAACACTTTCATGTTCACAAAGTAATCACAAATAACGTGACTGCATCAGTGAGAAACTCAGTAGAGCCTGTGATGCGTGGGAACACCCACCACACAGGTTTGAATCCTCATCACGGATCCAACAAATTTTCTCACTTTACATGTTGTTGTGAGGGGGTTAAAATTTTCTTCCAAACACTTCCTTATTCTGTTGTGCTTGTGTTTTTTGTAAGATTTGGATTGATCTTTAATCTACAGGATCCACTCATATCTTTGAAGGACCAGATTCTAGTCCTGGTTCTTAGCAAGCACTTATGAGCCTCAGAGGTCTGTTGTTCCCCCAAGGCTTTAGTTACTTCTAGGTTGTAGCTTAGTTGCCACCAGAAAGAGGTGCTTAGTTACATTCAAAGCTAAACTTTTACACTAATTTGTTATCCTTACTAACTTCTATAGTTATTTTACTAAACTTAAAATGTTTTATAAAATATTTATAAAGTGTTTTTGGTCACAGGTCAGCGGCAAGTAACAGTATTCCCACCTGTGTGTTTAGAGGCTGGAAAGCGGTACAAAATACGAATTGACTTTAGTCGATCAAATGCTCGAACAGATTCTCCCTCTGCATCCATCCTTGTTGACTCTGTAAGTACAGTATATTGTATGTAGTAGTACTCTTCTATATATATTTCCCCATTTGGTGCATTACTCAGTAAACTACTGGGAGTGCCTGAAATTTCTCAAAATGTAGGCTACTTACCATCCTGTAAGTGACAAAAATGTATCATTCATTACCTAGAAATTGCTGATTCTAAAGATGCATGCAGAAATATTAAGTTAACAATAACACTTGTTATATTTTTCAGGCAGTTGCCACTATGTGTATGATCGTTTACATCAGTTCATCTAGTCCTGCAGATGAACTTATGGGTGGAGTCCCTGGTCCTCTGAATCTCGTAATGGAGTGTCTCTCATCCTCCAGGGATCTGAGATTGGCCTGGGTTTTGTGTGGGGCATTGCAGATTCCACTTTTGGGTTCTTCCTTACAATCTGTTCTTGGCACCTAAGATGTTTTCCAGATGACATGGGTCATGGATTTTCTGCTTCATCTTTGGGAGATTTGCCTCTTGATCTACTTCAATGACTGGCTGATTTGGACTTCCAGCTGGTCATTTTGTCTGGTGGCCAGGTTTCTTGTTTTATTGCCATTGGCAGGGCTTTGGTTTCATTGAACCTGGTTGGTGTCCATTCTTTGCTGACACCAGCCCTTGTTTGGCTAGCATATCATTTCTGTTTTGCAGTGAGGATCACTGGAACTTCTCATCTTGATCTTGAGTAGTTATGCTGTGGTCTGACTCTTGCCTGCATGGTTTTTGGCCATGAGTATTCTTTCACTTTTCTTGGGTCCATCATATGTCGACCTTGGCAGCCTTCTGGAAGCTTCTCTGTTGCTACCACCTATGTCTTACTGTAAACAGTGTTGCTCCTCGATTCAGTGCAGTTCTATGCTTCTTTGTACTTGAAGGGATGAACACCTGTCCTTCCCTCATGCTGTTGCTCCTCTGGCACTATTTCTGTTCCTGGCTACCTTGGCGATCAGCTAAGTTTTTATGTCTGCCACTCGCACCAGTTTCTGAGTCAGCAGCAGTTTTAATACTGTAAGGCTTTCAACAGAGTTTCATGTAAGAGGTTGTTCTGGAAACTGAAACATACTGGAGGAGTCACAGGGGTTTGGAGTTTCAAAGCGTTATATGACAAAGAGTGCTGGGAAGACGGGACACCACGAGCATAGCTCTCATTCTGTAACTACACTTAGGTAATTACTTAGGTAATTACAGGGAGGCTTCTAACATGGATGAAAATTTTTCTAGCTGAGAAGGAAAATGAGGACAGTAATCAAAGGCAATGTGTCAAACTGTGATAAATGATTAATACTGTAATAATTCATTATGTTGGGGGACAGGCAGCCAGTGTGTATATATACATGTTAAGCTTATATTGTGGTTCCTTCCCATGGTCAAATTACTAACCCACCCCAGGATGCAATCCCACAATATGCTGACTAACTCCTGGGGTACCTATTTTCTGCTAGGTGAACGAGTGCATTAGGTGATGGGAAACAAGCCCAATCGTTTCTGTCCCACCCGGGATTCAAGCCCGGAATTTCCGATTGTGAGTGCCTTTCTCTTCCTTGGAGGCTCTGTTTTTTTGGCTCCACTCCAACTGCACATTGGTGGTTTCTTGTCTACTCTGGAGTGGGTTGGTACAGTCTCTTCTGTTGTGGCTTGGCATTGGAGCAGGACACACTATGCAGTGCATGTGGGATGTTGACTGTGCTTGTGGATGGTCTTTCTTGATTCTGTCCCCTTACGAAGAGGTGGACAGTCACTGGCATATCCTTTTGTTGGTTGGGCAAGCCACTCAATTGTCTACTGGTTGCCCTCTTTTTATCGGCATGGTCCCAGAGGCATGTGTTTATCATCCGTTCCCAGGGTTGGAAGGTGCAAAAGGTTGATTTTGCATGTTCTGGAGTTGGTAGGAACTGTACATTTTCCTTCAAGTTCAGCTTCTTCCCCTCCCCATCTTTTCTAGACAGGAGCCATCTGTAGACAGTGCCCTTCTGACTCCTTGGTGGCCATCCCAACATTGGTTACTGAGCCTATGGGTCCTGTGTCCAAACCAGCGTGTTTTGCCATGGCTCCATCTCTTAGAGGATCATTTGGGAGATATTCCTCAGTGGTTTAAACCTCTCTGCCACTCTTAATGTGTGAGCTTCGAGTTAGTTGTGCCACCCGCTGTATGGAGAATGGGTGGCGAATCATCTGGTGTCACATTTGCTGCTGTTTTCTCAGCTTCAGTGTGAGGTGGCTTGGTATGACTTTTCTCTTCCTGCCTCTCCACTGTCTGTCATTGGTGCTTTTGTCTTTCTTGAATTTTTTTTTGGACCATTTGATGCTGAATGTGGCTACCTTTTATGGTTTGTCTTTGGCAGAGCCACTCTTGTTGGTACTCGATGTGGGTGTTATGTCTTTTCCTTTTCAGAAGTCTCATGGCTTCTTTCATCTTCAGCTGGCTCATTCTCTAGCTGAGCCTTCTTGGTCTATGGACTGGGTGCTTATTTTTTCTTTAGTTTTCCCTTGTTTCCCCTGTGTCCTCCTTGATTCAAGACATCTTTTTTTAAAGTTATCTACCTATTGGCCTGTGGTTCTTGTTTGTTTTGTGAGCTTTATGAATTCCTCTAGTAGCAGGGAAGAATTATTTTGGTAGGAATTTTATATATCTTATTTTGGTCCTGGAGGTTGATACCTTAGTCTCCATTATTTTAAGCCTGTTTTCGGGTGTCGAATGTGACTGCAGGTTTCTGTGGGGGTTCTTTGATGGTTGAGGCTTGGTAACTCCAGCTGGCTGCTACTGTGCTTAGCTCAGTAGCTGCCAGCTACTGAGCTAAGTTTACTTATCCATCATCTCTGACAATACAGCTTGCAAACAGTGTCTTATCAGGCATTGGGGGAAAGGTCAGAAGAGCCTTGTGATGTGACTGTGGCGAAGTGCTCTTTTTGGTTCCTGGCTCAGTGGAGCATCCAAGGGGTCTTGTCTTGGAAATTTACTTGAATTTTTTTATTTTTTAGTATCCATGTGGGTTAGGCTGAAATATACTTATCTGAAAGTTAAGACACCTAAGTTATTTAATTTTTTTATTTCAGATCATGCTGATTCCAAGGGCTGAAAAATTGCCATTTTATTCTGGCTCTTTAGAAAATGATGATCTTCGCTATGAATATGAGCGATATCGCTGCAGTGAAAGCTTCTATGAAGGGCAAAATCTTGCCACAGTCCCTGAAGTCTGCACAGATAACCACTTTGGCAGCATTGGCTTCTATGTATATGGACAGGCTTTCTGTAAGATGATAAAACAATTTACTTGATAAAATGTTTTAATATTTTCTTAATATTAAATAATTTATATATAGCACAGTGCATGTCATATTGTATGTTTGCCTATTTATAATTGGTTTTCTGCCTGTCTGTTTTGCATACGTCTGTCATTAGATATGTTTAGAGAAGGCCCATGTCATCCCCCTTTCTGCCCCCACCCAAAAAATCCCATTTTCTGTGGAGAGTCCCTTTTGCTCCCAGGAGCTTACTGGGCTGATATGTATGTATTAGACCATGGCATCAGTCAATTCGATGGAGTTCTAGCCTACTGGGGACCACGAGCCAGGACCTGGCACCCTTAGAGAGGCATGAGGAGCAATGGCGTATAGAAGCCCCCATGTGGTTGGAAGCATTCTATGTCTGCCATCTACCAGGTTAGGCACCCAGAAAGGTAGGCATCACAAAACAAACTACAGCTGGTTAAAAATTGCAACTGAAATTCAAACTAGTAAGCAGAACTCCACAATCCAAAAACAAGCAAACAAGCATGACGTCTCCATTGCCGCCGTGCCACTGTTTGTGTAGCTCCCTCCTCCCTGGGAGGGGGAAGGGGGAGCCCCAGACCCCTCACGCTGACTATTTGTCAGTTCTGAGGCTGATGTGTTGATTGGCGGTTGTTCGACTCTGGCTCCAATCTCTGAGCAGTGCTGTGCCTAGCGGTGTTCTTCTGCTCTGTGGTGGTGTGAGCGCCAGGTGTTATTCAAGAAGTACTGGGGTTGTGCGCCTAGGGTCAACCTCCTTAAGTGCCCTGTAAGTACTGCCCTTGCAGTTTGGAGTTACCTTCTACAGACTGTTCAGGGACTACTTCCGCAGGGTTCTTTTGCTGATCGGGGCTGGGGAGGAGTTGACTTTAAGGGTTTGGGCCCCATTTGACCCCACTTGGGTGTTAGTACCCTCGGCATGGGGCTTGTTGTTGCAGGGGGAGGGGTTTTCTTATCTCCCCCCTCCCTGTATGAGTTTGATAAGAGTTCAGCTCCTCCCCAGATTCGGTTCCGGGTTTCTTTGGGTCCTTCGGTTCTGTCCTTCCGGAGGTTTTCGGCTTCCCGCATAAGGAAGTTCGGGAGGCTATTGAGTCGTACATCCTGCGAGCTTTCCCGGATTTCACCTCGATAATGGATCCTTCTTCATTTGAATTTGGTTCTACTTTTTGTTTATGGGTGTGTTACGAGGTGCCGAAGTCTTCCTGGTTGGCAGAATGCCCTTTCTTTTCATTGGGGGCATAGCATGTGTTCTGTCAGACCCACACACTTGGGTGGCAGGAAACTACTACGGTTGTTCAGGCTTAGCTCTGGGGAGGGGGGGCCAGTTTGAGCGCCTCAATGCATGCTTGTTCGCCCCTGTTCTTCCCCCCCGGCACACATATTGGCATTGGCACTCATCGCTTTTTCGAGCAGCTGTGCGGGAGTCTGAACTTCACCGTGCTAGTTTACCCGTCGGGTCGGATCTGGCTTCGGCGGCTGTTCTGGTTTCTTCGAGGGCGTCCCTTCCGCCGCTCTCGCGATCGCTGGGTTCAAACCCCAGGGGCCTTGCGTTGGCTGCTGTGTCGCAGGCTTCCTCTTCTGGTTTTTCAGGGCTCAGTGTCGTGGTGTCTATCTGAGCCCTTGCTCGATGTGTTCACAGATGCATTGTCTCTCGGTTGGGGCTTTGTAACCAGTGCTCACCAAGCTGGTCAGGGTCGGTGAGATCTGTCCTTCTGTTGGGCTCACAGCATGGTGCAGGAGTTTGCGGCGGTGTGGCTTTCGCTTCAGAGGGTTTGCGTCGCTTGCTGATCAATGATTCGGTTCCATTCAGACTGCTCCCCAGCGGTTCATTGTTTGAACTGTTGGGGTTTGATGCAATCCTCGACTCTTTGGGGCTGGTCACTTCGAGTGACTCGTTTGCTGGATTCTCGGGGGTTTCTGGGCTCTCTGGGTGGTTCATATCTGGGGTGTGTCAAATGGCCTTGTAGACGACCTATTCCTGTTCATTTCCCCTGTCCATGGAATGGACAGTCGACGCTGACTCCTTCTGTTGCATCTGCCGGACATATGGGTGCTCGGAGGGGGATCTCTTCACGTCGATGTGGTCGACGTGTCTATTCCGGTACATGTGGCGACCTTTCCCGACTGTGAGGCCGTCGGGGTCGATGCCTTTCGGCAGGATTGGTCGAGGTGGGGTTGCCTGTACCTCTTCCCCCCGGTCCAGCTGTTGCTTCGTGTTCTGGCTCGGTTGAAGACTTATCTGGGGAGAGTAGTCCTGTTGGCCCCTTGGTGGCCGGCCAAGCCTTGGTTTCAGGCGCAGCTTTCTCGGTGTCCGGACCCAGGGGTCTTTTTACGGCTCTGTCTCTTTCAGCAGATTGGTCTGGTCTGGTATGTGGCTGGTTCGATCTTCACCGATCTTCGGGTCTGGTCTTTCTGACTCGAGTCTAACACCACTTGTATGGTGAGCAGGTGCCTCTGGCAGCTGAGTGGACAGCAATTTTGATTCATAGTCCTGAGGTTCCGGGTTCGATCCCCAGTGGAGGTGGAGACAAATGGGCAAAAAGTTTCATTCACCCTTATGCCCCTGTTACCTAGCAGTGAATAGGTACCTGGGAGTTAGACAGCTGCTACAGGCTGCTTCCTGGGGGTGTGTAACAAAAAGGAGGCCTGGTCAAGGACCAGGACACAGGGACGCTAAGCCCCGAAATCATCTCAAGATAACCTCAAGAAGATAGTGTTCCACCTGCGTGCTTCTTCTCGACGGCAGTATGAAGTTTTATAGCGGTCCTTCCAGTATTTCTTGTCCTTTCGTCGGTTTACTTTGGTGTTTGTTCGGGTTGTTTTGGCTTTCCTTTTGTGGTTGCTCCAGAACCGTCATCTTGTGCCGAATACTATCACCTCGTATTGTTCGGCATTGGCGGAACCACTGCAGTTTGCATTCGGCATTGATGTTACTTCTGAACCATCCCACAAGCTATCTTGGGCATTGTTTCTCTTTCGGTCTGTTCATGTGCTGCCTTAACCGTCCTGGTCCTTGGATCGGGTGCATTCTTTTTCTCTTCCCATCGGTTTGTGGTGACCCCTTCAGTTCAGGATTTTCTCTCCAAGGCTCTTTTCTTGTTGGCATTGTCCTCTGGGGGATCAGGTTGGGAAGCTTCATGCTCTCCTTTGGCACAGGGGTTTCTGCTCTTTCGGTCCTGGTGGTAGGTTTGTTCGTTTGTAGCCGTCTCCTTCTTTTCTGGCCAAGAATGAGACTGCTGCTTTCTGGAGGGATGAGACTGCTGCATTCGGGCATAGGGTTTTTGGAGTTCGAACAGGGTCCTGGCTGCTTGCTACCTAGTCAGTGTTCCTGGGCCTAGTCGGACCTGTCACGTTGGGTCGGCGGTTGCAGCCAGTTGTCTCGACTTCGAGTTAAGAAGTGACCGCCGACCGCCTTCCGTGTAAGTCCCTCTTGTTTTTATCTTTGGGTAAGGGGCTCCCCCCAGAAAACTAGTGTTGAATGTAATGAAACACCATTTTCTGGGTGAGACTTGGAGGCTCGCCAGCCACCCTCCCTCCCTCCCTCCGGTCTGTGTTTTTTGCGTGTTTTTGATATCCAGCCTTAGAACTGGGGTGAGGATTGTAGGGAGCTGCACAGACAGCAGCGTGGTCTGTCTGTCTGATCGTTTTCATTTGGGGATTTTTGTCCACTAGTTTCCACACGGCTTTCAGTAGCAGTTTCTTGACCAGAATAGGGGTTTGTTTTGGGGCACTTACCTTTCTGGGTGCCTGACCCGGTCGATGGCAGACATAGAATGCTTCCAACCACACAGTGGTTTCTATAGGCCATTGCTCCTCGTGCCTCTCTGAGGGGGACGCCAGGATCTGGCTTGTGGTTCCCGGTAGGGCTAAGAACTCCATTCGCTTGACTGATGCCAGGATCTAATGCATTCATATCAGCCCAGATAGCTCCGGGGAGCCTCCGGGTCTCACCCAGAAAATGGTGTTTCATTACATTCTAGGCTGGGTTTTTTTTTATGATGCTGTATATCAAATTATAGTTGTATTTCTACAAAGTTTCAAAATGTTTGCATGCATTCATTAAACAGTTAAGTTAATGACCTTCCGCAATAGCTGGAATCTAATGCATTTCTTTACTTGTCATATGTTAACACAGCATGTCAGTGTGATGGCACAGGCAGCTACAGCAGCATCTGCAGTTCGCTAGGTGGTCAGTGCGAATGCAAACCTAATGTTGTCGGGCGTAGATGTGATCGTTGTGCACCAGGTACTTACGGGTTTGGTCCTGAAGGATGTAAAGCCTGTGATTGCAGTCCTGTTGGAGCTTTAGACAACTTTTGTGATCAGCAGACAGGTGAGACTTGTTTAAAGCAGGATGTTTAAGAGATGTACTGAACCTAACATTCAACTTATCAGGAATTTACTTAGCAATTAAACACTTCACGGAATATTGAGAGGAAAAAATTGAATAGAAACATCAGAAGATAATCTTATAAGCAGTTTAGCAGTGATAAATTATATATTGAAATGAAGAAAGGCACAGAAAGATTACACTAATTTTGTGGATTAATATATATATACTATAGTACTACTATACACCAGGTTGTCATACCTTTGTTTTAATCATAATTATTTAAATTACATTATTAAAGACTTAAAGTTTTGCCTTGTCTGAATGGTAAATGTCTTGGGATTATTATTATTATATTTTTTGTTATTTATGAACAGGATAGCAACATTGCATGGGTCTTATTTGCAGTCAAATTCACTGTACTGCACATTATCCTGTATAATTCCTTTGTCACCCCATTTGAAAAGGTTGCAAGACATATATGGTGCTCAAAATATTCTGAAAATCACATTGGTATTTGAATGATATTCTAAAGCTCTACTTAAGAATATTAATAATTTCTTAACTATTTACTGTTCAGGACTGAGTTCAATATGCTTTCAATATGGCAGGTCATTGTAAATGTCGGCCAAATACATATGGTCGCCAGTGTGGCGAGTGTCAACCTGGATTTTGGAACTTCCCTAATTGTCAGCGATGTGAGTGCAATGGCCATGCCGACACATGTGACTCCTACTCGGGTATCTGTCATGAGTGTCGTGACAATACAACTGGACCAAACTGTGCTCTGTAAGTCTTGTTTTCTTTTGGCAACATTTTTGTTAAGCAAGAGGAATAACCCAAATCAACAGTGTAAATCATGATAATATGCTCAGTCTAAGAAGCGTTTTAAGGCAATGTCCATGTGATCAAATGTGAAACATGACTGATATTTTATTTATCATTTGTTGCAAATATTTGTTATATAGTTAAGTATACACATTTTTCTTAGGTGTATTGGAGGTTTTTATGGTGATCCACGTCTGGATGTGGGCATTGCTTGTAGACGGTGCCCATGTCCTGGTACAGAAGACTCTGGTCACAGTTTTGCTGCTCGTTGCTCCCTTGACCCTCGAACCAAAGATGTTATATGTGAATGTGAAGAAGGTTATGCAGGTTAGTAAATACAATTGGGTCTTTTACTCCAAAATTTTTAAAATTAATATTGTTATTCATCATTTGCTTTAGATGTCACCAAAAATTAAACATTATAAGTATTGAAACAATCCCCCTTTGAAGCAGCTCTTCAACTGCTCCCCAAACTATGACCAGGGGTCCATCTAAAACATTTCTCACACACTATGCAATCATTGACTTTTAACCCAGCAAAACAAACAGTGCAGAGCAGAGCTCAGTCACACAGATGGGTTACTATGATATTCAGAACAAATCAAAGCTCGAAACACCTTCAGGGTCCCAAGTCAACTTTACTCTAGAACAATGTTTTTAGATTTATATTTTATTGAAATTCAACCTCAAAATATATGCATGGTTACTAAAAGCCAAGTTAAAAAAAATAATAAAAAACCCACAATTAAATTTCCGAATTTTATTTTATAAACCAAAGATGCTAGCTTATAAATATTATTGCACACTAATTTCTGGGAGGCCACCTAATGGTGGCTCCTTGGTGCTTTCTGCCTAGCAAGCTCCAGCCAATTCAATCTACACCAGGCTCTTCTGAGTCATGCATAAGCATTAAATAACCTAGTTCCCTCTGAGGCATAAGTAGCAGGGGACCATAGATACCCAAATTTGAGATATATACAAGAGTTGTTACATTCTTGTACAGCCACTAGTACGCGTAGCGTTTCGGGCAAGTCCTTAATCCTATGGTCCCTGGAATACGATCCCCTGCCGCGAAGAATCGTTTTTTCATCCAAGTACACATTTTACTGTTGCGTTAAACAGAGGCTACAGTTAAGGAATTGCGCCCAGTAAATCCTCCCCGGCCAGGATACGAACCCATGACATAGCGCTCGCGGAACGCCAGGCGAGTGTCTTACCACTACACCACGGAGACAAATCAAGAAAACACCACCAGAAAAGGGGGAGAAGAGTCATTACAGATGATTGCAAAGTAAATATACCATAGAAAATGGTCCAGCTACAAGGCCAGCCCCTTGGACCTTTCAGGACCTGGAATTGGAGCACTGGGGTTTTCTGTGTGCTCCAAGTTTGCTCCTGGATATCCCTCCTCAGGTTTTGCTGGTATTGTAGGCCTGGGGATCTCCTTCTTTTCTTCCAGTTCCAACAATGTCTGAGGGTTTTAGGAGTCTAGGTGTTGTGTTTCTTCAGGTGTGTTTGGCCTTGTCTGGGGACAGTTTTTTCCCACTTCTACGCCTGAGATAGTTGAGTCACTGCTTCCTGCTGAGGATCCACTGCCTTCTGTTTCTTGGGAGGGTTTTCCTGCTATGGATCCATCCTTGTAGGGGAAGACGGTCTTCTCTGTCTACCATGGATCTCAGCTCTGCTCCCATACCTTCCATTCCTGGAGTATCTGGAGCTGGCGGAGAGGGACCAACCAAAGTTTGGTAACTGGTGTTTCTTTTGAATTTGTCTCCATGCTTCCTTGTGGCCAACCCTCTCTTTCCATGGGGGCCTGGTGTAAGAGCTGCTTCACCACCGACTGGTTTGTGAGTGTTGGGGTTTCGCCATCTTGTTTTTTATGGTTTGTTGACATCTTGGTTTACCTTGTTGATATCTGTATTGACTCTTCACTTTCTGGTGGTCTTTTCATGGTTACAGTGCTCTATGGACTCCTACACATTGCACCTCTTAGAAAAGACTAGGTTTTGGTTTCTGGTCCACAGTAGGCTTGTATGTGACTTGCAAGATCTGCCGTGGATTTAATTGGGTGGCGCTTGCCAGGTAGCAACCACCAAGAACCCACTAGAAAGAGGTATTTCATTGCATTCAACACTGACTTTTCTGACCTGGAGCTTATCGGGTTAATGTATATTAGACCGGGACATTAGCTATGGAGTTCAGACCTACCAGGGGCCAGCGCCAGAACCTGACCCCTTCAGAGAGGTTTCAGGGTTGCAATGGCCCTGGAAAACCCCCTTGTGGTTTGGGGTTTTATTTATCTGCCATCAACCGGGGTTAGGCACCCAGAAAGGTAGGCATAAGAAAAGAAACCCCACATGGTAAGACACTAAAACAAAAAAACGAACAGAGAGGTAGAAACTCTCTACAATCCCATGGAAACAAGCAAACAAGCAATTATAACATTTTACTGCCGCACATCTCGTCCGCGCAGCCCTCCCCTCCCCGAGAGGGGGAGGGGAGGGGAGCCTGGACCTCACCGCACTGCCTGCCTTCAGTTAATAAGCTGGTGTCAGCCGGGACAGATGCTTCTCTGGCCTCAAATTCCTGGGCGGTGTTTGCCTTGTGTGGCGTTCTCTGCTGTCTTTGTGTGGTGGCCAAGAGTACCTCATCAGTGCTGGGGCTGCTTGCACTTAGCGCTTCCTTCCCTAAGCCCCCCTATGAGTATTGCCCCTACATGTCAGGGTTATCTTCCCTGAGGCATTCAGGAACCGCTCCCATGGGGGTTCTTGCTGCTCGGCATTTGCCTTGCCCTTGGGGCCAGTTGGGGCTTGGGGGGTCCCAGTTTCAGCTTCACATGCAGGTTCCTCTTCTTTCGGCATCGTTGGTTGCGGAGGATTTGCGTGCCTGTGGGCATTTGACTTTGGTCTTACATTTCTTTTCCCTTCTCAAGCTGTCTTCTGCCTGGCTTGAGGAGGACGTGGAGGCGTTGAGTGACAGGTCTTCGTCTGGAGCACTGACTTTGGCAGCTAGGGCGTCAGCTGCACTGTTGAAGCTCTGTCTGAAGGAGGCGGTGTCTCTGATTTTTGCTTCACGCCTCGCATGCCGTCAAGCTGTGCTCGCCCTCTCCATGGAATCCGCTTTGGCCCTGGCTCTTAGGTTTTCATTTCCGTTTTGTCCATTGCTGTTTGCAGAGGCTGTGGTCTCGCAGTTTCTGCAAGCGGCTTCGTCTAGTTGTTGTCCTATTGTCGTCCACCTGAGAGCTTCGTCTTGGTGACAGTATGAAGTTTCCTGGCGTTCTTTTTGCAATTTCTTGCTCTTCATAGGTTGTCTTCTCTTTCGGATCGGGGTGTCTTGTCCTTTCTTTCTTGGCTTTTTCAGGACTGTCATTTGATGCCTAATACTGTTGCCTCGTATCGTGCGGGGCTGGCGGAGCCGCCCCAGCTAGCGTTCAGGGTGGACGTCACATCCACCCCGTTCCCTAAGCTTTCTCGTGCTATGTTTCACCTCCAGCCTGCTCATGCGCCTCCTGAGCCATCCTGGTTCTTGGAAAGGGTGCTCTCCTATCTTTCCTCTCCTCAGTTTGTGGTGGCCCCTTCAGTTCAAGACTGTTTTTCCAAGGCTTTGTTTTTGTTGGCATTGACCTCTGGGGATAGGGGTGCTTCATGCTCTCCTCTGGTGCAGGGGTTTCTGCTCTTTTGGTCCTGAGGGTAGGTTTGTCCATTTGCAGCCTTCTCCATCTTTTCTGGCGAAGAACGAGGCGACTGCTTTCCGGAGGGGTCCTTGGGTCATTGATGCTTGGTTGGTTCGGCCGGGGGTGCATCATGTGTTGGGTCCAGTTGTGGCTCTTTGCCGTTACCTGTGCGCCTCGTCTGGGGTGGCTGGGGATTCACTTTGGGTTGATCTGATTTTCCTCGTTCCCTGGTCCAGGGCTTGGGTCTCCCAGGTTGTCCGCAGGGTTATTAAGACTAGCCAGCCTACGGTCTATCCTCGCACCCATGACGTTCGAAAGTTTGCAGCTTTGGCTGCCATGTTTGGTAACATGTTCTTGGGCTCATATTCGGGCGTGTGGATTTTGGAGGCCGAACAGGGTCCTGGCCGCCCATTATTTGGTGAATCTGCTTGCTCCTCAGCGTTCTTGTGTTGCTTTGGGTCACAGGTTGCAGCCAGTTGTCTCGACTTCGCGTTGAGGAATATGTCGCCGCCGCCTCCTGGCTAAATCCCTATTTTCCTTCTCTTTGAGTATGTAGCTCCAGGGAGCCGTAGGGGCTCCTCACAGAAAACCAACGTTGAATGTAATGAAACGCCATTTTCTGGGTGAGCCTCGGAGGCTCCCTAGCAACCCTCCCTCCCACCGGTTGGCTTTTTTTTTGCGTTGGTTGAAGCCTAGTTTCCGAACTGAAGGCAGCTGGCGCGGTGAGGTCCGGAGCCACCCACTTTCCCCTCTCGGAGAGGGTAGTGCTATGCGGATGAGATGCGCGGCAGTAAAATGTGATAATTACTTGTTTCCTTGAGATTGTAGGGAGTTTCTACTTCTGTTCTTTTTTTGTTTTAGTTTCCTACCATGTAGGGTTTGTTTCGTTATGCCTACCTTTCTGGGTGCCTAACCCCGGACGATGGCAGATAAGGAAAACCCTCAACCACAAGGGGGTTTTCCAGGGACATTGCTACCTGAAACCTCTCTGAAGAGGCCAAGTTCTGACACTGGTCCCTGGTAGGTCTGAACTCCATAGATAATGTCCTGGTCCCTCAACCTCAAATAACATAAACCAGGATAAGCCCCTGATAAGCTCCAGGGAGCTGTAGGGGCTTTCCACAGAAAAGTGGTTAACTAGATAATATTATAATCATGGTATAGTGTAAAAATTTTACCTAAATTCAAATCATGTACAAATGTGTTTTAAATTAATGTTAATTTGATAATACCTTTTTAATTTCAGGATCCCGCTGTGATGTGTGTGCAGGTAACTACTTTGGTAATCCAGAGATACCAGGTGGTAGTTGTCGGCCTTGTAACTGCAACAATAACATTGATATTTCTCGGCCTGGAAATTGTAATGCACGTACTGGGGAGTGTGAGCAGTGTCTTTTCAACTCTTATGGATTCTACTGTGAACGCTGCCAACCAGGATTTTATGGTGATGCTCTCAACCAGCAATGCAGAGGTTAGAACTTTTCGTTTTATTTTTAAAACAATCATTTGATGCAAAATTATGGTTTTCTTTAGTACATATGATATTTTGTGAATTTTTGTGTTCTCTGATCTTACCTAGGTTGAAGGGAGGGGGCTAAATGATAACTAGGATAAGGGGAGGGGACTCGTACTCTATTCATTAACCCCCTGCACTGCACAACTCTTTATAACTGACATTCATTTGGTGTGCAAGAAAAACTAAACTAAATTTTTTCTTTCTAATGTCGTTAAAGTGCATTCTCTGATCATGAAAGGGGGGGGGGTGGAAATAATTTGACTTCTATAGCATTCATGCGGTATTCGCCCTGTGGCAGTATCCGCGGCTCCGACAGGGACCATGGTTATGGGCAGGCAGATTTCCTCTATCTCCTCCCATCCCTGGTGTTGCTGTTGCTGGTGTCCAAACCCATAGGCATATTTCCACAGCTCCACCTCTTTCAGCTGATCAGTCGGGTTACGTACCTAGGTGGTTGAGCATTGTCTGTCATTCTGTCTGGAATATTTTATGCAAGTCTTTCACAATTTTTTGGATGTGCTGATGGCAGAGTTGTTGATTTTCTACTTCAGTCTTTTGTGGCAGCCAGTGACAGTTAAGTTTCTTAGTGCTCCTTTTGCCTCGTTTTGTCATTTTTCCTTTGTGTCCATTTCTATACTTGTGTTTTTTGTCTTGATTGTTTGTCGACTGTCATCTTATGTCTCGCCCTGTCTCCCTTTATCATTTAACCTTAGCAGAGCTGCTCTTGTTGGTCTTTGCCATCGGTGTTTGGTTTTCTTTTCGGTGCTATTTTGTGGGTTGCCCTGGGCTTTCTTTCACCTTTGGCCAACTTGGTCTCTTAATGGGGTGTTGGCCTTTCTCCTTTCCTTGGTTGTCAGTTGTCCCCTTGATCTGTAATATGTTCTTCAGGGCCCTGTTATTGTTGGCCCTTGCTTCCAGTTTTCAGATAGGGAAATTTCACTCTCCTCTGGAAGCATGAATTTTGTTCTTTCAGCCCTGGTGAGCTATTTCTTTATTCATGGCCACCACCTTTTGTGGTGAAGAATGTGCCAATTGGATTCTAGAGGGGTCCTGTGGTTGTTGATGCTTGGTTTGTCTGGCCAAGGGTGCATTGTTTGTTGTTTCTGGTTGTGCCAGTTCGTCACTGCTTGCTTGGCACCTACACTGTCTCAGTGGGTGCATTGTTTGTTCTCCCAGTTTCATTGGTTCCCTGTTCCAAGGTGCCTTTGTCCTAGGTTATTGTCTCTGTGGGTAATTTTTACTTTTTTCCTCCCTGGTAAGTAACCCTTTTCCTTTTTCTCTGTTAGTCAGCTTCAAAGAATCATCATTTGGCCCCTTCAGAAAACCAGGGATAAATGTAATGAAGCTTTTTTTCTGTTAGGGCCTTAAGGGCTCCCTATTCCTTAATTGTTGAGCTAGCTAATGAGTGAATCATTCATGGAGTCATTCCCTACTTCAGTTTTTTTTTTCTGAAAGATCTTGATGTGTAAATAGTGGAAGTAATATTGTGTTTATAGGCCATTGCTCCCTATGCCCCTCTGAGGGGGCCAGGTTCTGGCTCGTGGTCCCTGGTAGGCCCACAGAACTCTATACACATGACTGATGCCGAAGTCTGACATTAGCATATCAGCCTGGATAAGCTCCGGGGAGCCTCGGGGTCTCGCCCAGAAAATGGCGTTTCATTACATTCAAAGCTGGTTTTTCATTTACTTTTATTTCATCAATTATAGTTATGATTTAGTGTGTTTGAAAGGGTACATAACTTGTTGCAGAATTTGTGTGCTATATTCTGGGACCAATCATTCCTGTGTTTCAGAATGTGTGTGCAATATCCTGGGCACCAATCAGTCCATTGGTGTATGTGATCATGAGACAGGGCAGTGTCCATGTCTCCCTAAAGTACTAGGACTGGAATGTGATCACTGTGCTCCCAATCACTGGAAGATTGCTTCTGGTGAAGGTTGTGAGCCATGTGCCTGCGATGTTGTTGGATCATACTCTGATCAGTGCAATGAGGTGAGTTTTATTGTATTTTGTATATTTTTCAGTTTAAAGTAATGGCAGATTATTAAGGATTAGATGTGAAATATGTGAAATAAGTAATGGTCGAAAAGCTGCTTGATTCAAACGCTGTTTTATTAGACAGGTTAAGAATTAGGACAAAGTGTGTGCACAGACCTAAAATGGTGAAAATATTTGTATCTGGTAACATAGAAGCTAACAGGCTACATATGAGCATTAAAAATTAAAGTGTACCATCTTCATTTATAGAAAACAAGATATTTAGTGACATCTGGCATTCTTTAACCTATAAACAGCTTGACTATTTAAAAATTCTATGTTATGGTGTTGAAAATGTACAGTATTAATTTTTCAAAGGTGAATGAAATTTATTCATTACTGTACAGTATAGTATTATATAATGTATTGGTCTTGTTTGCAGAAAGTAATCCTGTGTTGAATATAATGAAATTCCTCTTTCTGGTGGGACACCTCAGTGATTACCTGAGCTAGCTGTCTGGTTAGCTCCAGGCCAAAAATGCCCCATCAGGCCCTAGTGAGTCATAAGTGCCTATCACAGACCAGAAGTAGAATCTGGTCCACTCAATACAGGTGCAGAAAGTCTGGAGATACTACATCAACTCAAGCCAAGAGGGAAAAAAACTGCTAAAAATGTAGAACAACTTTAAAACGAGCAGCTACATGGAGAAACCTACCCAACATGACCCAACAGATATACCCTGTTAAATAAGTACACTCATAAGCCAGTCACACTACTAGGTAGATACACTTCCGCCACCATCAAATGGCAGCCCAAACTGTTACCCCTGCTACTTCAGGCATCTACCACCCAAAGTTGACCTCAGAAGCTCCTTAAAAAGGAACGGGTGGGAACAGGGAGCTATTTAGAGGACCCACCATAGAGACGTTTCATTTTCATTGACCCACGGCCTCCCACTACAGGAACTGCCTCTCGCCACTGAGCCACCTCCTTCCTCCCTCACATCTTTACAGAGAGCAGGTGGCTTCTTTGATGGTGTCCTGCCTGCATTCCTCCTCTTGGCAATGCTATAAGGTTTCGTTGAGCTCCTTTCACCACTTCTTTACCTTTTGTTATTGTCAGTTTCCAAGCGTGTGGTGCTCTTTATTGGCTTTTCTTAAGATCGTTTCTCAGATCGTCCTCAGTATTATTAAGTCTAGTCAGACTGCTGTCTACCCTCATGCCTGTGATGCTTGAAAGTATGTTGCTCTTATGGCTGTGTTTATCAGCACTGACACCACCATTTATTATGAATTCTTCATTTTGACTATGGAATATGATAGACCGATGTGTTACAAACAATTGAAATGGTAACATTTTCTCAGCTAATTTGGCGAAAAGCAGACAGTGAGTGAACTATGAGGTGGAAGCATGGAGGCGCCAGCCACTGTTGCCAACTAGCTGATAACTGATAATCAGAGCTCACCCACTGACCCCCACCTGCCTCCCCCTGACACCACCTGCCTCCCCCTGACACCACCTGCCTCGCCTAACAACTTCCACCACTGACACCACCAGGTCTTCTCTGACAATCCCAATAAGAATAACTTCCACCACCTGCCTCCTAACACTAATCCCCCAACTACTGACACCACTTGCCCCTAGACTCCACCCTCCCCGACACCATTTTATCATCCTTCAACCATTTCTCACTGGAAACAATGGGTAAGCAAAATGTAATACAGGCATACCTCAGTTTAAGAGTTTAATTGGTTCCTGGAGACGCCTCGTATTCCGAAAACTCGCATTCTGAAGCTAATTTCCCCATAAGAAATAAAGGGAAATGAATTAATCCGTTCCTGACTACCCCAAAAACCCCACATCAAACTAAATTTTTATACCTAATTCATCTAAATAAACCTACAAAACTATGTTCAAGTTATTACTTACCTTGCTGTTGAATGCTGTACGTGTATGGAAGATGGTGAGGAGGTGGGAGGAAGAGAGGAGTTACTGTTTGGAAGGGGAGTCCCCTTCCATTATCACATCATGCAGTGAGGACTTCACTGGTATGCACACTCTGGCACATTTTGCCTGCATACCACTAGGACTGGCTTGTTTTACTAAGAATTTGTCTAATGACACTTGTTTTTCCCTACATTTTAACACTTGTCTGTAGTAAGACATCACATTATCATTTAAAAGGTCAATGCAACGGCCTGCTACAGCTTTATCTGGGTGAGTTTTTTCAACAAAACTTTGCAGTTCTTCCCATACTTCACACATTTTCTTAATCAAGAAGGGACATCCTCTACTGCCTCTACTCACAGCTATTTTCTTAGGTTGAACCTTACCAATGGCTTTCTTGAGACCCATGGCAAGATATATAATGACAACTTTTATGCTCAAATGGCCAAAAAAACGATAAAAAACTGTAAATCCTTGTGAAGAATTCAGGTGGGATAGTCACTGGACACGAGACACTGGTAAACTGAGGTGCGATCGCCATGCCACCACACGCCAGTCGGCCTGTACACGTATCAACAAACTCGCGTCCTGAGGTAACCCTCGCCTTCCGAGACATATTTTTGGAGTAAATCCTGCTCGTCTTCCGAAAAACTCGCATACAGGGACACTCGCATTCCGAGGTACCACTGTACTGTACAACTGTTTACACTTTGGTGAATGATAGTTGATGACAGTGGCTGTCATCAACTATGACAGCTCAGTCTCGGTGATCGCTTAGATGAACAATCCTCGCTTAATCAAACATTTGTATGTTCCACTGAATATTTAGTACCGAATTCAATTTGTTCGGATCTTCCGGGAATTTGCTAGAGCAGGGTTCGTTAGACTGAGGATGCACTGTACTTGGACCATATAGTTTATTAGAGTGAGTTTATTAGCCCCTTCCTCGACCAAATGGGAAGAAGTGGGACGAATAAGCTCATGCTAGTTTAGAGATATTTGATTGTTTGTTAATGTAGTTATGGGAGTTCGTTAGGCGGATTTTGAGGCTTCTGCCCCTTTTTGAACTCGGCAGTGGTTTTTTATTTTGTTTTGACTTTCTGGATGCCTTCCCTGATGAGGTGGTGAAATGTCACCACTCCCTGCACCTCTGAGGGGGGGGGGGGCAGGTTCTGGCTCTGGTACCTGATAGGCCTAAGAACTTCACAGCTCAGGTGACCTGGTAGGTGAGAGGCATCTCGATGTATAGCCTCAGAAAGCCACTGGGGATTTCCTAGAAATTGGGCTCCATTACATTCAATGCTGGTTGTATGTGATTTTAGGGTAAAAACTAAATACAATGGGGCTTCGACTTACGATGCTAATCTGTTCCTAGAGACGGATCATAAGTCGAAATATCGTTAGTTGAAGCGATTTTTCCCATAAGATATAAAGGGAATTGAATTAATCCATTCCCCACCCTCCAAAATATTAACATACAAATACATTTTATACTGAATACAATGTTTTTTTTTTCTAACTACAATACAGTACCTAAGTTGATCTTACCTTTGTGGAGGGCTCTTGATGGCATATGGAAGATGGTGATGAGGGGGGAGGAGGAGAGTTGTTACTGTTTGGAAGGGAAGTCCCCTTCCATTATCACATCAGGCAGTGATGTTTTCTCTGGGGTACTCTCTCTCCTACGTTTTGCCTGAATACCACTAGGACCTGGTTGTGGTTCAGTGTTTGTCTCACTACAAATTTGTCAAGAGACATTTGTTTTTCCCTTAGTTTTAACATTTGTCTGTAATGATGCATCACAGTGTCATTGAATAGGTTAAGACAACGGCCTACTGCAGCTTGATTTGGGTGAGTCGTTTCAGCAAAGGTTTGCAATTCTTCCCATGCTGCACACATTTTCTTAATTGTTGAGGCAGAGACATACTGTACTCTTGTTTCTTCTCTATGGTCATCCTTACATGGGTTTTCATATGTTGAGCCTTACCACTGACTTTTCTGGGACTCGTTACATGATGTATAATAATTCCTTTAATGTTCAAAATGCAAAAAATCACCACAAACGCGGAATTTCTTATAGGCGCGATCGTCACTAAGCGGGTAGCTGTGGTAAACTGAGGCAGGTCGGACTGCGTGACCAGGAACCATGCACTTGTTTGACCCAAACGTGTACCAACAAATATCCGAAGTCAACGACACCATTGGATGTCGAGTCACATTTTTCGATGATATTTACATCGTAACTGGAAATTATCATAAGTAGGGGCAATCGTAAGTCGAGGTGCCACTGTAGTTTTAAAATGTATGGAGCAGTATAGAAATAAAATTGCGTAACTCAGACCCTTCGGACAGGGGTCTGCCCCGCATGATCAGAATTAGTGAATGATATTGCTAGTGATTACTCAGTGGTGGAGTAAGGTAGATTCTGAACTAGGTCAGAAATAATTTTGTTTAAATATATTTTTCTAAATGGTTTTCTTTGGCTTTATATTATGCAATTGTTGGATAATTCTAGTATACCATAATCCTATTTGTAATTATTATTTATATTTTCAGCAATATAGACAGGGCTTTGGTCATAGAAATTATGTAAGTAGAATTAAAAGATTGAAAGCAAAACTAATGATGTGTGTGATGTATTAGCTATCTATATGAATAATAATATGAAATATATTTTTGTGTGATAATCATTTTAAAATATTGTAGTGGTTTTTTAGCTTGCCTGCAAAAATGATTTTGCTGAACAATAACAGTAACAGGCTGCCATACGAGTGACCGTGTACTCTTAGAAGTAAAATACGTAATACTGTATAACATAAAAGATAATGGAGAGAGAGAAATGAGAGAATCGTGAATTTAGGAAAGGACAATACGGGCGTCTAAAAGTTATTAAGTAGGGATGACAACAAATGACTAGAAACAGCACTATACAGAATTGAAGTTAATGTAGAAGAGGTAAAAGTCGTAGTTTAAATAAAAAAAGAGGACAGGGAGGGAAATAGTGGGGAAGGGATGGAAGGAGGGAGAGGGGAAGGAGAGTGAAATGTTAGGGAGAAAGGGGGGGAAGGAGAGTGCGATGTTGAGGGGAGAGGGAGGGAAGGAAGGAGAGTCAGAAGATGGGGGAGAGGGGGGGAAGGAGAGTGAGATGTTGGGGGAGAGGGGGGGAAAATGGCATTTCATTACATTCAACGCTGTAATGGCCAAAAGTTAAATATTCTGTATTTGTGTGTGGCTTTCAGCTGGGTAATTCTGTTAGTGGTGTGCATAGTCCTCAGTTTGGTGTGTCTTAACAAATTGGTATTATTGTATTTCTTTTGCATGTAATTAGTGCTGTATTGTGTGTTGATTAGTTCCTGTGTTTACATGTTATGCAGAACATAAGACAGTGACATACCGGTACTAACTTTCCAAAACACTGATGTGTCGTTCCAGCTTAGGCTAGTGTTTCATTTTCTATGTAATTTTTGTAAAGACTTCATTTACTTCCTTATACTGTATGTATATTTTATTGCTGTCATTATTGGAATATGCAGTATAGTACAGAATATATATTATTGTTAAAGCACTTGACCCTTCTGCTGCGAAATGCACTTGGAAGCACTGTCAGGGTTTCCGGGGTGTTGACCATGCCTATAAGCACCAAGATAACTGGGAGAATGTAGATAGTCTGTAGATGTTTGATTAGAAGTGAGAAAGATATCTGGGAATAGTGGTCTTAATTGGATGAATTTTGGAAGGTGTCCACTTAACCTCAGAAAGAAAAATGTCACACTCCTGTCCTGCCCCACCACAGCTCCTGCAACTATTAGGTAGATATATTCAGATTTGCTTAATGTTCATATTTATAATGTCAATAGGGTATCCCTGAATAAACCAAAGTTTCAAAGTTTTCTATCCCATCTTGAGTATTGCACAGTACTCGCTTCCCTCTTCAAAGCAGGAGAGATTGTTGAAATGGAGGGAATACAGAGAATATATACGGCATGCATAGATGCGATAAAGCACCTAAATTATTGGGATCGTCTCAAAGCTCTCCAAATGTACTCGCTAGAGAGGAGACAAGAGAGATATGAAATAATATACACGTGGAAAATACTGGAGGGCCAGGTCCCAAATCTACACAGTAAAATAACAACAAATTGGAGTGAATGATATGGAAGAAAATGCAGGATAGAACAAATGAAGGGCAGGGGGTACCATAGGCACAATCAGAGAACACTGTATAAACATCAGAGGTCCATGGTTGTTCAACATCCTCCCAGCAAATATAAGAAATATAGCCGGAACAACCGTGGATATCTTTAAGAGAAAACTAGATAATTTTCTCAAAGGAGTGCTGGACCAACCGGGCTGTGGTGGATATGTGGGCCTGCGGGCCACGCCAAGCAACAGCCTAGTGGACCAAGCTCTCACAAGTCAAGCCTGGCCTCGGGCCGGGGTTAGGGAGTAGAACCCCTCCCAGAACCCCATCACGCAGGTAAATTCGTGTAAATAGGTAATGATATAATGACATTGAATGGTGGAAAATATATTCTTTGAGAGTATAAGCACGTACTTTTGGAACTGGCCTCGTGGGGTCTGCAGGGCCTCTATACAAATTGATGTATGTGTGCATACGAAGAGTATTGCAGCTGGATTTTTTTTAATAATTTCACATAATCTACATCTGATAGACTGTGACCATAATCTACTACATATGATAAAATCAATACAGTAGAAGCCATGGAGGAGGATTCAAACCTACTCACTTGGTATTAGCAAATAAAAGCCCACTGATACATCATGTTAATGTGATTTCATTGTGCATTTTACATACTGCATCTACTATATTTTCATAACAAAATTTAAATTCCAAATGTTTTATAATTTTAGGGTTTTGTGCTCCCCTCTTCCCCAAAATTTGCTAAATAAGAATTTGTACTACAGTGCAGTACAAGCATTTCCCTATAATTTCTACGCCAAGGGTGTCAAAAGTGTGGCCCACCACCCTTCTATCTGTGGCCCACAATGCACTCTTTACTTCAACCACACCTTAAGTACCCATCTAAGAAATGACAGAATTTTATGAGTCTTTGTGCCTTTGAGCTGAAACTATCGATTTTTGAGAGGCAACTTAGAGTAATCTCATACATTCCAACCTTAAAATCCCTGCAAAATATTCCTGAATTTTATGCCAATTCCCATACAGAAAAATAGCAAAACATAATTTATATATTAGGGGAATGAGATTCCTGAAAGATTAACTGAATTTAAATACAGTATTGAGATATATTTCTCCACTTTTCATAACCCATTATTTATCATTGTTAATAAAGTACTGTACCAGAATTTCTTGAGCTAAAAACATTGACAATGTATTTTTATTTTTAAGGAAAAGTTTTTGAGAGCGAATATTAGCACATTTTATCAATATCTAGGACCAAATTATCTTAGGATCAAGTACAGTATTTTGTCTTGGAGTACAGTATGTTCATGAGTGAACAGCTCTTTTGTATAATACACATTAACAAATCTTAGCATTATCACCTTGCATATGCACTGCTGAATTCAAAGTTCCTGTAGCTTAATCATTTGATTCAAAGTTTGATGCAAGGTGAAAGTCCTAGATATGCCAAGTATCAGAAAACGGTAATACCTGGCAATATGGTAGATGATGTTACCGTATTAATATTATTATTTTACTTTTTATGTATGCTTCCTGCTTTTTCCTGGAGGGAAAAGGTCTTCCTTGTCATGGTCTGCATCATGTAGAATCAGTAAATCTGACCTGTGATAGTAAATTTTTTTGACACCCATGTATATTTTATATATGGGTGTCAAAAATATACAAAAATATACTAATAAATATACACCTGTACTGTATATTCTTCTACTGTATAACTTTGCTAGATAAATATTTGTTTATAATTTTTATTTTATTGGAAGCTATTGTGGAAAACCTTCCTTTACAGCCCCCCCCCCCCCCACACACACCCACACTATGGCAATAACAAAAATTCACATTGTTTTAGCAAAATCCATTTTTTGTATCCTTGACACAACATATAAAAATAAAAATTCTTGTAGGATCCCCTCTCAGTTGCTCCCCAATATTACAACCTGTGTCCATGTGTCCATGCTTTGGGAACACATCAGGACTCTGTGACCGCCTAGCATCTACTGCAGACCATGACCAAAAGCTGACCCACTCAGAAGTGATGTGGAGCTTGGGGATCAGAGATCACCACAAACCTTAGCAAAAAGGAGTAAATTCACCTTTCACAGCCAACAATGGTCAAACTATAGCACTTGGATTATTTTTCTATTTTTCTAGAACTTGCAATTTTTTTTTTTGTAAAATTCCATAAGCATAAATTAATCATTGAATTTTGTTAGAAAAGCCCTGCATGGGAAGTACCCCCAGAATAACTGCTGCAGCAAAAGGGTTAATAATAAATTCAATAGCATTTCTTGTAAGCTTTATTTAATTTTGTTTACTTTTTTCCTACCATAGTTTGATGGGGTATGCGAGTGTCGTCCAGGATTTGGTGGCCGCCAATGCAACCTGTGCCAGGCCAACTTCTACGGAAATCCTCGGATAGAATGTTTAGGTAGTCTAATATTTTTGTCGTATAATACTGATTATGAATTTTCAGAAAATAAACAACTGTGCCTGGGTGACATAATTTTCTAATTCATGTGACCCTGAATAGTAGCTAGGAAAAATCCTGCTTTGAAAGTAATGATATGCCTCTTTCTGGTGGGACCCCTCAGTGGCTTCCTGAGCTACTTGCCTGCTAGGTTCCAAACCTAAACAACCCAGCCAGGCCAGTTGCAAGTGTCTACCAAGGGACCAGAGCGAGAATTTGGCCTTCCCTCAATAGAGGCAAAGGAGTTTGGGGATACTAGATCAACCCAGGTCAAGAGGAAAAACCACCGGAAAGGTACAGCTTCCCCAAACAAGAAACTGCATGAAAAACTTTGGTAGCCCCTGACACAAACTAAGTACATTATACATTCATTATTCAGTCCCAACTGCTAGTTAGTTACACTTGTTCATCACCAGATGGCAGCCCTGGCAACTTAGGGCTCCAGGCAGCTACCCACTTCAAGCATACACCCCCGCCCCCCCAAAAAAAAAAAAAAAAAATCCCTCAGAACCCTGGAAAGAGGGAAGGAAGGGAACAGGGAATCAGAGAGAGGACCCACCAAAAAGTACAGTACTGTATCATTTCATTTCATTGAATGCTATATTTCTGAGATGGATCATCTCAGTGTTTCTCTAAGCTATCTTACTTTAGAGAACAAAGAAAATAAGGCTCACCAGAGAAAGTGGGGGGGAAGGGGATGGAAGAGCAACAAGCAATCCTGAAGGGAAATGGTGTCAGTCACCTGATCTAATGCTATATGAGCCTGATGCTGCTGAAGAACATGAACTAAGACCTGTGCGGTGAGCACCTGGGAAGAATGACAAAAGTTACATGTCTGAAATCTAACCAGTACATGCCAGTGAAGAAAGTGGAAAAAAGCCACATCCTAGTGGATATGATGACGTCATGGAGAGACTACAGATTGACAACACCAACCCTAGTCAGCATACAACTTGAGACAACCAGACTCTGGAATAAGGAACTTGAGACACTAGGTTGACAGTGTCATCCAGCATAAGGGGCATGAGTGAAACTTCTATTTCTGGTAGAGCCCCTGTGGCTCCCTAATGGTATCTCAATGAGACTACTGCTATATACTAGGTCAAATTAGTTGTGGGAGTTCTTTTTGGCTTACCAGGGTCAGAACCTGGCCTCCCCTACATCCTTAGAGATACAGAGAGCAGGTGATATTTTGCCACCCCACTGGGAAAGCATCCAAAATGTCAACAAAGCATTGCAGACAAATGCAAGTTTGTAGGAACTGAATCCTCAAAACCTACCAAAGAGCATTCTAAACAATTCAAACGAAAAGCTCAAATCACTCGACCCTAGCTCAAACCCTTAGTTCCAACCGTGTGCCACTAGGGAGGCCAGATTCCTCAGCTCACTGCTAACTCTTCCAAGCCTGTTCTGGAGAAAATTAACCCCATAACCACTACCTGGAAGGGAGGGAGAGATTGTGTCAGGGAGCCACTGGTGTTCTACCAGGAAGAGGTATTTTATTACATTCAACCACAGAAAAGAAAACAAAGGACAAACCAGGGAGGAGGAGAGATGGCAGGTACTAAGGTGAGGCAGACATGAGGCCAGAAAACATGGCCCAAAGCAACACAGAAATGACTGGGCCCAGGAATAATCGACTAAGTACTGAGCCGCCAAAGCCCTGGTAGATCGCCAAAATCCACGCTCCCAAATAACCCAGGAAATGTTAACAAATAATGCCATGAGTGCAGTGTATTTTCAAACATCATAGATGCGAGTGTAGATGTCAATCTGGTAAATGTCCAGTGTGCCAGGTTCAGCCTGAGGGGAGGAAGACTGAAGTAAAACAACTGATGCCAAGAAGGTGGCAAGTTTGGTGGCGATTGAGGATACGAAAACTCTTCCCTGTAGAGTAGAAGACCCTTTGTACAAGAGACTAAGGACCAAGAGACACACACAAAAAAAAAAAAAAATAATCCTATTCCCTAGTTTTCCCCGACATCTGGCACCGAGGCCACCAGATAAGCAGCACATTCTGAGGTTGAGCCATGATCCCTGAGAGATGTAAAAAAAAAAAAGGTAAAAGGAAACTATTCGCAGGCAGTGATCTGGCTCCAAAGACCCCAGGGCTTGAGAGCCAAACCAAAAAATTGTGGGACTTCCACTCCAAGCAACAGCTTTACCAATCAAGTCATCACAAATCAATTTTGGTCTCAGACCTGCTTAAGAAATTGAAGACCTCTGAATGTCAACAGGTGCAACCTTTTCCATTTCATTCTTGGTGGGGCAACCCACAGAATGGCACCCATTTCTCCAGCAAGGAAGAAAGATGCAAAGTTCTTGTGTCCATCGGGATCCACAACAGGGAATAGAGTAATAGAAACTGGGCATATTAACAATGAATGCCCCAGTTCCTCTGAAGAAAGGATAGGAAGAAGTAGGGTATACTTTGCACATGTATACATTAAAAGTCTTTCAGCATTCTCCTTAAAAAAATAATGTGCTCAAACTTTGAGGCACCTGAGGCAGACTGCATGAAACACAAATGGGACATATCCCATAATGTGGTCACTGTCTGATATGCCGCCTTCCTGGAAAGAGGCTAACACAGACAAACCCAGCAGGCAGAATGGCAGAGACAGATATGATACACACCTCAATCTTCAAATTGAAGACACGTAGAGAAGGTAGGAGTGCGTGTTTCCGTAGTGCAGACACAACGTCGAGTTCCTCAAAAATATCGATGAGCATGGCCCTACAGAAGACCCGAGAGGCTTGTATTACCCGAGAAGAAGCATGAATCCCTTCAGAGAAGAGGACTATTATTCAAGGCAAAGATAATGCTAACAGCAACTAAGGAAGAGATCCCTGATCACATGCAGCTGTAGTGAACTCTAAAGCAAGGCACACACAGGAACCAAACACACTGGTAGGGGTGCATAAGTGATGAACCATTGGTTTGATTTGGCGAAGATTGTTTACATAGGGACAATGTTGCCAATGGTTATCATGCAGTGGTCTGTTTTAGTATGCTTTACCTTTCTGGTGGTTTTTCTTGGATGCTGTGGTTGATCTGAAATCCCCAGACTCCCCTGCTTCTACTGAGGGAGCCAGGTTCTGGTCCTGACCCCTGGTAGGCTCTCTTGAATCACTGGAGTTTTATGTAGTGTGTCAGCTAGCTTATTGGGTACCTAAGGTATCTGCAGAGAGGGGCCCCTCTCAGAAAGACCAAATTACTTTGGCATACAAGATTTGCAATTTTGCGGTAAAAACCTGTTTTTGCACCATAACTAGTATCCAATTACAAATTGTTAGTAATTCTTTTACATGTTAATTTCATGATTTTCCCAATTCATCTTAAGAGAAAATAATGCATTTTCATGAAAAATGGGTAATTTTAATTTATAACTTCTAAATCATAGGTAATATTGCATATTCTCATTGTTAAATTTCTTGCAGCATGCAATTGCAACTTTGAAGGCTCAGAGACTCTTCAGTGTGACCATGAAACTGGACAGTGCAAATGTCTGGAAGGCATTGGTGGGGACAAGTGTGATGAATGTGCACGAGGGTTTACTGGACGAGCACCTCATTGTCAACCGTGCGGAGAGTGTTTTGACAACTGGGATTTCATACTTACAGAACTGAAAGGTAAAGAATTTTGAGCATCTTAATTTGAAAATTTGGAGAAACCTTGTTGAAATTTATTTTCTTAACATAATAATAGTAATTTTGAAAGTACTGTTGTTAAAGCATCATAATATTGTGTTATGTTTTTAAACCATATCAAAGCAGCTTATCTTCATATTGTATTATGCCACACACTAAGAGAATTTATAAATATCCTCAGACCGTACACAAGCCCTAATTGCTGCAGCTGGACAGATCAAGCAATCGGGAGCAACTGGCGCATATAGTCATGAGTTTGAGTCAATGGAAGAAAAGATTAACGATGTAAGAGATATCTTGCTATCAGCTAACATGACTTCACAGAGTTTAGTCTCTCTCGAGGATCTCATTCAAGAACTCAGGTGATTTATCCCTTATTTGGATTTTTCAAATGAAACATTAATTGGAAATACAGTAAAACTGAAAATTTATTTAAAAGCTGGTATAATAATTATTGACTATCTGCCTTAACCACTGTGATGCGCTGAGTTTATTGTGACATTATCCCTGTGCACATGAAATCAAGTGTTCCCCAAAAATTCTTTTTTCTTTGTAAAATGATAAATTCCCTGCCCTGAACATGACTATGTAAAAATAAATACCAAATTCTAATTACTTTGGCTGTGGGGATGTGGACAAGATGCACTGTGACGTCATGAGGGGCTGGACATCCGTGCGTGAAGCTCCTAGACACGGTCGGGCGGGCCATTCAGGCACTGCGTGTTGCCACAAATATATTTTCAATTATTTGTTCTATGTATTTCCGATGCGATTTTTTTTTTTATCGTATATGATGCATATTTGTGTCCTTTACAATGTGTATACAGTAGAACGTTCATAATGTTCCATGGAACTGTGATATGTGTCAGTAATGTGTCCAAAATAAATGTTTATTGTTGCAATATTACTTGTTAAAAATTCACTAAAATTATAATATGTACAGTTTCACACACTATTTACACAGTAACACACTGTATTACACACTCAGTACTTCCGAAGTGAGTAATAATCAACGAAGTAGTCCATGGTACACAGTGCAACGTCGCTCTTATTGCACCAGGTACAGATAGATTTTCTCTTACTGTTTCTTCATTTTGTGTGCTTGCAAATAACGCACTCATGTACACCCTTGGCCTTAGTACTTGAAGGTGGTATGTAGCCAGGCTTGTAAAGCATAAGGTAGTATTGAAAAGATTATAGGAAAAGATAATTTGTAAGGTAGTCTTGAAAAGATCGCTTTGTAAGGTCCCACACAGGAAGAGACTCAGCCACTCGAAGCCACTCAGCCACTCGAAGCCACTCAGCCACTCGAAGAGTGTCAGTCAATCTGGAAGAGATTCAGCTATTCTTGAAAATATCTATGGAAAACACCACCATGGAAGCTGCTAACACTGTTTATCTATGCTACTTGTATCAGATGCATCATCACTGAACACAGAAGACGATTCATCTATGTATCATCTATATAAATTGGAGATGGCATAAGTGGGCAAGCCACTCAGAGCTACATCTGGATACCCTCTCTGTATCGTCCTCATAGGCACTGTATCGCTTGCATCCGACCTTTGTGTTAGGTCCTTATTGCGCCTAGCTTCACCAATATCATGACCCTTATGTTCTTCAAACAATAAGGTTTGAAATTCACCGACAGAGCGCGATCTTTCAACACTGCGTCGGACAGGTATTTGGGAGCCAGGGGTGCGTACTCGCCTAGTTGTACTCACCTAGTTGTGCTTGCAGGTGTTGAGCTTTGTCTCTTTGGTCCTACCTCTCAACCGTCAATCAACTGGTGTACAGATTACACCAGTTGGGTGGGTGCCACCCACTCAGTACTAACCCAGCCAGCAACCCTAGGGCATTCTGGAAATTTTTTCCAAGATGGCTGCCTCTCACTGGAGGTCCTAAGAGTCCATTTCATGCACAACCAACTGTGCACACATTTTGAATGGGTACGGAAAAATCAAAAGGTGTTTTCTCGGTTGGCGCAGTCCAGTGGTTAATCAAGTATACAGTTGCTAATTTCTGATGTGAGGCCTCATGGATGCTCTGGTTCAGAGACATTATTGACCATCTAGGACTCTTATCCCTCACTGGTCCCTCATCTACCCTGTCTTCCATTATATATCTGCAAATTTTGATGCTTTGCCACTTATGGCACAATGTGGATCTTTTGGTCATGGATTATTTTCTACATGTGTTAGCATGTTTCGTTTCTTTACTTTATACTCTCTGCTGCCTTGATGAACCCAGCCTCTTTTGAGTTTGGGTCAGCCCTAGTTTTTGGTTGCAGTACAAGATTCCTGATTCTTCTTAGCTTATGGACAATCTTCTATTTTCCTTGGGGGGAATTTGCATGGTGTTTGCTCTAACCAAATGCTTGAGTTGGGAGAGACGGGCTTCATCTTTTATGTTTTCTTGGGTAGAGGCTTGCCCATTTGCTTTGGTCCTGCCCAGGGATGTGGTCATGTGGCAGCTCCACATGCAGCTTACTTTGCTTTCTGGAGCCAAGGCCACGGAGGATCACATGAGCTACGTTCACGTGGCATCTGTTTTGCACATCAGAGCTGTGACCGAGCTGTTTTCCATCTAGCTCCAATGTGGCTTGGATGTTTTGCCATTGGTGCCAAGTATTGCTGCCATGTTACCTGTAATTCCAACTTCAGCAGCTTTTCTGTGGGGAGCCCCTACGGCTCCCTGGAGCTTATCGGGCTAATGTATGTTATGTTAGACCGGGACATTAGCTAAGGAGTTCAGACCTACTAAGGACCAGCGCCAGAACCTGGCCCCTTCAGAGAGGTTTCAGGGAGCAATGGCCCTGGAAAACCCCATATGGTTGGGGGTTTTCCTTATCTGCCATCGACCGGGGTTAGGCACCCAGAAAGGTAGGCGTAACAAAACAAACCCCACATGGTAAGAAACTACAACAAAAACCGAACAGAGAGGTAGAAAACTCCCTACAATCCCAAGGAAACTAGCAAACAAGCAAACATCACACTTTACTGCCGCGCCGATCGTCCGCGCAGCCCTCCCCACCCCGGGAGGGGGAGGGGGGAGCCCCGGACCTACCGCGCCGGCTGCCAAGCTCCAGTTCGGAAGCTAAGCTTCAACCATGGCGAAAAAAACGCCGACCGGTGGGAGGGAGGGTTTCCAGGGAGCCTCCGGGGCTCACCCAGAAAATGGTGTTTCATTACATTCAACGCTGGTTTTCTATGGGGAGCCCCTACGGCTCCCAATCTTCTGCGGCTCTGGTCCGTCTGGTGTTGAAACGAACCCAGACTACTCAACCATTGGTTGTGCAGCTGTGCACAAGCCTGAACTTTGTGTGGTATTTCTCTTGGGCATAGTTTACCTCAGGGCGCTGCTCTAGTTTCTCCAGTATCATCCATTTCATTACCACCAGGACAATTGGGTAATCCCTGTTTGTCCATCTCCGACTTTTAGCTCTCTGGTTTCCTCTTTGGGCTTTTCAGGGTTTGCTTCCATGGTGTCTTCCTCAACATGTATATATGGATGCCTCAGCCCTAGGTTGAGGTTTTGTAACCAGCGATCACCAAACCTCCCAAGGCCATTGGGCAGATCCTTTTCTTCAAGCTCACAGTACAGTACACAAATTTGGGATTGTGTGGCAGGCACTGTGAACAGTTAGTCTTCCTCCAAACTCTGTTTTTGCCTCCATTTTGACTGTTCTTTCGTGGTTCACTGTTTGAATCATGTAGGATGGGGTGTTGCTTTGGTCTTTGCAACTGGAGTCTCATGGTTTGTTTTTTACACAGTTTATATGCAGGGTGTGCCCATCATTCTCATGGATGGTCTCTTGTTTCCTTCCTATTACCACAGAGTGGACTGTCGACAGTGTGTGCCTCTGTTTGCTCTGAGAGACATTCTGGCACAGGAGGTAAACCTGTTTGCATTGGTTTGGAACCAGTAAGTTTCATCCCACGTGGCTCGATTCCCCAATCACAAGACTTCAACACTGGATTACTTATAGCTGGACTGGTTTTGGTGGGGATTCCTTTATCTCAGTCCTCTGGTTCGGTTGCTGCTCCAGGTTTTATCAATCCAGACTGGAAACTTACAAAGGCAGGGTGACCCTTCTATCTCCTAGAGAGCTAGCTCAGCCTTCATTTCCAGATTTTCTGGCCAAGTGTCCTAACTTGGACATTTTCTGCAGGTTCATTTGATTGATCACTTCCAACCTGGACTAAGGCCATTTCTCCAATTGTCACCATGTCAGTCAGAGATTTGTCTATTCCTGTGGTGATTGACCATGTAGATGGTGTGTCTTGTAGATTAGAAGATTTTAATACTCGATTCAGTCCATATTCGAGGGGCTTGAACATTCTTGCTGATGATCCCTCCCACTTTTGTCCAGTGTCACCCAAATGCGAGGTTATCTTCTTGAGGTTATCTTGAGATGATTTCGGGGCTTAGCGTTCCCATGACCCAGTCCTCGACCAGGCCTCCTGTTTGTTACACACCCCCAGGAAGCAGCCTGTAGCAGCTGTCTAACTCCCAGGTACCTATTTACTGCTAGGTAAGAGGGGTATCAGAGTGAAAGAAACTTTTTGCCCAGTTGTCTCCGCTTCCACCGGGGATCGAACCCGGAACCTCAGGATTACGAATCAAAAGTGCTGTCCACTCAACTGTCAGGCGCCAAAGGTTGATGGTGTTTATTTCTTGTGGCTTGTTTGTTTGCCCAAGATGTTTGGGATGTTATTCATACATCAAACTGATAGTAGCATTATTTAACAGCCTGGTGGACCAGATCATCAATCAGGAGGCCTGGTCAGAAACTGGGCCATGGGAATATAATACAGTACTTAGAACCACCACAAGGTAGCCACAAGTGTATACGTTTGCCTTTGCAATGAATCGCCAGCTTCCAGTGAACAAGACAGTTTCCTGATAGAAGTCATCAAGGTACTTTTTCCATGCTTTCCGGATTTGATTACTGTGGTCTGGGTCATTCTTCTGGCTTCATGATGGCTGGTTTCATTTCAAAGACTTTACCTTTGTGTTTTACCAGTTGGTCATTTTGAGATGGTTCTTGTCTCTATGCCGATCTTAATGTATGGAGGCGTTTAATTTTTTATCACTGTATTTTATGGGGGAAGAAGTGTCAGTATGAAGTAGTTTCAAGTATTATTCATCAGTTTTATACCCTCCATCAGGTTTTTTCCATTTGGGTTGTTATGGGTTTCATGACTTGGCTCTTCTTAAATCATCTCATGCCAGATACCATCTCCCTCTATCATTCTTCTTTGGCTGAACCCCTCTTCCTTGCTTTTTGCGTGGATTTAGTGTTGGTCCATTTTTAAGTTAGCTACATCTTTCCATCTCTGACTAACTAATTCTCCTCCTGATCTTTGGACTTGATTCTTGATTTCTTGTCTACTCCAAGGTTATGCATCTCCTGAAGCAGGTGTTATGTTTAAGGCTGCCCCATTTATTGGCTCTTGCATTGGGTAGTCATGTGAGGGAACTCCATGCCCTGTCGTTGTAAAGTTTATTGTACCTTTGCTTTCGGGGGTTCAGTTTCTGCAATTGCAAACACGGCCACCTTCTCTCACAAAGAATGAGTTAGCATCTTTTTGGTTGACACAGCTGATTATAGACTGTTTGTTATGCCAGGTTTTCATCATATGATCTATCCAGTGGCTGCTATTTGCAGGTACTGTGGGCAACCAGGAGTATCTTGTGAGGTTGCTTTTTTCCTTGTTCCTTGCTGTCTTCTTCGTCTGCTCCAAAGCCCATTTGTTAAGTGGCCAAGCTGTATCAGCTACATGTCTCTTCTCTGGTAGCCAGATACCTTTCTGCCATAACATGTTCCCTGTGAAGTTATGTTGACTTGAGGGAGATAACATGTTCCTAACCACTTCATCATATCTGTCCAGGTTCAACTTCTAGGTTGTTGGTATTCTCTGGTAAGCTGTCTTTGTTTTCTTTTAAATATATATGTTTATTATTCAGGTTGCTGTGTGTTGTGGTTGTGTTGAGAATTTTTCATGTAAGGTCCCGTGAGAAGGAAGCTTGGGAAAGCCAAAAAGGCAGCCACTTCAGAAATGTAACATTAAGTATAATGAAATGCCTATTTCTAGGGGCTTATCAATGGCTCCATATTTTCCCACCCTGTTTTGTCTATTCACCTGTGTGCTTTCAGGGTTGTTCAGGTTTGAGTGTGATGGTTTGACTATTGATGTCATTTAATTGTTAAGGTGGGAGGGTGGGGGGAACAAGCAGTGTGGTTATATTTTCGGTATTTGGTATAATTTTGAGGTTTTTTTTTGGTAATTGTGTGTGTCAAACATTTATCAGTGAGCATTTCAAGCTGTTGTGATTTCTCCTTCCCCCTTACTTCAGCTATTTTGGTGAGTTTCCATTAGTGTGTATAATTTTATGACTTACAGCTCTCTGAACTCTTGTGAGGAGATATGATTCTGATCAGACTCACAGACACCTGGTGTGATGTTATTGGCCCTTGGGTACCAGTGCAGAAGTTGTAGAGAGCCTTGGAGGGCCTCTTGAAAGTGGCCTTTCATTATACTCTACACTATTTGTAGCATAAAAAGAACTTTCTTTCTTCCAGAGCAAATTTAACAAATGCTGCTGCTGAGCTCCAGGGTCTAGAAGGAGGAGTGGATAACACCACACAGCGCATCTCTCTAGCTACCAATGCTTTAGCTGATCTCCGTCTACAGGCAGAAGAGCTAAGGAATCAAGCCGGTGACCTGAAGGAAAAGGCAACTAAACTACAAGAGGCCAATGTTGAAGGTGAGAGCTCTCATTGGGTGGAGCAATATCACTAGTGTTGTTGGAATTCATATTTACCATTAGCATTGCTCATCTTACATAAATGCATTTTCTGGGAGGGCTTTACTTTGGTGGCTCTGAGCTAGCTGCCTGGTTAACTCAAAAACTCTGCACGACTGTAATGAAATGCCTCTTTCTGGCTCCCTGAAGCGCTCTCTGAGATGGCTCCCTATTACTAAGTCAACTCAGCCACAGAGTTTTGTTTGGCCTAATGGAGACCAGCGCCAGAATCTATCCCCCTCATAGAGGCACAGAGACCAGGAGACACTGCCACCCCACCAGGAAAGCATCCAGAAAGTTGGCGAACTAATACAGACCACTGCTGGGATCAAAGAGAATGAAACCTCAAAATAGCCAAACAAACTCCCCAACAATGTAAACAAATGATCAGATCTCTTCAAACAAATGTGAGCTTCTTAGCACTATTCCCTCCATCAGAGTTGGGGAGGGAGCTGGAACACCCAGTGCCCTATGGACTACTACTCCAGTTCTGGAGCAGATGCACAAATGAACCCACAACAGGTGGCATGGAGGGAGGAAGGAAATTGGGGAGCCACCAGGGCACATCCATAAAGAGGTGTTTCATTACATTCAATCCATTTTTTTTTTTTTTTTTTTCTTGTGTGTGTGTGTGTGTGGGAGCTCCTTGTGGCTTCTGGAAGCTAACTACCCATGGAGGAAAAAAAAAAGAGGAACTCACCAAACTTCAACTTCAGCAAACTTCAGGTATTGATGTAACTTCAGCTCTGTTTCGTAAGCTGTCTCATGCGTTGTTTCACCTCTGGCCTGCTCATGCACCGCTTGAGCTGTGTTGGTCGCTTGACAGGGTGCTCTCTTTTCTCTCTTCTCGGTTTATAGTGGGCCCCTTTGGTTCAGGACTGTTACTCTAAGGCTCTTTTCTTGTTAGCATTGGCCTCTGGGGGTTGGGTCGAGGAGCTTCATACTCTTCTCCAGCGCAGGGGTTTCTGCTCATTTGGTCCCGGTGGTAGGTTTGTTCGTTTGCAGCCGTCTTTTTTTTTTTTCTGGCGAAGAATGAGACTGCTGCTTTCCGGAGGGGTCCTTGGGTTGTTGATGCTTGGTTCATCATGCCGGGGGTGCATCATGTGTTGTGTCCGGTTGCGCCTCTTTGCCGTTATTTGTGCGCCATGGACTATGTAGCATCACAGGGTTATTCTGTCCAGCCAACCTGCAGTCTATCCACGTGCCCATGACATTCGCAAGTTTGCTGCTCTTACTGCTGTTTTTGGTAATATGTCCTGGGTTGACATTCGGGCGCAGGGTTTTTGGAGGTCGAACAGGGTTCTGGCTGCACGTTACTTCGTAAACGTTCCTGGACCTAGTTGGGCCTATGTCACTTTGGGTCGGCGGTTGCAGCCAGTTGTCTTGACTTCGCGTTGAGGAGTTAGCAGTGACCACCTTCCAGGTAAGTCCCTATAGCTTTCATCTGTGGGTAGGTAGCTCTGGGGCACCGACGGGGCTTCCCCCAGAAAACCAGCGTTGAATGTAATGAAACACCATTTTCTGGGAGAGTCCCGGAGGGTCCCCAGCAACCCTCCCTCCTTCCGATATGGCGGTTTTTGCGGGTTTTTGATGTCCAGCCTCAGAACTGAGAGGTGGATAGCCGGCGAGGGGGTCTGGGGCTCCCCCTTCCCCCTCCCGGGGAAGGGAGAGCTGCGCAGACAGTGGAGCGGGGACGTGTGACGTCATACTCGTTTCCTCGTTTCCGTTTGGGGAGTTCTATCCACTTATTCGCCTTTTTGTAGCAATTTTCACCAGAATAGGGGTTTGTTTTGTGATGCTTACCTTTCTGGGTGCCTAACCTGGTCGATGGCAGACATAGAATGCTTCCAACCACACGAGGGTTTCTATACAAGCCATTGATCCTCATGCCAATGTGAGGGGACCAGGTTCTGGCTCGTGGTCCCCGGTAGGCCCACAGAACTCCATACACATGACATGCCAAAGTCTGACATTAGCATATCAGCCTGGATAGCTCCAGGGAAACCTCCAGGATTCACCCAGAAAATGGTATTTCATTACATTCTATGCTTCTTTTTTTTTTTTTTTTTTTTACCCTGGCTTTCGGTTTTTGGGTCAGGGAACTTCGTGCTCTCCTCTGGAGGTGGGGATTTTTGTTCTACCCTGGTGGTTGTTTTATTTATCTGCAGCTGGCTCCTTTCTTGGCAAGAAATGAGTCGGCCAGCATCCGGAGGTTTTTTTTTTGGTTATTGATACTTGGTTAGGCTGGGTGCATCATGTGCTGTGCCTGGTGGTGCCTCTTGGCTGTTAACTTCGTGCCACTGATTCTGCCTTGGTAGGTGCTTTGTGGGTCAGTCCTGTTTTCCTTGGTTCCCTCCTCCCTGGTGTGTCCATTTTCCTTCTCCATGGGTACTTAGCTTCAGGGAGCCACAATGGGCGGCCTCAGAAAAACAGTGTTGAATGTAATGAAATGCTAATTTCTAGGCAAACCCCAGCAGGTCCCTGATTTCCCCCATTCTCTTCTGCATTGTTGATTGGGGGGTAGTTTATATGTGCATTTGCTCCAGAACTTGACTGCTTGAGCCAGTAGACAGCATGAGCCCCAGCCCCTTACCCACGAGATTTGATCTTTTATTTACATTGTTGGAGGGGGAGGGGGGTTCATTCAGCAGTCTGTCACTCTTTTAAATCCAGCAGTGGTTTGTATGTGACCCCTGATTTTATGGGTGCCTTTTCCTGCAGAGTTGGCGAAGTCTCACTTGTTTCCTGTGCTTCTTGTGAAGGCCAGGTTCTGGCCCTAGTCCCTGGTAGGCCAAACTGATCTCTATGGCTGATTCAATCTAGTAGTTGGGAGTAGTAGTCTAGTAGCTCAGTAAGATAGCAATTTCCAGGAGATTGCCTGGTTATTGGCATTTTGTTACATTCATTGTTGTTTTTTCTGTATAATTTCACAGAAGCAAATTGGTTTAAATTTAAAAAAAAAAAAACAGCCACATGGGTGGTTTCTGGAGAATAAGTGCTACAGTGGAAGTTTTAATATAGTAAAGTAAATGCAGATTTTCAGGAAATACTGTACTGTATCTAAATTCAGTTGCTTTACTTGTTCTAATAATCTTCAGTTTTTTATTTTTTATTATGGTTCAGTATTTTTGCTTATGCTGTGATTACAGTAATTGTTTATTGAAATATGCCAATTGTTGTTCAAACATTTAAGTTTTCCTAATTTACACTTTAATAGGAGCACTGAATTTGACTCGGTATGCTGGAGAGAGGTCACGTGCTGCACAAGAGCGAGTTGACTTCACACAGGTTATTGTGTCTGAATCTGAGCGTAATCGCAGGAGGATTGAAAATCTCCTTTTGCATGCGGGTGATCGGTTTAACCGCACACAAGATGAAAATGAAGCAAAGTTGTCTGGACTTAGTGATATGTTGGATGATATGGATGGGGGAATGCCGGATCTTAATGAACAGGTATAGTAGTGAATACATTGAAAGATAATGGAAACATGCATAATTTAAATTTGGCAAGTTAAAACTATTTTAATTGTTAAAAATCATTATATGATTTTGTATTAATATTTTACAGGTGTGTGACCGACGAGGTGATCCATGCGACACCTACTGTGGGGGTGCTGGCTGTGGCAAGTGTGGTGGACTCTCTTGCAATGATGGTTTAGTCAACACTGCTGAACTTGCTCTCAAGTTTGCTGATGATGCAGAAGAAACGCTAAAGAAAAAAGAAGCATCGGCAGATGAGCTTTTGAGAGGTGTTTCGGGTGCCAAACGTCAGTCTGACATTGCTTTTGACCTTGCTAAAATGGCATTTGAGATGACTTTCCAGGCTCGCAATATGACTGACTCTCATAGAGCAGCAATCTCTAAGCTCCTTGAAGAAATTGAAGAGTACTTCAATGTACCAGGAGCTAAACCCAAGGAAATTAGAGTGCTAGCTGAAGAGGTTTGTAAAAATTTTGTCATATGAAATTATAATTAAGGTAAAATTTATTACAGTACCCATTGTATATGCATACATAAGTGTATCTTTTCATCACATCTTTGTCTTGTTAGGTATCCCCAGAAACTGTAAATCTGATGTTTACATATAATTAGCCAAGAATTCATCTGCCATTATACAACAAAGATACAGTTTGTAGAGAAGATGGGACAATGCAGACATAGCTCTCACCCTGTAACTACATTGAAGTAATCACATGCCCACCTACCTAATTACACATCTTCACACAATTTAAATCAGTATATTGCTGCAATATAAATCTTAAGTCATTCTGGAAATATTATTACATTTTCCCCATACTGTGTTATTCAGTTTATGTAGCACATTTCATATATCGAAAACACTGCTACCTCCTCAGACACTATGGCTGTGAAGTGGAAGCTCTTCCACTGAGCTATTGCCTCTTAGTGCCTAAGTGAGTGAAATGTTTATTACATGATAGTGTAGTTGACAATTTATATGAAGTGAGCATGGATCAATAATTCCTATGTGCTTAAATAGGAGCTGGGGAAGTATATATTTATGTTGGGCAGTGGTTTGCTGCCTCTGAAGTTTTTCTTGTTGTGACTTCCTGAATAACTCAGTGGAAGAGCTTCCTCCTCATTGTATATGTATATATGTATGTATGTGTGTTTATGTATGTATGTATGTATATATATATCTGTATGTATATGTATGCATGTATTTTATTGAATATGATCGAAAGGGTAAGATTCCATTTGCCAAGTGGTGCTCCATATGCTTATTTTGCCCAGGTCTTCTTGAAGGGCATTACAATCATCTAAGTTACTTATCTTCCCTATTACCTTAGGATCATCAGCAAACATGTTAATATAATTCTGTATTCCATCTGGTAGATCGTTCATGTAGACAATGAACATTACGGGTGCAAGAACTGAACCCTGTGGTACTCCACTTGTGACATTTCTCCAGTCCAATACATTGCCTCTGATTACTGCCCTCATTTTTCTATCAAAATTTTTCATCCATGTTAGAAGCTTACCTGTCACCCCTCTAGTATGTTCCAGTTTCCAGTCCAACCTCTTATGTGGAATTCTGTCGAAAGCCTTTTTTTTAGGTCCAGATAGATGCAGTCAACCCAACCATCTTTCCTGTAAAATCTCTGTGGCTCGATCATAAACACTGAGTAAATTCATTACACAGGATCTTCTAGATTGAAAACCATACTATCTGATATTATATAGTTTTTCTCCAGGTGTTCTACTCATTTAGTTTTAATTATATTTTCCAATATATTGACTACTACACTTGTCAATGATACAGGTCTATAATTGAGGGGGTCTTCTCTGCTGCCACTTTTGTAGATTGGAACTATGTTAGCCTTTTTCCACACATCAGCTACAACTCCTGTAAACAGGGATGCCTGAAAAAATCAGGTGAAGTGGAATGCTGAGCTCAGATGAACATTCTCTCAGAACCCATGGTGAAACTCCATCTGGGCCAACTGCTTTGTTCTTATTTAACTCCTTGAGCATTTTTTCCAGTGTGTCTCTAGACACTTCTATGTGCTCTATGTTGTTCCCTGGAATTCTTATTGTGTCTGGTTCCCTGAAGATTTCATTTGTACAAACACACTTTGGAACTTTTCGTTTAATGTTTCACACATTTCCATTTCATTTTCTGTGAATCTGTTTCCCACTTTCAACCTCTGAATATTATCCTTTGCCTGCAATTTGTTGTTTATGAATTTGTAGAATAGGCCTGGTTCTGTTTTACATTTATCTGCTATCCCTTTTTCAAAATTTCTTTCTGCCTCTTTCCTCCCTGCCATGTAGTTGTTTTTTGCATCTTTGTATCGTTGGTATGTTTGGGGGTTTAGCCTCTACCTATATTGATTCCATTTTTGTTTCTTTTGGTCTCTGGCCCTCTCGCAACATCTGTTGAACCAATTCTGTTTCTGAGTCCTGCATCTCTGTTTTGGTATGATGTTTGTGTGCCTTCATCGTATATTTTGCCAAATTTGGCATACATCTCATTTACTTCCCTGCCTAGCAACAAGTCTGTCCAATTATACTTCTTAAAAATTAAAAAAAAAAATTTGAAGTTCCCATAGTGTCCTCTCTTGAAATCGAGTTTAACTGGTTTCATTGTCCCCAATTTCTTCTAGATGATATCTTAAAGCATATTTAATGTCCAACAGGACATGATCACTCTTTCCCAAGGGAGGAAGGTACTGGATGTCAAAAATCTCCTCTTCTTTCCTGGTGAATATTAGATCCAGTACTGATGGAAGAATACTTCCCTCATTCTTGTGGCCTGCTTGATGTGTTGACACAAGAATGTCTCCAGAATGAGGTTCAGAAACATGCATCTCCAAAAGTCCTCCATTCTTGCTTCATAGGCCTCCCAGTCTATTGTTTTAAAGTTGAAGTCCTTTGTGTAATTACCTAAGTGTAGTTACAGGATGAGAGCTACACTCATGGTGTCTAGTCTACCCAGTACTCTGTCATATAAAGCTTTGAAGCTACTAACGGTTTTGGCCTCCACCTCACTTAACTTGTTCCAACCGTCTACCACTCTGTTTGCGAAAGTGAATTTTCTTATATTTTTTCGGCATTTTTGTTTAGTTAGTTTAAATCTATGACCTCTTGTTCTTGAAGTTCCAAGTCTCAGGAAATCTTCCCTATTGATTTTATCAATTCCTGTTACTAATTTGTACGTAGTGATCATATCGCCTCTTTTTCTTCTGTCTTTTAGTTTCGGCATATATAGTGCCTCTAACAAGAGCTGCCTTGTAGCTCTTGCCCTTCAGTTCTGGGAGCCACTTAGTAGCATGTCTTTGCACGTTTTCCAGTTTGTTGATGTGCTTCTTATGATATGGGCACCACACAACCGCTGCATATTCTAGCTTTGGCCTAACAAAAGTTGTGAACAATTTCTCTAATATTTAGCCATCCATGTATTTAAAAGCAATTCTGAAGTTAGAAAGTGTGGCATAGGCTCCCCGCACAACGTTCTTTATGTGGTCCTCAGGTAATAGTTTTCTATCTAGAACCACCCCTAGATCTCTCTCTTTATCAGAATTCTTTAAAGATTTTTCACATACTGTAATTTATAGGTTGTGTGGGGTCTGTTTTCCTATTCCACATTCCATAACATGGCATTTATTCACATTAAATTCCATTTGCCAAGTAGTGCTCCATGTACTTATTTTGGCCAGGTCTTCTTGAAGGGCATGACAATCATCTAAGTTTCTTATCCTTCCTATCATCACCAAACATGTTCATATAATTCTATATACCAACTGGTAGATCATTTATGTAGACAATGAATATCACTGGTGCAAGAACTGAACCCTGTGGTACCCCACTTGTGACATTTCTCCAGTTCGATACATTGCCTCTGATTACTGCCCTCATTTTTCTATCAGTCAGGAAATTTTTCATCCATGTTAGAAGCTTACCTGTCACCCCTCCAATATTTTCCAGTTTCCAGAACAACCTCATATGTGGAACTCTGTCGAAGGCTTTTTGTGTGTGTGTGTGTTTCGCTCATTTTGATACTTAAACATGTTTTTATATTTTTCATAACAGGTGTTAGCTCTGGATATTTCCCTAAGACCAGAGCAGATTACAGACCTTGCTGAAAGAATTACCCTTACCATTGATTCTCTAACAAATATTGATGCCATTATTGATGCTACCAGAAATGATCTGGACATTGCTGTACAACTTAAAGGTATTGTACTTTTCATGAATTATTTAAATAGTTTAGAATTTGTCTTGTATATCATTAGTAACTTTTTAATGTTAGCATACAGTTGAGTTGGTCTTGATTATTGGAGAGAATTGCCACCTGGCTTGTGGTGGCAATATTATTAGGCTTGTTACTCACAGCTCATGCATCAAAACAGTAACTGTAAGCTATGTTTGGGCGCATCCGATCCCACGATTGTCGTCGCCCCTAAATCAACACAACAATAAGCTATGTTTAACAATGTGTAAATACCTGTTTGTGATTACCAGCTTGTAGTTGCAGGAATACAGTAATTATTATTTATCTTTGCCCTGATCCCAGTGGCGTAGTGGTAAGACGCTCACCTGGCGTTACGTGAGCGCTTTGTCCTGGGTTCGTATCCTGGCCAGGAAGGATTTACTGGATACAAATCCTTAACTGTAGCCTCTGTTTAACCCAACAGTAAAATGGGTACCTGGTTGTTAACCAATTTGGCGGGGTCATATCCGGGTAACATAAGATTAAAGACTTACCCGAAACACTGCGTGTTAGTGGCTGTACAAGAATGTAAGAACTCGTGTAATTACTTAAGTGTAGTTACAGGATGAAAGCTACGCTCATGGTGTCCCGTCTACCCAGCACTCTTTGTCATATAACACTTTGAAGCTACTAACGGTTTTGGCCTCCACCACCACCACCTCACTTAACTTGTTCCAACCGTCTACCACTCTGTTTGTGAAAGTGAATTTTCTTATATTTCTTCGGCATCTTTGTTTAGTTAGTTTAAATCTGTGACCACTTGTTCTTGAAGTTCCAGGTCTCAGGAAATCTTCCCTATCGATTTTATCAATTCCTGTTACTATTTTGTATGTAGTGATCATATCACCTCTTTTTCTTGCCTTCTAGTTTTGGCAAATTTAATGTCTCTAACCTCTCCTCGTAGTTCTTGCCCTTCAGTTCTGGGAGCGAGTTACAGTAGTAGCATGTCTTTGCACCTTTTCCAGTTTGTTGATGTGCTTCCTAAGATATGGGCACCACACAACCGCTGCATATTCTAGCTTTGGCCTAACAAAAGTCGTGAACAATTTCTTTAATATTTCGCCATCCATGTATTTTAAAGCAATTCTGAAGTTAGAAAGCGTGGCATAGGCTCTTCGCATAACGTTCTTTATGGGGTCCTCAGGTGATAGTTTTCTATCTAGAACCACCCCTAGATCTTTCTTTACCAGAATTCTTTAAAGATTTCTCACATAATTTATAGGTTGTGTTGGGTCTGTGTTCACCTATTCCACATTCCATAACATGGCATTTATTCGCAATAAATTCTATTTGCCAAGTAGTGCTCCATATACTTATTTTGTCCAGGTCTTCTTGAAGGGCATGACAATCATCTAAGTTTCTTATCCATCCTATTATCTTAGCATCATCAGGAAACATGTTCAAGAATATAATTCTATATACCAATTGGTAGATCATTTACGTAGACAATGAACATCACTGGTGCAAGAATTGAACCCTGTGGTACTCCACATGTGACATTTCTCCAGCCTGATACATTGCCTCTGATTACTGCCCTCATTTTTCTATCAGTCAGAAAATTTTTCATCAATGTTAGAAGCTTACCTGTCACCCCTCCAATATTTTCCAATTTCCAGAACAACCTTTTGTGTGGAACTCTTAGTTCAGAGTTCTGAACCAACGAAATTTTTTTTTTAGGTCCATATAGATGCAGTCAACCCAACCATCTCTTTCCTGTAAAATCTACAGGAATCTACAGGTTCCTGTAGATTGGAACTATATTAGCCTTTTTCCACACGTCTGCTATGACTCCTGTACACAGGGATGCCTGAAAGATCAGGTGAAGTGGAATGCTGAGCTCAGATGCACATTCTCTCAGAACCCATGGTGAAACACCATCTGAGCCAACTGCTTTGTTCTTACTTAGCTCCTTTAGCATATTTTCCATTTCACCTCTAGACACCTCTATACGCTCTGTTGTTCTCTGGAATTTTTATTGTCTGGTTCTCTGAAGATTTAATTTTGTACAAACACGCTTTGAAACTTTTCGTTTAATATTACACACATTTCCTTTTCATTTTCTGTGAATCCGTTAACCATTTTCAACCTCTGAATATTATCCTTCACCTGCAATTTGTTGTTTATGAATTTGTAGAATAGGCCCAGTTCTGCTTTACATTTATCCGCTAACCCTTTTTCAAAATTTCTTTCTCCCGCTCTCCTTACTGCTGTATAGTTGTTTCTCGCATCTTTGTATCGCTGGTATGTTTGGGGTTTGGCCTCTTCCTACATTGATTCCATTTGTGGTGGGTTTCAAGCTAGCTGTTGCTCTGGTGGAGACTTGCACCTTCCTCTGCCACATTTTCCCAGGGAAGGAATTGATGTGAGACTGGCCCCTGTACCAATCCCTTAGTACTGGTAATCTTCCACAGGTATGGGATTGAAGTGGGCTTGTCTTCCAAGCTTGCTACCGCTGTTCACGTTTTTTCTGAATGCCATGGGATTTTCGTTCATTCTGATTTCGTTCTATCTCCATTCTGTTTGATGTTGTTCTCATCCCTGGGCTTATGATGATTGTTGTTGTTGATCCTTGGTTTTCACTGCTTATCAGGTGGCAGCTGCTATGCGGTGCTTGGCATTCCATATTTGTTTTTGGCCCAACGTAATGCCCCAGAGTTGGGGGAACCTGCTAGCTTTTCACAAGGAGGCGAAGCATTTGGTTATGAGAACATGTTTGATGTTTACTCCTCCTCCTTCCTCCTTTTTAATTTCAGGGTTTACCCTCTCCTTTGGTCCAAGCTCCAATGAGTTTGTGGTCAGGAGAAATTTTACTTCTGGTTCAAAGGTGTTCTTATCCTTGCTAGTGGTGGAGGCAGACGAGTTGTGCGTAAATGGTTGTGCGTGTATTTCTCGTTTGTGCTCTAGAGAATACAGGTTTTAAAATTGTAAGTAGCTCCAATAATTTAATGTTGGGTGTATTTGGGCAGCAAAGAACCTTTGCACATTCTTCAGGTCAACAATTTCTTCAACTATGAATGAGGAATTTAGTGGGCAACAATATTCCACCCTAGAAAGGAATAGTGTCTTGGTCTGGCATCTATTGTTTGAAATACTCTTGTTAACAACTGTGTTATAAGAAAGATGTGATATTGTTCTTACATACAAAATACTAACAGGAATCTACAAAATTGACAAGAAATCTTGAAACCTGCAATTTCAAGAGCAAGAGATCATAGATTCAAACTAAGGAAACAAAAGTGTTGAAAAATATCATAATGTTTTCTTTTGCAAATGAGTGGTAGATGGTTGGATCAAGTTGAGTGAGGTGGTAGTAGATGCCAAAACTTTTAGTAGTTTTAAAGTGCTATATTACAAAGAATACTGGGAAGATGGGACACCTTGAGTGTAGGTCTCATCTTGACTCTTAGTACACTTAGGTAATTAAACACGCATACATGAATTACAGTAATTGTTTTTCTTTATCTTTTAAATAAATACCACTTAAATGAATCAGTGATGTGTATGGTAAAGTTAATCAGGGTATGCTTGCATTGAAATCAATTGACTTTACATGTGGGTAACTAGTGTTCCTTGATAGAGCGTGCTGACCAGGCCAAGAAGAAGGCTGTAGATGCATTAAATGTGTCGGAGCGTGTATTGGAGGCTTTGGAGGAAGCTGGTGCTGCTCAGAGTGCTGCAGAAGAAGCCGTCTTGAAAGCTAGTGATGATATACACGCCACACAGACGCACCTCACACAGGTTATGTTCATAGCAGGTTGAGTTTTTACTAATGTAATTTTTTAATAATTGCTTGTTACGTTGGAGCTATTAGACATTATTAGGATGATGTGGGAGTGAGTGGTACAAAAAGTAAATAACTTTAGAGTAACCAGTGCTTGTTGTGTATATTCCCAACTACTGAAGACCATCGATCCCAGATTATATTTGTTTGCCTTGACTCTTAGTATGTTTGTTACTGTGTAAATTAAAGTAAAAATGCAAAAAAGATTTTTGATCAGTATTTAGTGTATTACTGTACCATTATTATAATTTATAATAATAATATCTTAAAGAAAAATATTATTCAGTAATTTTATTTCTTCTAATTAAGTGTTCATGTCAAAATATTTTAAATTTAAAATCTTTCTTCAAAATCTGTACTAATACAGCAGTAATAAAATTAGTGTTGACATTTTTTTGTTTTTACACAATAATCCAAAATATTTGTTGTAATAACTGCAATTGTACTTCTGGACATTTAACATTATCTGAAGTTCCTCTTTTATTTAAAGAATATACCCTGTTATAAATTGGGAATAAATTTAAATTTGTTCTTATTATTAAAAAAGGAAATTGTGTGATCAGTACAGTACTTTCATTATTTTAAGTGACCATATTTTGTTTAAGACATTTTGAGGTGAATTAAAGTTCATGAAGTATTTGTGTCAGACGGTAAAACTATGTATATTAGTATTCATTACATGCAACCAAAAACAGATGAGGAGAACATGAATTAAAACATGAAGTAGATAGCAGGTAGACTATCCAGAAGAAGCTAATAATTCTTAACTTGTTATTCTCATTCAATAATTCTCAACTCGGTAATTCTCACCAAACAGATTGCAAGTGAGACTAGTGTAGCGCAGGCCAAAGCAAATTCATCTCTTAAAGAAGTGCAAGATTTAGAAAGTCGCGTTGAAAAGGTGAAGATTCAGTACAAGATCAACCAACGACATCTTGAAGACACAACAAATGCTGTTAGTCAAGCAGCACTTAAAGCCCAGCGTGCAGCAAATGATGCTAAGCAACTTGAAGATGTAAGGAACACTGGTCGTCGTCATTTGCCATTTTTTTTTATTATTGCAGAGTTTTTATGCCAATGATGTAAACATGGTTATAATGCATCTATATAGATGTAATGTAGTTAAACAAGCTCCATGATTTTTTTTTATATAATCTGCAATGAGCATATCATGTACTAGGGGACTGCAGTTATCAAATCACAACCCTGGTCTTTCCTGTCAGCATTTGAATCCATGCCTGGATGACAATCCCATAAAGAATTGCCATAAAGAAGTGGGTTGCAAAGACACTTCCTTTGAGTTGTACCAGGTACAGATTTATGTGCAATAGATGTACACATTACATTGTAGGCCTATAATACAGCACGAGCTGTTTTTGTCAGTTATGTCACAACTCTACATTGTGTAAACTAATAAGTGAAACCACAAACATAAATCCAGCATTGAATGTAATGAAATGCAAATATCTAGAGGGTGTTCTTCAAAGGAGTGGCCTCCAGAAGCCAGTCATGTTTGTGGCTTTTTTGGGTAGTTTCATATCCAAAAAGAGTTGGTCAGTCTTTCCCTACTTACGAGGGTTTAGGGCTTTCAGTGCACACTTCTCCCCCTGGCCTCCATCGAGTCATTATGGTGTGGGTAGCTTCTGGCATGGTTGAAACTACCACATCTCTTTGTTGGGTGTCTCGTCTCTTCCCAGTTTAGAAACAGGACTCGGTGGAGCTCTGTTTCATCTTCAGTCTCTCAGGGTTGAACAGATTCGTCCCGTGCACCACTTTGGTCCAGGTTTGCCTCGTGTTGGAAGTGGGCTCCAGGATAATTTCCATGGGTCTCCAAGACATGTTGGAATGTACCTATACATCTGGGGTTCAGAAATTAGCTAGGTTTTGTTATGAAGTATCAGGCCTACAGCTTCCGGGTTCTTCCCTTTGATTTGAATTTGGGCGACTGCTTGTAGATGATTCCGAGGATCGATGTTCCCGCGGCTCGGACTCTGACCAGGTCTCCTAATTCCTGGTATGATCATCTAGGCTGTTCAAATACAGACTGATGTATGTGTCATAGCTTAGTCGACTAGGTGTTTTTCAAAACTCGACAAGCACCTTCAAAGGTGCTTGTCAAGTTCTCTTGAGCACTGCAAGAGGTTGGCCAGTGTTGGCCCCATGTGCGTAGAGGAGAAGTGTTGAAAGTCTTGGGACTTTGATGTCAATAGACTTCTCTCTTGGTATGCTTATTGCACCTCTGCTTTTCATTGGGGCTATTTTGCACATCCTTCTAGTCTCGTGGTGTCATTTGTGTGTGCTGATTTGAAACCAGTTATTTCAATATCTTTCAATTGTAAGTTATTATGAATCTCTATCTGCACTCTAGGAAATACAGATTTAAAATTTTTAGGGGGTCTCAATAATTTAGATGTTTTATTGAGTGGATTCTAGCAGTAAAAGATCTTTGCATGCTCTCCGGGTTAGCAATTTCTCCAGCAGGTACCCAACATTGCTCGGGTGATGAAGGCCACATCTTCAGTTCAATCTTTCATGTAAAGTGAAACTAAATTATGGGGGTCAACCCCAGCCGATCTATGACCACCCTTGAATGACCACGAGTCACTGTGCAATGTTTGATTAGGCTAGCTTTGAGCATCTGAAGTCCAATCTTGTCCATGAGCTTCCCATTCAGATGAGGGGCAAGACATGTTTTGAAAAGGTCTCGATCTCTGAGTAAAGCATCATCCAGTGCCTACCATGATTTTAAGTATCTTAGAAGTGGTTAGTACTAGATGCTTTGGGAGCTACTGATGAGTCTAAATTACTGATGTCTTGTATTTACATTTAATGTAGAGGTTGATTCAGTTTCTTTACACTATAGCAATTACCCATACTGCCAAATACTCTTCAATTTTTTTATTCACAGAAATACCTGACAGTAGCAGAAAGGTTACAGTTAAAAGCTGAAGCAGCAGAACAAGCAAGAATTAGAGCAGAAGAACTTAAAACGAGAGCAAATAAACTAGCATCGGAGGCATTTGCAAAATTAGCCACTCTTAAAGGTACAGTATTTAATATGTTGTGTGAATTTTAAAGGTTACATATCTTAATGAATTTTTAATTTTAATGAACTATTTTAACACTTCTGGTTTCACAGATTGTGTGTGTGTTGTGTGTGTGTGTATGCTTTTAGTATTATATATTTGTATCAATAAGTGAATCGATAATTGCAATTACCATTCGTCTTCATCTTGAAAAACAAATTAATAAATTATTCACAACATGGTTTCACAAATGGCCGTTCATGTTTAACAAATTTGCTAGCATTTTATTCCAGTATAGCAGTTGATAGTGGTAAGGTTTGTGATGTTGTGTACCTTGACTTTAGTAAAGCTTTTGATACAGTGGCATATGAAAGACTGATTTAAAAGATAGTGGCTCATGGTATTGGGGGTTCTATATTAAGTTAGATTAGGACATGGCTATACCAAAGGAAAAAGAATGAGTATAAATGGGGTTAAGTCAGAGTGGGGAAAATGCTGCAAGTGGAATGCTTCAAGGATCTGTCCTGGGACCTCTTGTTATTCATAATACAGTATATATAAATGATTTAGATTCAGTTTTGAGCAGCAATATTTGCAAATTTGCTGATGATACAAAAATCGGGAGGGAAATAAACACGGAAAAAGACTTGCTATTACTTCAAGACAATCTAGAGTTTTGAAATGGTCAAAAAGATTGGCAGATGCAGTTTAATGCTGACAAATGTATGGTTTTGAGGCTAGGTAATGACGATAGTTACAAGATACAAGCTAGATGGTGTGGAGATTGCGAAAGGGATCTGGGAGTTATAATTAGTAAGAATTTAAAACCACAAAATCGATGCATAAATATTCATAATAAGGCAAATAGGACATTTATCGAGCCGTAAGTAATTAGACGCCTAGTGGTGGTGTTCTGCTATATCTTGCTCTGATTATGCGCCATTTAGATTATGCAGTTCAGTTTTGGTCTCTGTACTATAGAATGGATATAAATTCACTAGAATGCATCCAATGTAGGATGACAAAGTTAATCCTCCAAATTAGAAAACTGTCATATGAAGAAAGATTGACAAAGCTTAAATTACATTCTCTAGAAAGGCGAAAAATTAGGGGTGAGATAAGAGGTGTACAAGTGGGTGAATGGGCATAACAGACCAGCATTGAATGTAATGAAACGCCATTTTCTGGGCGAGTCCCTGAGGCTCCCTGGAGCTATCCAGGCTGTTATGTATATCCCTAAACATTGGCATCAGTGTGAATGGAGTTCTAGGCCTACCGGGGACCACGGCCAGAACCTGGCCCCCCTCAAAGAGGCATGAGGTGCAATGGCCTATAGAAATGCACCTGGGATTTGGAGCATTCTATATCTGCTATCAACCGGGAGAGGCACCTAGAAAGGTGAGCGCCTCAAAACAAACCCCAATTCTGGTTAAAACAACAAAAATAGACCAACTAATGGACAGAACTCCCCAAATGAAAACAAGCAAACAAGCATGACTTCACACGAGCCGCATGTCTGTGCAGCTTCCCCCTCCCCGGGTGGGGAAAGGGGTAGCCCCCGACCCCCACGCCGGTGATCCACCCACCAGTTCTGGGGCTGGATATCAACAACATGCTAAAAAATGCCGCCCGGAGAGAGGGAGGGTTGCCGGGAGCCTCCGGGACTCGCCCAAAAAATGGCGTTTCCATTACATTGAATGCTGGTTTTTCTGGGGTGAGCCCCTTTGGCTCCCCAGAGCTACTTCACCAAAGACAAAAAAAAAGGAATTTACCCGGGAGGCAGTCGGTGCTCACATCTCAACTCAAAGTAGAGACATCAGGCTGCAACCGCCAACCCAAAGCAACACAGGCTCGACTAGGCCCAGGAATATTCATGAGGTAGCGTGCAGCCAGGACCCCTGTTTGACTGTCAAAAACTCTGTGCCTGAATATCAGCCTAGGACATGTTACCGAAGACAGCAGCAAGCGCAGCAAACTTACAAGCGTCATGGGCATGGGGATAGACTGCAGGCTGGCTAAACCAAATAACCCTGTGGACGACCTGAAAGACCCAAAGCCGAGAACAGGGAAGAAGGAAAACCAGATCAACCCAAAGCGCGCCACGGCCTCTGTGGCCAGGGATGCGCTTTCCCAACCGCTTTAATGGAAGATTGGGAAAGAGGTCGACTACATGATGAATCGAGTCAGTAACAGTTGTTAGGTCCAGTATCATATTCAGCGAGTGAAATTTGCTGCAAGAATAACTAATTCACTGGAGAAGACTTGTATGTGATAGTGGATGAATAAATCTAATTCTAAGAATAAATCTAAGCCTGTCCTCATCAACAAAGGCCAAATTCTTGTTAATCCTGCAACCAAACCCATTTATGAATGAAAAACACTTTACACACAACTCGCAACGTTCAATCATTTCTTGAATATTGCTTGACTGATGATCTCTGTTCAAACCACAGTGCTTCAAATATAAATAATTGCCAACAGAACCTAACCTAATCTATGCCTAACTATACATAGAACCTTAATATATAAACGAGAAAAACCTATTTTTAACATGCATTAAATTTTGTCAACAAGTCTTGGGGTATGGCCACAGCTTTAACGAGCCTGGCCTGAAGATGGGTTGTGTGTACAGATGAGCTTAGGCTTTTCAAGCTATTTGGAAATCTTGATTCACTTTTTCTTACTGAACAGAAGATGAGTGGACAGACATTTTTACATATTATTCTGTTTTCTTTTTGGTTCACCCTTTTCAATATCTCCTCAGAGGTTGTGCAGTGATTGTAGAGTGATTTGGCCTTGTGAAGTGTAAGGCCAAAACAGATTACCCAAGTATTTGTGACCAATTCAGCCTATAAAAAGAAGTGCCCTAAATATTGTCAACCAAACAAGTCAGAGCAACATGTTAGGATCAGAATTCAACCCACAACTGAAGAAAATTGTCCTAAAGGCCAAAGAGAATTAAAGAAGAGCATTGAATGTAATGAAATATCCTTTCCTAAGCACCCTCATTAGGTCCTTCGTGCAGTGCAGTGGCACTGGTACCATATACATATTTACAAAACTACCAGGTCTACCAAATAACATTACTCCAGTGGGTGGCTGATGTTGACTTGGTGGTATGCAGGTGGCTAGATGGCATTTGGGTTCTTTAGTGTTGTCTAGTATTGGGTTGCTAAAAACATTTTTCAATGTCCTTTTGAGTTTTTGTAACGCCCTTTTGACTTTTAGAGCAATTTTTCTTGGTTGGGGTTTATTCATGATCTCCAAATTCATCCTTGCCTCTTGAGGTGGGACGAGAGGAAAGATCCTGTTCCTTGCTCTTGATAGGCAGAGATAATCACCGATGTCTGTCGAGTCACTTTTGGCAATGGAACACCAGTTCACGAGCTCTGTAGAGCTACTGAGGTAGGAAGGTAGCTCTCATGAAGGGGAGGTTTAAATTGTACCCGATGCTTTATTTTTTTACAGGATCTTCTACCCTATTTGAGATAGAATATAGTTGGTAGATAAAAATGCTGTGTATTTCAAGATAAATTAATACTTGTCACTTTTGTACAATATTGCCAATTATTTTCTTACAGAAATGGAAGGAGTCTTCCAGAACAATGAAAATATACTTGAAAACCATGAGGAACAAATCCGATTAATGGAAGTGAGCATGATAGAATATCATGAATATATATTGCAGAAGACAGAATTTTATGCCACATGTGATTCTGGAACTCGCTGATATTCTTCATAGCAAGAAGATAGTGTTGTGTATAGCAGATTTGAAGTTAGAACTGTGTGTTGGCAAATTTGGGGGGGAAATTACTTCAATGTTAAATGTTAACTAAATTGTTATATTATGGAAAAATTAACAAATTTCTTACTCGGTTCACATTTCAGATATTTCCTATACAGTAATTAATATAATTTCATGTTAAAGTATACATGTTAAAGTATAAAGTACCCTTTCAACAACACTACAGTTTGTCTCTCTATGGTGACAACTTCTGATATATAAATGGCAATTTATAGTAGAAATAACTTGACCCTCTCTAAACCCATAAAAACTGAAGATATCTAAACTTTATTAGTATGAATAGAGATGCAAAATGTTGCAATTTTGTATTTACCATAATTTAACTTATTTGTCATATATGTATGGCTACTTGTATTTGCTGAACTAATAATTTACATCATGAAATAGGCTTATATTTATCACTATTTCCTCAATTATATTAATATACTGCATTACATTGAAAAAATTTCCTTAGACATATGATGAGTGCACAGTTAGGTGATATTTTGTAAAACAAGTGCATAATGTGGTTGTATGCTCCCGACAGGATGCCACCAGTCTTAAGTGGCACCGCGTGGCCACATCCAGTCACACTACTGGTAGAGTCACTGGCACTTACAGTAGCATTGTGATAGGTTGCTTGGGACTAAGCATGACATGTTACATTCACATGTGCATACCTCCCCTGCTAGGATGTGTATGTGTATTTATGCACATGTATGAATATACTTGTATGATTTTGATAAATAAAACAAAATAAATTGATGGATAAATTTTGGTAAATAGAATACTGTACATTGCTTTTTAATGTAAATTATTTTTATTAAATTAATACGCTGTAACTATTTATTTTAAAGATAATTAGAAATATGAAAGCACTTGAGATGCATCGAGACCTCCGTTATCTCTCGGATCTGTATTCTTATAAGAATAATGCAAGATATTTTAATGCATCTAAATTACAGAAGTAACATAATTACATTACAAGTAAGGTACAGTCAGTGTTGCAAGAAAACCATGTGCAATTTGAGATTAATACATTTTACCTAGACAGTTGAGTCGGAACTCTCAAGGCATAAATTAGATACAATAGATTGTTCTTAAATCTAAGTTTTGAAGTTACAGATGGCTATATTTTTGCCTATTTTTTTTTTCTTCTCCAATGAAGGTGCAGCATGAACTGTTGTACAGTACTGTACAGTAATTAGTGGACATATTTATAGTGTATACAACAAATTTAAAGGAATGTATCCATCAGCAAAAATGCTAATAATAAAATTAAAAATACACTTCTGGTCTCGTCCAATGTGGATTAACAAATTTTGTTACTGTTACAAAAATAAGCATTACCATCAGCAAAAAACCTGTCTTTACACAGTAGTTGAATGTGGAGTTGAATAATTTAGTTATGAAATAATGCTAACGAAGTAAAAAGCTTCAGTAAATGTATTCCTGAAATATCACCTGATTACACACACACATCATGCATCATTAAACACAAATGAACTCATTATGGCAATTAGTGTAATTTTTATTCACTATTTTACTGAAAACCAATTTAGTTTATAAAACGTGTTTAGCCTTAGGTTCTGGATAAAGTAGTGATAGTTATTTAATTGTGGATTGAGTTTGTAAATAATCATGGTCTTCTATAACCTTTTTAGATGCCATATTTTGAAGTGCCATTTTCTAATTAGATTTTTGCAAAAATCTGCATATTCAATTATTTTTCTCTTAATTTATAGCAGCTATACAAATTTATTTTGCAGACAAAATAAATGGTAAGCATTAAGTGCAACAATACAAAATAATCTTAACTAGTCCCTTAATTTGTACATACGCAAATAATTATTTTTCTGGTATGTCTGTGCTTATACAAAATAACATGTATTGTACAATGTTTGTTTTATAAAAAAAAAAAAACCTTAAGAGTTAAACTGAAATTTGGGTGCTACTTGTGTACAAAATACAAAGCTTCTCTCACATGTGCCACTTGTGTGTGTAATGATAATGAACTTCATAATAAATGTTGGGATAGGTACATACTTCATTAAATTCCCCTCCCGCCCCCCTTTACTGCTAAAGTTATTTTCCTTCCACCACCTGCACATGTAATATTAAGACCTGTGCAGAAACTGTCTACGAAGTATGTAGAAACATTTTGTTTTTATTGTTGGGGAATATATTACATAGACTGAGAGGGTAAAGGTATGGAGGAGCTCCAATAAACAAGAACTTAACAAGCAGTGCCAATGTTATGGCCTGACTGGGCCAGTAACTGGGTTCTTTCTGCTTAATGAGCCTTACAGCCTCTTCTATGATACCACCCCAGGTCAAGGGGCAAGTTATCAAGAATTGGCAGTAGCAAGTAATTGTAAAATAAAAAGGGGGGTAATCAAACCGATATATAATCTTTCATTTAACAAATACACATGTACACTGTCACTTTCGCACAGAACACTTAATATATCTGCAGTGTTCTTCAAATCCCGGTGAGTCCACTATCTTCAAGTATATGTCATCCACGTCCAATGCTCATTACCGGCAAGTTCACCTTACTCAACATGGGCCATTCCCCACACCGTATGGTTACGATGTCCATATACCCCACGTCTGCTCTCTAGAAACACAACGGCAGAGGTTTTCAGCAACACGCTGACAGGGGTCACAATTTGTACATGTCTAGGGGTTTTTACCAACACCTTGGCAGAAGTCTGATTACACGCTAACAGCACTTCTCAGTAGATGGGGAATATTGTCGTCTTTTAACGCCTCGTGACGTACCCAAATCCCGGGTACGTCATTCCACACCACACTGCACAAGTACAACAGGCAACACACTGTTTACTACCAACATCAGTCACTTGTCCACACAGGAACAAGTCGGAAGTTCTGAACTGCCTTCTACAGCACAAACCCTCCATGTCACCTCTATGGACATAATAATAATTAGCCAAAGTACACAAGGATTACATGGGATAACAGCCTTTCACCCGAGACCTGAAAATATGATTATATGCACACTATAGATGGCGTTGATATCGTTACTTTCCTCGCCAACGGACATCGTTGACCCATCTACTGAGGTATGAACAGGAACCCTTCTCGGATAGCAAAGAACTTACCACACCTCCACCAGCAGATAGCGTTGTCTTCGTCTCGCTTAATGCCTTAGTGCAGGTCTGTAGATGGCGTCGAAATCGATTCAACTTTCATTATATTTCATTATATTCAACGCTGGTTTTCTGGGGAGAGCCCCTTTGGTTCCCAGGAGCTAATTACCCACAGAAGAAATAAGAGGGACGTACCCAGGAAGTGGTCACCGCACACTCCCCAACTCAAAGTCGAGTCAACTGGCTGCAACTGCCAAACCAAGGCGACACAGGCCCGAATGGGCCAGGGAACGACCACAAGATATTGAGCAGCCAGGCCCCTGTACAACCTCCAAAAGCCCCGTGCCCGAATGTCGGCCAGGACATGCCCCCAAGACAGCAACAAGAACAGCGAATCTACGAACGTCATGGGCACAGGAATACAACGCAGGCTGGCTAGCCTCAATAACACGGCAGACGAGCTGGAAGACCCTCACCTGCGAACAGGGAAGAAGGGAACCGGATCAATCCAAAGCACATCCCGGACACAGAAGCCGTGGTGCGCAAATGACGGCGGAGGGCCACAACCGAACATAAAACAATAACGTGGCGATCAGCCACGTTATTGTGACTCATCGCCTGCACAAAACAATGCACCCCCCGTCGGACCAACCAAGGACCCCTCTGGAAAGCAGCAGTTTCATTCTGCGCCAGAAAAGAAGGAGACGGTTGCAACCGAACAAACCTATCGTCACGACCGAAGGAGCAAAAACCCTTGCGCCGGAGGAGAGCAGGAAGCTCACCGACCCGACCCCTAGAGGCAAATGCAAACAGAAAAAGAGCCTTCAAGAAACAAACCCGAACCAAAGGGGCCACAACAAAGCGAGGAGAAGAAAAAAGAGCACGCTGTCCAAAGACCAGGACGGCTTAAGCGGTGCATGAGCAGGCCGGAGGTGAAACAACGCATAAGACAGCTTACGAAACGGCGCAGATGTAACACCAAGACTAAAAGCAAGCTGATGCGACTCCAACGCCGCACGAAACGAGGTGACAGTATGCAGCAAGATGACGACCCCGAACCTCCACTAGAAAAGACAAGCCGACACCAACAAACACAGCCACCTAAGAAGGGACAGAAGGAAAAGGAAGGACCGCCAAAAAAACCCATACGGCCGCCAGGAAGTACGCAGGTAGGACACCAACAACGAAGCCACCTGACCACCAACCGAAGGTGACAGACTCGAGGCATAAGGTTCATTCGAGCCAAGGAAGAGGCGGAGCCGCGGGAAAATCTCGGGTGCGACCACCAAGCAAGCAGAGGCAGAAATCCAAGCCTGCAAAGGAGGAGATGGAACGTCTGCTGAACAGAAAACTCCCCAATGCGAGCATGCTCGCCAGGAGATCGGAGACTACAGGTCCGACGCAAGACTCCAGAGAAGGGACACCGCGGGACCATAAAAATGCCAAGAGGCAGGGCAAGCCAAGAAAACAGGAACCCAAACCTAGCAACAGGAGGGCAAAAAGACACAAACAAAACACACAACTGTGTAGGAGAAAACGAGAAAAAGACCAGAAGAACAGCCCCAGCCCCAGCCCCAGCGGCCAGGGACTAGAGTGAAGCAGGAAGATGAGGAACGAAGAAGGCATGCAGCAAATCGGGAATGAAAGGGACACGATCAACCCACAGAGCTGCAGACCATGTCCCAACAAACCAAACTGAAGAAGATGCAAAGGTTTGCCACCAGACTAGTACCCAAACCGAAGGGTACGAGCAACGAAGACACTAATGAACACAAGTGCACAACCCCTAACCCCTTCCCCCTCCCGGGGTGGGGGGGGAGCTGCGCAGACAGCGGCACGGTGACGTGTGACGTCATGATCGTTTGCTTGTTTCTTTTAGGGGAGTTCTATCCACTTGTTCGGCTTGTGATAGCAATTTTCACCAGAATAGGGGTTTGTTTTGGGACGCTTACCTTTCTGGGTGCCTGACCCAGTTCATGGCAGACATAGAATGCTTCCAACCACAAGGGAGTTTCTATAGGCCATTGCTTTCCTTGCCTCTCTGAGGGAGTCAGGTTCTGGCTTGTGGTCCCTAGTAGGCCCATAGAACTCCATACACATGATTGGTGCCAAAGTCTGACATTAGCATATCAGCCTGGATAAGCTCCAGAGAGCCGAAGGGCCCCCCCCCCACCCACCCAGAAAATAAAAGTAGCAAAGACCATTGGCAGAATTAGACTTATCTGTGAATAGATCAATGGAGTGTGAGTAAAATGGTCAAGCATAAGGCTTTTCATAACAATAGAAAGCACATTAGCATTCACCATGTGGGTCAGTTTTTGTAAAAAATTAAAATTATGAATTTAGTGATCCGGGACCTCCGAAAGGTTGGCGACCACTGTCTTAGAGCATTTGACTAAACATCAGACTGCAGCACCAAGCCATCAGGGTATGGAACACCATCGAAATGTTAGAGGACCCAATGTTTGAAAGATTACTCCAAGATGAGACACCCCGCTCCCACAGCTGGTGGCCCAAGAGCCTCGATTCTCTGGACGAAAACCTCGCCCCACAGTATATAATCCCCAGACGAGTTATATGAACTGTTCATATATATATATACATATATATGTGTATGTATGAACAACTCGAGAAATAATATGTATGTATGACAACTCGATAAATAATAATAATAAAATAAAGAGCCTTAAACAGAATAACGTGTGGAAGCATCGGAGTGTGTGTATATGAATGCTACACAATATTCATCTATGGACATCCATATATAGTGAAACACATGTGAAGAACCTCTCACACACTCACAGCTCCCGAACAAGAGGGAGCCAGCTTAGCTTAGCTGCCAACACCCACACATCGTGTCAGCAAGGCGGACAGCCTGCCTGCTTTCAAACCTCTCACTGTATTCCCCACTTCTATACTTCCCTTCACCTATGCCTCTCCTTCCTCTTTACTCCAAAAAAAAAAAAAAAAAAAGCATTTGACTCGAGGTGTGTGACATGAGGGCAACCAAGATAAACATGTCAGATCTGCCCCAAGAGTATGAAAATACCTATATACAGAAGAAAATTATCATAGTGATAACAGGGGACTAGGATCGACATGCCTCCGAATAAGCGTCATAGCATACGTTACAGTTGTAGAGAACTTTAAGCCATTATTAGTGGCCCAGGATGACGCATTACTGAGAGTTAAAACTGGTGTTAAACAGGCAAGTCGTCGTCACTGCAACTATAGAGCAAAATCGCTAACATAAAGAGCCAGAAAATCCCAGGGGTAACAGAGCCCATTTGGGGCAACCAAGAATAGATTAATGCTTAGAACAATCCTTGAGAACACCATACTGTTGAAGAGTGAGTGAGAAAACATTACAAACTCTCACTTTAAATGAACAAGAGGAAGCTTTGAAGGAAAAGTGAGAGATTACCATGAATGCCCTAAAAAATGTAGTTGGGCTAAAATACTTTATCTCCTGGTATTGTCATAAGCTTTTTCCAGTTAAAAAAAAAAAAAAAAAATACCTACTTGGGCCAGGCTTGACTTGAGAGCTTGGTTCAACAGGTTGTTGTGTGAAGCGGCCTGCAGGCCCACATACCCACCATAGCCTGGTTGGACCTGCACGTCTTGAAGAAAATTATCTAGTTTTCTCCTGAAGATGTCCACGGTTGTGCCAGCAATATTTCTTATTCTCGCTGGGAGGATGTTGAACAACCGTGGACCGTTTATGTTTATATAATGTTCCTTGATTGTGCTTATGGTGCCCCTGCTCTTCACTGGTTCTATTCTGCATTGTATTCCATATCGTTCACTACAGCATGTTATTTTACTGTGTAGATTTGGGACCTGGCCCTCCAGTATTTTTCACGTGCATATTATTTGATATCTCGATTGTGATGAGGACAGGTAGGGACAGGCATTAAATAGGCAAGAGAGAGCTGAGGAGGAAAGTCATGAGGAGAATGGTCCAGGACGGACCGAAACGTCGTCGTCCCTTCAATTTCTAGTGTGTGGTCTGGTCAACATACTTCAGCCACGTTATTGTGACTCATCGCCTGCATTTGATATCTCTCTCATCTCCTATCTAGCGAGTACACTAGAGAGCTTTGAGATGATCCCAATAATTTAGGTGCTTTATCGCATCTATGTATGCCGTATATGGTCTATGAAGGTACCTCTATTTCAGCAATTTCTCCTGCTCTGAATGGGAAAGTGAGGACTGAGCAGTACTCAAGTCCTAACAAGGGCAACAAGTGATTTGACTAGTACAACCATTGTGATGAGATCCCTGTATTTGAAAGTTCTCGTAATCCATCCTATAATTTTTCTGGCTGACGCAATAACTGCAACCATGGAAGAATTTGCATCACAGGCAGTATGAATGTAGATCTTCAAGTTCACTAAAACATCAGTCATGATGTGACAATTGCAAAAGCCAAACTGAGTGGGGAAAGAGGTTGTGATAATGTTCCAGGAACCACACGAGGCATACATTTAACATAATATTCAGAAAGTCTTCAGACACAATTTGTCAGGTCAATGGGACAAAAATCTTCAAGGGAAGTTCCTAGAGTACCAGATTTTCTAATGAGAACAGCAACTTCTCCAAGCCAGTCTTCGAGAATTTAATGTCATCTGCCAAATAGGGTTCTAGATGAGCAACAAATACTGCATGGTGCTCAAGAGATTGAGTATCTCATAGTGAATACAATCTGAGCCTACCAGCATAGACTGCAGAGGGGACAAGGTGGACATTGAACCAACATTCAAAATGTTGGTTCAGAAAAAGTGAAGAGAACGTTAAAGGGAAGTTGGAGGCAAGTGCACAAGTCCAAGGATCGAGATTCAATAAGGCGACTTATGAGTAAGGAAAATAGGGAGAAGAGTACCAGAGTTAACAGCTGACAAGTACTAAACCAGTTCATTGACAACCAACACCGAATCTGTAACAACAGCACCAAGGATAGGCACTATGCCTGGGAACAAATTTACCCATAATCTTACGGAAGATGAGTTAGTTTAGTTCATTTATTATGCACCCCATACCCATCTTGTGGGCGATAGTGGAAAGGGTTACAGCGGCACATAGTGGGCTCGGGGACTGAAACCCCTCAATTCATTTTATGAACCGTCTCTAAGAACGGATTAAATTCGTAAACGGAGGGGGGCCACTGTACATGACTGATTTGCCATTCTTAAAAGTGTTCTAGTGTTATTACCGGTGAAACAGTCAAGGTGCAGAGCCCAACAAACATCTCTCATATTGCACCACATCATCTGTGGTTTTTTTTTTTTTTTTTTTTTTACCCCAATCTCATTGTTACTTGCACACCAAGTACAGTATTGCATTTGTGATCCAACTCCATAGACTACCTACCACCTGTTGCTATGTAAGTGTCAGACAATAATACTGTCCAAAGACTGCGTGGTATTAACTGGCATACTTGCACAACACCTATACATCAAACAACAGATGTCAATATTACTATTTTCATCAGATTTAGCAGCTTGTAAAAGCAATTTAGCTTCAATTGACAACATTAAAACACACTCACTCTTTCTGCCCCCTCCTCCACCCAATACAACCACCGATGAGGCACTAAGATATGACCAATATATCTTGTTAGTTTGATCATGCTAGTTAACTATAAAGAGGAGCTCCCTATATTGTTGCAACATGTATGTTTCAGTTGGAAGTGTGTCTCTTGAGTGCAGCATCATATCAGACACCACCCACACGCTCACTATCTAACCTTGATATTAGAATATGAAATGTTGTTAACTACTCGTTATATATGCCTCTAACAACTGTAAGGATCTGGAAGCACTTTAGTGTCAGTTTTTCCTAACATGGCCACTATGCACGTTCAGTCACTGGGTGGTGATGTGGACTCGGTAAAACGATATGCCAGACAGAAGGAATCAAAGACCGTTTGACATTTTTGAAAAAAAAAAAAAAAAAATCCAATCAACGAAGGTATCTAGAATCAAATGAATCCCCAGATTCAGTGGGGCATTAGAATAAAATGGAGCACCTGCCAATCACTTGAAAGTAACAGGAGCAGTGTAAGGGGGTTAACCATTAAAGAAATGTTTAGTGCTAAAGAAAACAAGTTAATTTAATTAAATATACATTTATTTACCCTAGTAATTGTGTTTATTCATGTTTGGTAGTCACAAATACTCAACTTATCACTCATTGAAAGTTCTATACTTTGTAATGAAATTAATACTCTGAGTACATTTAAAAGTATAAAGTTAAAAGTTCCCTATAACATTAAAAGTGTATGTGCACATTATTACAGACTACATACATCAGACCTTCCTGAAGGAGAGAGAGAGAGAGGGATGTAAAAAGAAACTTTCTATCATCCAAGCATTGTTATTGTAGCACCTCGGTAGTTCACATTTTCTCCAGAATCAGAAGTCAGTAGTATCATAGGAAGTGACAGTTGACAAGCCCCTGTAATAAAACCATAGAGTTAGTTTATGAAGTGAGGGGAACGAGAACAAAATCATTACATTTTTTTCCCCCAGTTGCTGGTTGGTTGGTTGGTTGGTTGGTTGGTTCTCTTTCTCTCTTTCCCCCCCCCCTCTTTCTCTCCCTCCCTCCCTCTCTCTCCCATATACTATAGTGGATCAGCACTGGTTGGTCAACTAAATTTCCATAATCTTCATATTTTCCTTTCTTAATTCCTGCCTGTTCTACTGTTTATAGGTGACGTTCACCAATGGGTTAAGAAACATTTCCTTTTTTTTAAATTTGCTGCATATTTCAAATGCCATATTGACAATTATTTTTACAGTAAAGTATACTGAAAACCTATGTTCAAATTTGATGAAAATGAAGAGCATATGCTATTCTCAGAGCATAACACAAAATGAAATATTGGTGATAGTTTATATTTTATAATCTGATTTCAGATTTTCAATTTTTCAATATTCAAATTTTAAAATGTTGGTGATTTATGATCAAAAAATCATAACTTGAAAAACAAGAAAATGTTAGAGCATTTGCAGAGTTGATTATGCAAAAAAATTGGAAAGTGTTTGTGCAAGTTTTAAAAACTGATGTTATGTCCAATCGTATGTGTATGTTTTGCACCATTTAAGGGTTAAAAACAGTTTACCATCGTTGGTAAAAACCAACTGGTTTTTAGTTGCTTTGTTCACCATCCTACCAGTGTGAATGGCTGTCAATATGTTGACTCGTACAGTTTTTCCCCAAAGATTAGTATTGTAATTCAACTACTGCAATATTGTCAATGTCTGACATTTCCTCCTTCATGATGTTAGTGAACATAGAACTGAAGAGTGTAGTAAACTGGAACCTACTTGCATGGGACTGGTTTAATTGCCTGTATATAAAATGTGGCCCTTCTTGAGTAATGGTGTCATAAATGTCTTACTACACTGCATACCTGGAGAGGATTTTGAGAGTTCTACTCATGAGCCTAAAGCAGGAGAGATACATAATTTATACAGTAGTTAGGAAATACTAGGAGAACTTGTTCAACATCTGTACACAGAAATAATGCCACATGGGATTAAAAAAGAGAATTTGATACAAACCTTCAAAGGATACCTGATCAACCAGGCTGCAAGCAACCGCATCAAACAGCCTGGTTGACCAGAGTACAGGCATGGGGTCATTAATCCTCGGAATCATCAACAGGTATACCACTGCCCACAAAATTAAATTCACATTTTTCAGCCAAACTTTTTCCCCCCCTTAAAAACCATAGCAAATTTAGACTGATATACTTCCCGTTTAAAAATGTAATAGAAGTTATTATGTGTTTAGCTCTCAGCACAGTATTTGTAACTCCTCTACATCTTCCATATGTATTGCTGCACTTTGTCATTTTACCTCTAAATTCCTACTATTTTCATCCAAATATTTAATTTCCTTTAAAATCTCACCAGCTATTTTGTTCATGCTGATTATGGTTGCAATATTTGAAAGAGGATATTTAAACAAATAAACACTCCTAAATTGTTGTTGTCAGATATTGTTGCCTAAATTTTCTAGCAACTTCCAACACCTTACCTTTATTTTCCCTATTTTCGGTCTAAATCTTACCAAAAGTAATTTTAGACACATTGATCAAAGTTACAACATTAAAAACAAATAAATTATGAATTTATTTGTTTGCATCTATTCCCTCAGTTATTCATGCAACAGCTCTTGGCTCATAGTGTTGGTCATTCTCTAATACCTTCTAGCCCCCTTGTTATTTGCCATTTTAAGTGCTCAGTTTTGATTATTTTTGTCCAAATTTTTGTTTTCTTTATGAAACTATCGCAGGTAAAGTTTTGAAATTCAAATTCAGGTTGACAGATCAGAAAGTATAGATTTCTCAAATTAAACATTTGTTAATGCTATTTCTTCAAGTTATTTTTGCCTTAGTTCTTGGGACAGTCTTGTTCAATCTGCAGCATCTTCCAACACTCTTGACCTTATTTTTGAAACTTAATGCTTAATTTAAACCTTTTCATAACAAAAAAAAAAAGTTTTTTCTCCTTTGTCCTTTAACCCAGAGCATGGGAAATATTAGAGCATGAAAGGTAACTCATAATATGGCTCCATTCACATTTTTAATGATTTTGTTTTATGTCTGAAGTCTCTTCCAAGGATGCAAAGTCTCCTTGACCAAAGATGGGGGGGGGGGGGCCAATGTGTTTATCATCACACATCAATTTAAACTACTGTCTGGGTTATATTCACCATTATCTTGATAATAGTTCATTTGTAAAATAATATACAGTATCATATTTGAGTTTAATATAGTTTATATTTGGATAACTGCAGTTAACAAGGACGTGTTGTGATAGGCTGGTTTGGTGGCTGCTTACACAAATAACTCTCACAGCAATGAACCTTTGTTTAATTAATATACTGAGAGTGAAAACTTTTAAACTCGTGCAGAAACTTGATAGCGAGGTCCAACTTTAAAGTAAACATCTCCTTTTGTGTCAATACATCTCGGTGACACACACACAGCACAAGTGGCTTCAAATCTATAATTTTTATTCCAACTTTGTCATTATACTTGCTGTCTGGCTAATATCTACATGTTAATTAAACACGAAGTTCTGCTAAATAAACCAAAGTAAAGTACAGTACTCACCTCTCATCTCGAGACAACTTGTAGTAGGTATCTATAAAGTCCGCGTGAGCCAGCTTCTCTAAGAACTCTCGGTCATGTGTAATAACAATCAGCTGGAAGTTCCGTTGATGTGTTCTCTTATTAGCAATGCTGAGGAATTATTTTACAATTATTAGAGAGTATAAATGGAATAAATAAAACACAATACCCTCAGACACTAAAATATAGAAAAACATCTATTATTGGTAATACTTCTTGAGTTGTTGAGTTATATATCTTGAGTTGAGTTATACTGTAATACTGTACAAACAGGTACAGTATTGCAGGCAGACCTACTTGAAGTGTACCATTTCTTGCTATATTCTGTGATGTTTAAAGTGTTATGTTGTTTACTAACAGAGGCACTATTATTTAAGTGTGAAATTTATCAGTGATGTCAAATTTATACGATATAACAGGACAAGTGGGTAGGATATTCCAGTCAAAGAATTGGTTTGTGTAATTACCAACAGAGTAAGAACTAAAACCAAATATTTAACACAGGGACAATATATCAGCAGGTACAAACTGTGGCATATCTTCAGCCACAATAATGTGGCTGAAAATATAATGACCAAACCACATATCAGAAGATGAAGAAACAAAGATGTTTTCGGGCCATCCTGGACCATTATCAAGTCTTACCTGACTTGAGCCTACCCCCCCCTTTTCTTTTTCGTACCCTCCTCTTATTCTTATCCCATTCGTACCTTTCATCTTTCCTTATTTATTGACCCGTTCCTTCTCTCTCCATCACTATAGTTACAGTCCCGCTCCTGTGCCAGATAAGTCCACTATGGGCTCACCATAGCCCGTGCTACTTGGACCTTGTTGTTTTAGATTCAGTTACTCAGAACAAAAACAACATCCTCTCTTCATTATGGGCTATTCATACCCATGCCACCTCTTGGGTGGCTTAATCTTCAATCAATCCTCTCTCCACTCACACACGACTTGATAATGGTCCAGGATGGGCCAAAACGTTGCCATTTCTTCATCTTCTGATGTGTGGTTTGGTCATCGACAATATATCAGCTTTAAGTGGAATATATGTACAATTATGTACATTATTATTTTTTCACATATTATAAAGGTAACATACCTAAGGAGTGCAAATGAGAGTGCATCAATGTTTTCACGATCTAGGTTAGTGGTTGGTTCATCCAGAGCAAGAATTCCACAGTTAGCACTAAAAGTTTCTGCAAGGGCCATTCTGAAACAAAAATATACAGATTTAACATGCATTTATATACTGCACAAGTATAAACAGGAGAAAAAGAGCAAGTAGTCCTAATTTACAAACAAATATCACAGAAAAGACCCACTGAACAATTATAATAAGAACATAAGAATGGAGGACACGTGGAGTTCAACTGGGGCAGAGTTGAGCTCCATGTTTCTTTCCGATGGTTTTTCTGGGATAGGGTGATCAATGATCCCCCTGCTCTTTGTTCCTCTAGAGGGAACTATGTTCTGGCCTGGCATGGATTGAATTGGGTAGAGCTTGCCAGGTAGCAAGCACCAGGAAACCCCTCGGAAAACCATTTATAAAGCATGAATACAATTCCATCTGTGCTTTTCATATTAGGTTTTATATAATAAACAGCATTAGGTTCCCTCATCCAGTTTTGTTTTCCTATTCATTAGTTCCTTCCCAATTAAGTAAATGTAAAAAAAACAATAACATTTATTAAGGTACAAAATTTTCATATCAATTGTAAATATTCTTTGCCTTCCATAACAATTAAAAATACATCTACTGGAAATGAACATAGGTTCTCGTTGAATCTATCAGCACACACCTGATAATTAGAGATGCTAAAACCTTCTGACCTGCTGAGCACCTTCCTCGCATGTCCATTTCCACATCATTTTTCACCATAACAACTCGATAGTGGTAAGTCCTTCGCTTGTCTGCACCTGAAACAGTTTAAATCAACTGGTATGACTCCACCGTCCAATAATAATTTTGCTTTCCCTGGCAACCCACTCACAGTTAGAAACTCTTAAAGTACAGTTATCATCATACATTGATCCCACCAGGTCAGTGCAGTTATCTTTGCATGTTGATTTTAGTAAGTATTACCTGGTTTTTACACAAGTGGTGTAAATATGGTTATAATACATTTATATTGATATAATGGAGCTAACCTAGACTGTGAACAAATTCTGCTATCATTTTTATTTGTTTACTATGCAGTGAGGTCATCATGTGCATCAAGTGGGTTGCAGCCATGGTCAAATCACAATTTGGCATTTCTCACCAGTGTTTGACTACTTCTGGATGACACTACCAGACAATATAGCAGCAAAGGAGTGGGTTGCAAGGCCTGTTCCTAGAAAAGATTTATGTGCAATATTATACTATAGGCCTATATACAGTGTTGAATTATGTGTAAATAAATTGAGTTACTCCACAAAATGTGTAAACTTAATTGAAACAGTAAACATATAAACCACCTAACATGACTTCACAGCCCTCTTTTATGATGTGAGTCAGCAAAACTGTTTCTCCACGAGTCTACGAATCTAATGATTTTCTCACCCAGATCCTCCTAATGTATATGAAACGCACCTCCCCCTTTACTTTTTACATTCAGATGTATCATTTAATATGAACAAATTGGTATTATGTATTTTCTTTTTCTGTATAGGCAGTAGCATCCTTCATGACAGCCACACTCCAAGAATTAATGTATATTCTTCAAATTATTTTAATTTATTTGCTTCCAAGAGCCCAGTAGTGAATTTCCATTCAAATTTGCCACAAGCCCAGTACAGTATTTCCATTAAAATTAATCTGAACCCATTCAATCATTCTTTAGTCATTTTATTTAAGGGAATAAATGCAAGACCAAAAGCAATTATGCAGGGTCATCTAATATATGAATTTAATTATGCATAATCACTGAAAAATGATTGTGCATTACACCACCATTTATATTTGCTAATTATTCAAAAGCACGTACAAACCTTTCAAACTAACCTTGAGATTCTGTCTCATCAGTTTTTATCTCTACATAATCAATATCATTGCCCTTGTAAGTATTGCGCCAAAGTTCCCGGATGATTCCATTGATAGTACGCATCTTATCTGAATGGAAGCGCATGATAGCTGTGTCCAAAGCTTTATAGTATTTATTGAAGTCGTCTGCTGCTGTATCTGTACACTGAAGAAAGTTGTTTTAATACATAAAATAATCTCCCAAATTGCAATTTAGTTACAAATTACATTTACAGTATTAATACAGTACAAAAATACTCAAATATTTTATATTATACAAATAAATGTAAATGAACATATGTACAGTATACAATTCCAGTACAGTATATACACTGCATACTATACAGTAAGCACAGTAAAGTAAAACCTTGATTCAACAAACTGTATGGAACCAAACCTAATGCGAGGGATTCGTTGTAACCGGGGATGCCCCCACGATACATTTCCCACGCCCTAATTTCACTTAGTAAAATTTCCTTTTCAACCTATAATATAATAGACAACTATCAAATGAATACTACTGCAAACAAATTTAACCACATTTAACTAATTTTAATATGAAATGTGATTAAATTTTTAACCACATTTAATTTTCATGGGTGAATGAAAACCTTGATAACTCAAAATGAAAAAGTTAGAATTTGGTTTTAAATATTCTCAATAGCTTTCCCAAGCTTCAACTGTTTCTTGTAATGTTGAGTCCAATCTACAAAAATTATCAAAAATCTGATTGGACCCATATTAAAAAGAGTTAACATTTATACCTAATATTTACCACGCTCTATGGGCCGATTTCACCGAGTGAAATTATAATTTCAACCCGTCATGTGAAGGGCAACAACAAATCCTAGCTGTGAAGAGATTTAACCACATCTAGCATATTTCTCATGCCTAAGGCTAAAAATAAAAATCTCCTTTTCAAAGGAAAAAGGGACCATATTTTACTGAACAAAAAAAACTTTATAACTAGAAATGAAAAAAAAGCAGATAATTTGGTTTTAAATATGCTCAGTGGCTTTTCCAAGGTCCCAACTGTTTCTTGTAATGTTGCCTCCATCTGTGAAGTTGGTTCAAACATCTTAAGCAAATCCAAACATCCCCAGCTTTCAGCAAACTCTTGTTCATTGACTAGGGATTAAATCCGGCATGGAAAGCATACGTTCCAACCAGAGATTTGCCAAATTGAGGTTCCACTGTATTTATATACAGTATCAAACTTTATATGAACTTTCATTACCATCATCAGATTGGTTCTATGACAATATATATACTCGTACCTAAGAGCCAATACCATATTTTCATACATCTAAGATTATCTCATAGTAATACCAGGAGCAGGAAAAAGTCCTGCCTTCAGCACAGATGACAAGACCTGAAGATGTCATAAACACCTGCACACTCACTTTGGAGACATGACAGAAAAACTAGGAATGGTGGAGGTGTAGCTGTGCTGGTGAAACAACACCAGAAAACATTCTTATAATTCTGTAATCATTCTGGTAGAAAACTTATGTAGACAATGAACATAATTGATGCAAAAACTACTGAACTCCACTAGTAACACTCCGCCAGTCAGATACAGTGACTAATTACCACCCTCATCTTTCCGTCATTTAGAAAAATTTTCATCCGTGTCAGCAGTCTCCATGTCACTACACTCCAGCATGTTCCAGTTTCCAAAACAAACTCTTGTGTGGGACTGTCAAAAGTTATTTTTTTTTTTTTTGTTTAGGTCCAGATAGACAGTCAACCCAACCATCTCTTTCCTGTCGAATCTCTGTGGCTGTATCATAAAAACTATGTACAGTATATTTGTTACACAGGATCTTCCTGTTCGAAAACCATATTGTCTGTGTTATATGTCATTACTCTCCAGGTGTTCTACCCATTTGGCTTTAACTATAGTTTCTAGTGTTTTGACTATCACACTTGTTACTGATGCAGGTCTATAATTTAGAGGGTCTTCTCTGCTATCATTTTTATAGATTGGAACTATGTTTGCCTTTTCCATATACCGTATCTGCTAAGGTTCCTGTGCACAAAGATGTTTGGAATATTAACTGAAGTGGAATGCCCAGCTCACAGTTGTGCACTCTCTCAGAACCCAAGGTGAAACTCCATCTGGTCCAACTGCTTTATTTCTTCCCAACCCCTTGAATAATTTTTCCACTTTGTCATGAGATACCTCTATGTACCCTGGTGTTCTCTGGAATTGGCATTATCTCATACTCTGAAAACCTTGTTTTGTACAAACACACTGGTCCTGTTCATTTAGTTTTTCACACATTTCTTTTTCATTTTCTATGAATCTGTTCCCTGTTCTCAATCCCTGGATTTAATTCAATACATGCAGTTTGCTTTTAATGACTTTAAAGAAAAGGCTTCGATCTGATTTGCATTTGTTCCTACCTCAATCTCAAAGGTCTTTTCTGCTTCTCTCCTCACTGCTGTGTATTTGTTCCCTGCTTATTTGTAGTGCTGGTATGGTTCAGGGTTAGGCCTCTTTCAATTTTGTACCCTTTTTCTTTTCTTCCTCTCTGGTCCTCTCGCAAGTTTTGTTGAACCAATCCCGTTTTCCAGCTCTGCATCTCTGATTTGGTATAAATTTTTGTGCCTTCATCGTATATTTTACAGAATTTGGCACACATTTCATTTACTGTACTTCCTTGCCAAGCAACAAATCTTTCCCTTTTAAATTCATTAAAGAATTAGCCAAACTCCCCAGTGTCCTCTCTTAAAATCAAGCTTCTAAATTATTTAAATTTCCCCATTCTTTTCTGTATCATATTGCATTGCATATTTAATTTCCAACAGAACATGGCCACTCTTTTCCATAGGAGGAAGGCACCGAATGTCAAATATCTCTTCTTTCCTGGTGAATATTAAATCCAGTATTGACAGAACATCCCCTTCCCCCCACTCTCGTGACCTGCTTAATGTACTGATACATGAATAGTCTCCCAGGATAAAGTTTACAAATCTGCATTTTCAAATGTCCTCCGTTCTTGCTTCGTAGGCCTCTCAGTCTATTGCTTTCAAGTTGAAGAAACCCTGTACCAACAATTGTGATTTATCTTTACCTGTTCTTATTATAATCTCTCTCATGACCATTATGAGGCCCCTCTCATTTGTCATCTAGTTCCTCCTTTGTCCATGTTTTGCTTGATGGTAGGCTGCAGGTATCTACGATTATCTGTTTATCAGCCTGATTAAAAACCTGCCTTGCCATTATGTCAACTTCTCAACAAAATTCTGTGTGAATAAATGCCATGTTATGGAATGTGAAATAGGAGAAAATAGACCACACACAACTTACAAATTATGTGGAAAGGACTTAAAGAACCAACAAAGAAAGAGATCTAGGCTTGGTTCTGGATAATAAACTGTCACCAGAGTAACACACAAAGGACATTGTGCAAGGAACACATCCTGAAGTTGGAAAGTACAGCATCACTTTTAATTACATGGATGGTGAAATACTAAATTAACTGTTTATAACTTTTGTGAAACCAAAACTGGAATATGCAGCAGTTGTGTGGTGCTCATCTCAAGAAGCATGTCAATAAACTGTAAAAGGTGCAAAGGCAGGCTACAAAATAGCTTCCAGAACTGAAAAAACATGGTGTGATAGAGGCATAAAATATGCCAAAACTAGAAGATAAAAGAAAAAGAGGTGATATGATCACCACTCACAAAAATAGTAACAGGAATCGACCAAATTGACAAATTCCTGAAACTGGTAACCTCAAGAACAAGAGGTCATAGACACAAGCTAACGAAACATTGGTGCCAAGAAAATATAAAAAAATTGTTTTGAAAACAGAGTGGTAGACAGTTGGAACAAGTTAAGTGAGAAAGTAATGGAGGCCAAAACCATCAGCAGTTTAAAAGCATTACATGTCAAAGTGTGCTGGGAAGACAGGACACCACGAGCGTAGCTCTCATTCTGTAACTATACTTAGGTAATTACACATACATACCTTCATTGTCACAAACTTTTCCTTATAGTTCTTCTCTGCATCTCTAATATCCTTTCGTTTAAGTTCACGTTCTAAATCTTGTATAGTCTTTTCAACTTCCTCTAGACGACCATCTAATGCTGCTCTCTGTTGTTCAAAATCAAATAAATTAGTGTTAACTCAGTTATATATATATATATATTGTGACAAGAGAGCCATACAGTAGGGGCCTCGTAGCCTGGTGGATAGCGCGCAGGACTCGTAATTCTGTGGCGCGGGTTCGATTCCCGCACGAGGCAGAAACAAATGGGCAAAGTTTCTTTCACCCTGAATGCCCCTGTTACCTAGCAGTAAATAGGTACCTGGGAGTTAGTCAGCTGTCACGGGCTGCTTCCTGGGGGTGGAGGCCTGGTCGAGGACCGGGCCGCGGGGACACTAAAGAAAAGCCCCAAAATCATCTCAAGATAACATCTCAAGATAACCACAGTAAAACAGCAACAGTTGGAACGTTTGGACACGACGCCTATCAGCCGTGTATTGTGAGTACACAGTACTCATACCTCAGTGTGGTGGTATACCAAGGGCCAGGGCAACTTGGGTCAAGGGTACAAGTCATGAAGTTGTCAGTTTTGTGGCAGCCTTGCTAATCCATGATGATTACTACTAAATCAAGGGATGCTGAGGATCTCACATGCCCTTGCAGCTGTATATAAGATTAAGTTCAGACTGAGGAGTGTGTGTGTGTGTGCGCAGACTTGTGTGTGGTTGCAGCTCTGCTAAGGGGGACGAGCATCAAGTACCTCCAGTCGAGTGAAAGGTTCAGCAAATAAGTATGCCTCTCTAGTACCTATCACATTTAATCCTAGTAGATTAGCAAGGCTATCATTTCTGGGGGGAGCCCCGTCGGCTCCCCGGAGCTATCCCAGGCTGATATGCTAATGTCAGACTTTGGCATCAGTCATGTGTATGGAGTTCTTAGGCCTACCGGGGACCACGGCCAGAACCGGGCCCCCTCAGAGAGGCAAGGGGAGCAATGGCCTATAGAAGCCCCCGTGTAGTTGGAAGCATTCTATGTCTGCCATCGACCGGAACAGGCACCCAGAAAGGTAAGCGCCCCAAAACAAACCCCTATTCTGGTTAAAATTGCTACCTAAAACCGAACTAGTGGATAGAACTCCCCAACCGAAAACAAGCAAACTAGTGTGACGTCACACACTGCCGCGCCGCTGTCTGCGCAGCTCCCCCCTCCCCGGGAGGGGGAAGGGGGAGCCCCAGACCCCCCGCGCCGGCTACCCACACCTCAGTTCTTGAGGCTGATGCTATAGGCGATGGTCGTGTGCTCTGGCTCCGGTGTCGCTACTGCACTGTGCTTTGAGTGTGGTGTTAGTTTTGTGGGTGCGAGAGCCAGGAGTTATCTTCAGTACTCGGGCTGCATGCGCCTAGGGCTGCCTTCCCTAGGTGCCCTGTAAGTACTGCCCTTGGGGCTTGGGGCCACCTTCCACAGGCTCCTCGGGGTCTGCCTCTGCTGGTCCGTTTTACCTTTCGGTTTTTCGGCCGCCTGTTGGGCTCTTGGGTGTTCTGTTCTCCCTTGTTACCGGCAGGTAAGAGGCAGTTTGCACTGGTAGGGGCGCAGGGTGCTGCTCAGCTTGTAATTCCCGACATCGCGGCCGGCTCTGTTCCTTGGGGTTCGCTGTCCTCTTGCGGGGTTTTGTTTTTCTTTTTGTTTTTGCCTGGTGGGGGGTTCTGTCATTTTATTCAGTTTGTTTTTGCCCTTCCACTGTTCTCCTCGGTGGCGCCCCCTGCTAGGTCCCCGTGAGTGTACACGTCCCTGGGGTTCAGCTTTAGAAGTTTGCTTGGTAGTTTTGGGCGCCGGTTTGCAGCACCCTGCCTGGGACTACCTGAGCGCGAGTCCTCTTAAAGTAAACGCTCAGGACCCTGGGAATCCCCTAGGGGGCGCGTGGGTCCGATGGATGTGACCCCGGAGTCCCCACTCGCTGTGTGCGAGTTTGAGGGTTGCTCGGTCCCCTTGTCTCAGGGTGACCCTCATTGTTTTTGCCTCTGCCACGCTGCCTGTTGGGTCGGTGATACTTTCGACCCTGAGTCCTGTGAGTGTTGCTGCTTGCTTGTGACTCAATTTACCCAATCCTCTGATGATTCTATTCGGGTACAGGCGGCGCGTGCGTTGCAGTCTAGGTTTCGTCTGTTGCAACGCGCTCGGTTGGTTGCTTCCCGGATGCCCCGGGGCTGCCCCGCTTTGCTTTTCGAGACCCGGACTTGGGGGTGGGGTCGCTTCGATCCTAGTTCAGTCCGCACCTCCTCGTCCTTCCCCTTCTGTTCGTCCTGGCTAGCAGACTGCCCCTTGTTTGGTCTGGATTCCTGGCATTCTTTCTGTCGTTCCCGCACGCTGGAGTGGCGGGAAGCTTCCACGGTGCTTCAGGTTTTCCTGGGGGGTGAACTTGAGTACCTGAATGAGTGCTTGTTTGCCCCTGCCCTTCCCCGCGATGTGGGCGTTATTCAGCTCCATGTGCAGGTTCCCTCCCTTTCGGCGGCGCTCGTGGCGGAGGACTTGCGCGCTCGGGGCCTTTTGTGTTCGGCCTTGCGGTTCTTTTCCCTCCTGGAGCTGTCTTCGGATTGGCTCGTGGAGGATGTGGGGACGCTTGGGTCAGTCCCGGGGTCCGGCACCTTGTCCTCGGCTGCGCGTTCGTCGGCTGCCTTGTTGAAGCTGTTCACGCCGATTTTGCGGGATGCGGTTTCCCTGTTCTATGCTTCCCGTCTCGCGTGTCGGCAGGCGGTGCTGGGTTCCTCCGTGGAATCTGCTTGGGCTCTGGCTCTTAGGCGTTCTTCACCTTTTTGTCCTCTCCTGTTTGGGGAGTCGGCCATGGCGCAGTTTATTCAGGCTGCGTCGGCGGCTTGTCGTCCGATGTCGGACTTGTTGGTTTTCCGGGGGTCCCGGGGTGGGTCTTCCCGGAAAGGTCGTGCCAGGGCTCGGGGTTCCTCTCGTCGTGGTAGGCCTCTGGTGTCAGGTTTGGGGTTGGCTCCTCCTGCGGACCCTCCCTCGTCTGGTCGGCGCGGTGTTCGCGCTGTGCGGGGTTCTGGGTCTCGTAAGGGTCGCCGGCCCTTTCGCGGTTTGCCCCTTTGACGGGGCGATGGGGGGCGGCTTGCGCTGTTCGCCCGCGCCTGGTCCCACGATTCGTGGGCCTTTCGGGTCGTGTCTCGCGGCCTGCGGTGGCGTTGGGTGGCCCCTCCCCCCTTTGGGGGGTCGGGGCTGGCAGGGCAGGCTTCTTCCCCTGCGCTCTGTCGAGTCGTCTTGGAGTGGGTACGCTTGGGCGTCGTCGAAACGACGTCGTCCCTCAGATGGGTTTCCCGTCTGTTTCCGGTTCCGAAACGGGACTGCGCGGACCTGCGGTTCATTCTGGACTTGTCCCGTCTGAACCCCTGGGTTCATTGCCCCTCCTTTCGGATGACTACGCTGTCTCAGGTTCGGCTCCTCTTGGAGCCGGGAGCTTGGATGGTGTCCCTGGACCTCCGGGACGCTTATTGGCATGTCCCGATTCATCCGCGGTTCAGGGACTGGCTCGGTTTTGTAGTGGGGCGTCTGAGTTACCGCTTTCGTTGTCTCCCGTTCGGGTTGAACCTGGCACCTCGCGTGTTCACACGCCTTACACGGGTTGTGGTGGCTCGTTTGCGTCTCCTAGGTGTTCGGGTGTTGGCCTACCTCGACGACTGGCTGGTTTGGGCTCCCAGCCAGTCAGCTTGCTTGCTAGCCAGGGATTTGGTTCTTTCCCAGCTCGCCGGGTTCGGGTTCTTGGTGAACTGGAGGAAGTCCCATCTGGTTCCCTCTCAGGTTCGGACTTGGCTGGGTCTCGTGTGGGACTCTCGAACCGCCTCCTTGTCTCTCCCTCCGGAGTCTCTCCTGCGGCTGCGGTCCCGCCTTCGTCTGTTTCTGGAGGGCCCTCGGGTCACCCGGCGGTTGCTCGAGGGGCTGTGCGGGAGCCTGAACTTCGCGATGGTGGTCTACCCGCCGGGTCGGGTTTGGCTTCGACGGCTGTTCTGGTTCCTTCGGGGTTCCCCCTTCCGCCTCTCTCGCGATCGCAGAGTTCGACCCCCGGGGGACTTGCGTCGGTTGCTGCGTCACCGGCTTCCTCTTCGGGTTTTTCGGGGTTCAGTGCCTTGGCGCCTACCCGAGCCCTCGCTCGATGTGTACACGGATGCGTCGTCTCTCGGCTGGGGTTTTGTGACCAGTGCTCACCAGGCCGGCCAGGGGCGTTGGGATCCGTCCTTCCGTCGAGCTCACAGTACGGTGCGGGAGTTCGCGGCAGTGTGGTTTGCTCTGGGGAGGATTCGGGTGGCCCGCGGATCGACGATTCGGCTCCATTCGGACTGCTCTCCGGTGGTTCATTGCCTGAACCGCGGGGGTTCGATGCGGTCCTTGTCTCTTTGGGGTTGGTCGCTTCGGGTGACTCGTCTGCTGAGTTCTCGGGGTTTGGCTCTCCTGGCAGTTCACGTACGGGGCGTGTCCAACGTCTTGGCCGACGCCCTGTCTCGCTTCGTTCCCCTCTCCACGGAGTGGACGGTCGACGACGAGTCCTTCCGTTGGCTTTGCCAGACGTTCGGGCGCCCCGAGGTGGACCTCTTCGCGTCGGCGTGGTCGCGGCGTCTTCCCGTTTATGCGGCGCCCTTCCCCGATTGCGAGGCCGTCGGGGTCGATGCCTTTCGGCTCGACTGGTCGAGGTGGGGGTTCCTGTACCTCTTTCCCCCGGTTCGGCTGTTGCTCCAGGTCCTGACTCGCTTAGAGACTTACCAGGGGAGAGTTGTCCTTCTGGCCCCTTGGTGGCCGGCCCAGCCTTGGTTTCAGGCGCTGGTTGCTCGGTGTCCGAACCCGAGGGTTTTCCCGCGGCTCCGCCTCTTTCAGCAGATCGGGCCGGTACGTCACGTAGCTGGTTCGATCTTCTCCTCGAGTCTTCGCGTATGGTTTTTTTGACTCGAGTCTATCATCATCTCTATGGTGATCAGGTGGCCTCCTTGTTGGTGTCCCACCTGAGGGCTTCTTCTCGGCGGCAGTATGAAGTTTCCTGGCGGTCCTTCCGTTTCTTTTTGCGTCTTCGTCGTGTTAGCTCCTTGTCTGTTCGGGTGGTCTTGTCCTTCCT